GGGGGAAATATTGACAATGGACACTGAACAATGGAAAAATGAGAGCCTTGCAAAGGCAGATAAGCTGGAGGGTAGAACAAAGGCGAACAGGCGAGTATTTCATGCACCGGAGAAGAGCTCTGAATCTCACATTCGTGCGCCTGCGCCCAGCAACCTTTTGATTAGCAGCAGAAGGCGCCCGGGAACCGTGCGATCGAGTACCCATAGTGCAATTCAACGTATCACTTCTTACCTGTGCAGGCCCTCCTCCTGCAAACGATTTATTCCACTTGACCTGATGTCGGCGAGGGCCAATCAGCAATCAAGCGGACTCGAACGGCATGATTTATTGTTATGACCACTGCATGCACGAGATCAGACTATTGATCGGAACATTTGCTCGAACGTGAGATATACAATGTCGGCGGAAAAGAGTACGCTAGACGCTTGAGTTTCGACCTCTTGCCAGCAATTCCAGGTTGTCTGAATTCAAAGTCTGCTGCTGGAATTTCGCTTCCAATATCTCTCGTTGCCCCCCAAACCACACAATTCTCGATTGATCGGACTACCGAGGAGCCATGGCCTTCACTGGCAGACCACTGTCGAGACTGGACCCTTGTTTACTCCCTCTTATTTCCGGGCAATGTATGTATGTTTAAAGTACATTCTTTTCCCGATCAAACCATGACTAGCCATAGCCTAGGCGCTGTTGCTCCGTGGGCTTCGTGTGTCCGCTAGACGGGGGACTTTTCATGCATTGTACCAGCAGATTGTTGGGTTGGAGTGGTCTCGTCTTTGTAGGCCGCACCGTCTTGTTCGTCGTCGTTTTCATCCTCAGCAAGCGTGTAAAGCCTGCTATCAGATCCATCAGCCTCTTTCCCCACGCCGTCCAGTTGTGATGTGCTCTGGGCACGCCATCGTATAACCACTGAGCCAGCGACAAGGGCCAAGACTTCAATTGCAGACAGCAAGCCGATCACGATGAAGGACGTGGAGTCGAGCGACGCTAAACAGAACCCAGCGAGAATGGTGAGCCAGCCGAGCAAGATCGTCGAAAATCCTAGAATAGCATGAGCGAGATTGATATACGTTGTCGTCTTGCGGCTCTTCAGCGAGTTGGCATGCCCGAGGATCATCTGAAACAGCGCCATGCTGGACACGCCCAGGCCCAAGACTTGATGTGGGTGATGCAGACTGCCGCTGTTCAACAGTCCCAGAGCAGCTGTGCTCATCAAGATAAGTAGGCCAGTCGATTGTATTGCCCAGTGCTGTATTGGCCACCGACTCTTCTTCGCCCACAGTTTAACGATTCCCAACGGCCAAACGAGGAAGAATGCCACGCATCCCAGCAGTCCGTGAACGAGCCAAATGTCCATAGCTGAGTTAGTGAGGCGTGAATGCAGTTGCAACGTGTGGCGACTGTGCATGCTACAGAATTTGTGATTATACAGAAAGATTCCGGACCCAAACGTTTAGTACTGCGCGCGGCTGATTCAGGGGCTGTGCACGGACCACAATTCCTGAGCATGTCTTGATCCGTGCGCATGCAGGTTTGCAAATGCAGTTCCATTTGGGTGCAGTATTGCTTCTCGACTCGTTTTTATTTGGCCAAGGATGTATCACTTACTCAAGGACGAAACAGCAAAAGAATTTGGCACGCCAACTTCAAGATTGTTCATCATCAGTCTACATTGATTCATTGACTGTTCAGTCGCTCTTACTTTTGTTCTGTCTCAACTAACCTATAGCCAGCATTGTGGTGCTATTATCACCACTAAATGAACTCAATAAGCTCGCCAGCGCATAAATGAAGGAGGTACTCCTCTCCTGTGCCCCCTTGCCGCTCTGCGCCACTACACAGACGCTTCCTGCCAACAGGAAAACAAGACTCGAAGGAGAGTGCATCTACTAGCGTGGACAAGCTGGTGTATATACTACTCCTCAGAAATTGAAGCCCGTATAATATCCCCGTGGTCGAGCGCATGAAAAGACAACCTTCCACTCTCCGCATCAGTAACAGCGAGATAGTTGTAGAACAAGGAATTGAAATCGAGCCCACCTTTTGTGTCGTGGGCAGGATCTTGCAACGGTATCATATCATCGTCTATCATTTCACTCTCCTTGCCCCATGAATTGTAGTGAGTCGCGACTGAGTAGGGGTATGACCCAAGCATGGCCTCGAGATGAATTGAGCGGATGATCGTTTCGTGCCTGGCAAAATGGTATTCGAGTTCAATAGACTACCTGAATGTGCGGTGGCGACATCAACCTGATTCCGCTTCCAAGGTCCTTGGGGCAGAACAGGACGCGCGGGATTTCGCTGGCCTGCTCGCCGGGAGTGACTTGCCTCCCTTCTCGCTTCAAGCTTCCAAAACCTTACTGCGATACAATCAGAGGCGTGATACATGCTGTATCTACTAATGACCAATAAGGCTGAGTGCAGCTGTTGTCCAATCTCGTAGGCAAAGCCAACAGGCGCCGTCTCTGCAGCGCGTGTGGTTATGGCCCCTCCAGGACCCAATATCTGACGTTGAGGTCCAGCCGTATCCGGTTTCCAACCGGACACTAAAACCGCTCTATCTTAGATGCCTGGAGTCAATAGAAGGATTGATGACGATGAATGACAGCAGATATGGTATTGGAGGTGGAAATCATGGCTCTATCAAAGCTGCATTGTACCCTCTGGTCACCTGGCCGCCACTCGCGCGCACTGTGACGTATCTGCCTTGATCGAAAAGTGACGTTATCAAGCACAGCCACCGCCTTTGATGAAGTACTTAGTCGTGAGAACCTCCCCTTTCGCAGCTTTGAAATTCCAACGACTCTCACGTACTCAGTCCGACCTCTTCACCTACCACACGCATCAATCCTCCACCGCACAAGCCGTCCACCGCCACGACACCGTCCAAGACATGGCGCAGCCCGCAGATAACCAAAACACTACATCTCAAAACGAGCCTCTACCCGCTGGCTGGGAACAAGCCGTCGACAGAGAAGGAAGGACGTACTATGTCGACCATGCTACCAAGACCAACACCTACGAACGGCCCCAACATCGACCAGAGATTTGCCTCTCAACCATTACCCGAGGGATGGGAGACGGACAGCACTCCGACTGGAGCGGTGTATTTCGTAGACCACAATGCGAGAAAGACCACGTGGGTAGACCCCCGACAGGGGTAGAACATGGTGGTGTTGTTGATCAGGGATGGAGGAAGACTAGAAGCTCTTTTTGAGCGGGAAGCCAGAGAGTGCTGAAGCGATGGCCTTGTGAACTTCTATACTATTGCATTTTTCGATGTAACTCCTGACAATCATTGCCTGACCTTGGGCCTGTCACTTCTATTCATGCTATCTATGCTGTTCACGAAGATATGGATTCCACTCCCCCACAAAGCTCATAACCTCGTTCTGGTCCTTGCACATGTGCATCTGGCCCCAGCCATCGCCCTCCTCTAGAGTCAGATCTGCTGCGCACATGATGCTTTGCCGAATATACTCGAAGCAGTTGCTGGTGGAGTCATCTGACCCATCCACTTGTGCTACATTGCCGTGGTACATTTCGTCTCGGATTGTCGCCTACTTCATCTCAGCCTTCGCGTTGTGGTTTTCCACTGTAATTGAAGTACCCACCAAACAATTCAGCGCATGATACATCGAAATGGAGTAGGTCACATTTCCATTCCGCTCAGGGGTTGCGTCGGTACCAGAGCCCATGCCATGCGCCGCTGAATCTGGGAGGACAACCGTCGCAAGCCGGTTACTCAATTCCTTTAGTTGCAACCAAGCGGCATCGACGAGAGCGTTTGATGTGTTATACAGCTCATCGGCGACGAAATAGTAAGGTGTTTGCATTCGCACGTTGTGGTCATTAGTCGACGTAGGAAATTTCGCACAGAGTCGCTACATACATGTTGGTGGGAATGTGTGAGGCTCTCCAGTCCTGTCGGACGTAGTCCATGGAAAGGTCAAGACAAGCAACTCTGCATTCAGGACCAGGGCGACGACGGCCACCAAGGTCCAGATGAGACCTGAATTGGAGACCTCCCTTACGGCCATGGTGCGAATCTTACCATCAACGTTTATCCTGGTCTTGGATGAGGTTTTCTAGGGGACATTTGGTGGCGTGGGTTGCGACACGCGGGACGCGGGCAAAATTCTCGCAGGAGCTCCAGCTACATTTCGACTCTGATGCTTAGAGAGAACTTCCTCCTAGCTCCTTCTTCAGCGGTTGGTTACAACATTGACACCATCTCAGTATAGCAAGAGGCTGCCAGATGTACAGGGATTGACGGTAGTTCGCTGATAGAAGAAGATGGGCTCATTCGACGACATTCGAGCTTATTTCTGGCCAACACCATTACCCAGTGCAAAATACACTCGCTTGGACGAGGTGGACGGAAGCACCAGGTAATTAAGAGTGCTACTTACAAGAGGATATGTGTGTTATTTACTTCTCAACCCACAGATATGGCGCTCCCAGCATATCGCTCATGACCAAGGTCGCCCTACTAGTGCTGGTATGTGCGAACAGCGTACCGCTTGCATATAAAGCGTTCATGGCCTTTTCAGTAGTACCTGGCCTTGGACAACGGTATTGCGAGAGTCCCGCAGTCCGTCGAGAATGGCGGGATCTCCTCTCGCAAGAAAAGGCTGCCTACGTCGATGCAGTGAAGTGTCTTACCGAGGAGCCATCAATACTGACAGGAAATGGAAGCCTGTTCGATGATTTCTCGTACGTCCATATGAACATTGGCATACGAAGTATGTTTACCTCTTGGCTTCTTCAACTCTGAATAGTTCTTTGCTGACGACGCTGGCAGCACACTGGTCAGCCGCATTCTTCCCATGGCATCGACTTCTGCTCCACGTCTTTGAGACGCTTCTTCGCACGCATTGTGGATATCGCGAACCATTACCGTGAGGCTCTTGAAATGATCAAGCGAATATGCCAGCTCACCAATCCGTAGCTACTGGGATTGGACACTAGACTGGCTGGATGTGGCCGCGTCGCCAGTTTTCGATCCCAGCCTTGGGTTTGGGGGAGGCGGCGACCCCAACGTGCCCAGCGCAGTGGGCAACGATAGTTTTTGCCTCCAGGACGGTCCATTCGAGACATTCACTGTATCATACGCCGAGGGTCCTCTACACTCGCCTCACTGTTTGTCACGATTCGACTTCAGCAAAACCGGTACGACTGGCGTCAATCCAGCGATGATCCGCTCGGTGCTCGAATTCCCGTCTTACGATGGCTTTCGCAACGCAACCGAGACTGTACACAATTTGATCCACCGAGCCGTGGGGGGAGACTTTGCGACTTGGGCATCGCCGAATGGTGAGCAATAGCATGACTGACCATGCCCGCTTGTGAAGCTCATCGAGAATAGATCCGATATTTTACCTTCATCATGCTCAGTTGGATAGGATGTGGTGGCAGTGGCAGTATTATTCGCCCCAAAGGCGACAAGAGTATTGTGGATCTCTTAGCCCCGAGACGCTGCAAAGAGCATCAATTAAAGACCTACTGTCGGTAGGCAAACTTGGGAAAGCGATGCCAGTCGAGGAGGTCATGGATACACAAGGCAACCTACTCTGCTATACATACCAAACAGAAAGGGACGACACGGTATGAACGGATGAATTTGTATCCAGCAGCATTAGTAAAATAAGTGATCAGAAAATATTGTCTGGAAGTTCAATCGACTGTCTCTCGGTGATTCAGGGTCATGGGGATCAGCAGAGCAATCTGTAGTGCAGTGATTCGAGTAAGGTGCCCAATGATGTTCTCTAAAGGTACTGCAGGTGATAAGATAGGACGAATGACTCTTTGACTTGAGCCTGAACCTCGATCATGTTTGTACATTTGGTCGACTGAGCTACCGCATCCTAATGCCTGACTTTTTTCTGGATTATGCCACATTACTTAGACGTTGAATGGGAGTGAGTGCCCATGAGCACTAGCCCAGGCGTACAGGTCGTCTCTTCTACGGCATACATGTTTCTGGCCGTCCGGAATGCCAGGCCACTTATTGTTGAGGGAGATAAGAGTTGGGTCCAAGTTGCACTGCAGTCCCTGACGAACGGCTTCAATGCAGTGAAGTGTGTGGTCCCAGAGAAAACCGGCCTCGCTTGTCCATTCGAATGTATCATTGAGATAGTATATCGAATCCCGTAATACAGACTATACGAGTTAGCTTTGACATCCTCATCGGTGGCAGGATTACTTGCCGCGCAGTGTAGCTGATGGTATCCTTCAATGTAATACATCCTCTTGTCGGGATCGTCGAAAGCAGTCGTGGCCTCTGGATCCAGCGAGTATTCGTTTACAATTTCCTTAGAAAGCGCAACGACGCCCCCATGGTCTTTTCCTCACAGGTTAGCCTCGGCTTGCAGCTACAATTCCACGTGTGTGCGCTCACCAGGGAACATTGCTCGATCCCAAACTTCATCTCGGTATCGGTAACCCTTGCCTCCGGCAGCCTCAATGTCAAGTAGACCCGTCCAGTCGTGGTTGAAGGCAATGAGCTCGAACTCTGGCTTTCCATCTGGGCAACTGGTCAGCTTGCGTTGGGGGTTCCCGCTTCTAACAATGGAGGGTCGATAGTACAGTAATCCGATCTTTGCCCGATGGTCTCTTTGTCAGGCAGGAAAGCGTCCGTGAGTATCAACATAACATTTGATACGACGAGAAGGGTCACAGCATAGTAGAGCACTCTATCGCCTTGCCACCAACGTCGTGGAGGGCCAGAAACTCCCTTCTCGAAGTCTTGTTCGCTGTCGTGATCCTCTTGTGGGGCTTGAGAATAAGCTGGTCTGGAGGTGATAAAGTCCATTTTCGCGTCGACTGTTGGCTTTCTATGCAGAAAATGCGGCTTGTGAGATCTTCGTCGTCGATGTGTTGTAGCAGAAACGAATGCTGGTGAAATTGAGACCTCGAAGACGTGAAGCAAGGGAAAATCCTGTTCCGGCGTGCGATATCGATGCTCCGTGGGCGAGTCCGCAACTAAATCCAGCCGCGCGTGGAAAACAAAGTGCTGCTGCTCTGCCCTCACAGCTTTCGGTTTACTTGTAGCACTGCCTCGACTACGCAAGAATCTTGCTGCTGCAATGATTGATGGTTCGGTGGAGAATTTCACTACGTGCATAGCAAAGTCTCTACTTGGCCCAACATTCGCTCATTTGAGCAATAATCGCATATTTCGAGGATCTACTAGTTGCCTCGACCAAGACTTGCAGGTGCTCATTTTCGTCATTTCCTATATGATAGCCTCCAACAAGGATGAGAGAGAGAGAGATCACGGCAACAGAGACGCTGTGACAAAGATGATCATTCCTCGAGATCTACATATCACCCGTCTAGTAGCAATCGTACCTCCAGTGGTTTCGTAAGTAAAGTAATGCATAAGTTTGTGAAAGCCATTCTCTGCAACAGTCGGCAGAGATGGCGACTCTTTGTAGGGTGCAACCGCCAAACATGATGAGCTCGCCAATTTGTCGATTGAAGAAGTGTCGAGGCTAAGCATTGCATTTCCTCCGGTCACGAACACTTCTTAGTTCCTTTGTCGACAGCGTGAACATTGTCGTGTAGGACAAGCATCCATTGTAGCTCAGGAGCATTTCCATCGCTGCATGCACTTCCTTCCCAGCCTCCCGTAGATAGCTTAAACGCCTGCTAAGCCGCAAGATTCTGGAGTCGCTTCATGATCATCGCCAAGTTGAGCAGAAACAGTAGAGTACACGCCGCCAGAGCTGCCACGGTTGGTGCGACTCGCTTTCGATGCAGCGGACGGTTCTGCTGCGACAAGGGTACCCGTTGTTCGCTGTACATGTTGCTCGGTGGAGGTAGGACTTTCAGGAGACGACTTCCTAATATCGGCATTGATGCTTGAGCGTGTGAAGCACGTGGCGAGCACAAGTACTTCGGAAACGAGCGTAGGTCAGCAATTAGTTTTGATAGCAGTTTGCACTGCGCGAGTGAACATACGGTTGGGAAGGATAAAAGGCGGGTCGGCAGATTCTAAGCAGTTCGAAGAGCTCAACTCAAACACAATGCACAGCGTACGTTCGAACGTAAGATTATTATGACTGAAAAACGTGCCTGGCAACTGCACGGACCACAATTGCACGGATTTCAATGTCCGTGCACATCGAAGATCAGCCAAAGAGGATCAGGCTGTGGCCAGGCGTGCACAGTACACGCGCGGAAAATGTCTGTAATTGGCCCTGGGTCGGTGAAAATAGATATTGGGTTGAACCATGGCCTTACTCCGACGCTGATGCAATGTCTAGCTCTGCTGTGTGGATACTATACTGCAGGAAGTAAGCTACGATAGCACGGTTCCAAGCTATAAGCGCGCGCCTAGGATTGTGGAAGAGGAGGACCTTCCGACACTAGTGCATGAAATGGAAGTTTTGTCCCTACATACATAGAATTAGACACAATGAACACTCCTGCACGTTCCGTGTTTTTATTTTTTACGACGTCAGGCATCCCAAAGAAGCGGCACAATGTTGGGCAAGCAGTCGATGCTAAATGTTGTTCTCACCGCTGTGCTCGTACCTTTCCTGTATCCACATTGCTTACGCCTGTATAATCATGGAGCTCTGGATCTCGACCACTGGTGGTGGCGCAAGAATGGCTCGTACACAGTTCGGATGGTGATGGCGGTTCCTCCAGTCATACACCTAGAAAACTTCGTAACACCATTAGAGCGCCAATATCTTCTTCGACTAGCGTACGTTTGCCAAATCCACCTCGTTCAATCTGCACTACTTCTCAAGACTGACGCTTGAGCCTTTAGGGAGCCTTTGTTTGAGCGGTCATATGTCATGCTGGACAACGGGAGCGCTCTTCTTGACAACGCCCGCATCAGCTCCTCAGCGTATCTGCCATTGGGTGACCCCATTGTCAGACGCATCGCGCAGCGTGCAGCAGAGTTCCAGGGCTATATGGACGCCGATAGGGTGGACGTCCAAGCTACAGCATATGCCGAAGGCGGCCACTTCAAGCCCCATTATGACACCAGCCCAGACGATGCGAATGGAAGGCAACGCAAATCCACCATCTTTGTTATTCTCGATGCAAAATGCGAGAAGTGCGGGACCATTTTCCCCAATATCAAGGCAGATTGGTCCGGATTCAGCAAGGAGTGGTGCAAGCACTTGGAGTGCGACGAATCTGTACTCGCCACTCGCGCCGTTCCTGGCAGTGCACTATTTTGGGAGAACCTCGATTCAGCGGGAAATGTCCTCGATACGAGTCTGCACGGGGGCCGTCCTGTGATTAGCGGACATAAAGTCGGTCTAAATGTATGGACGATGGTACACAGGGACGAATATGCATAAACAGGCTCTCGGCAGTAATTGGGCGTAGATAGTCTCGATCAGTTTTCGGGCGGCCGATTAACGCTTCGTTGATCTTCAAACAGAAAGCAAAGAGGAAGCAGCACATTTCGCTTTCATTCTTGAATCAAATGTAAATTATTCGGCTAACCTGATTGATATGGCCTGATGCCAAAGTCATCACTGTAGACATTTGACTCACAGATGAATGACTTCCCTCGATCCAAATCCTGTCCTGTTGCGTTCTACCAGCCTCGAGTCTCAAGAGGAGACTTCGCTTTCAATGCTATTCATGCGTGCACCGTCAGAAGATGTGATTCGGGCGCTACAGAAGCATTTACTTCTACGGCGATACAAATCCACTTTCGCAGCGTCATTGGAACTCGACAACCTTGCACGGAAGGTTCGAGGAGGCCACACACATGAAATGATAGATCGGCTGAACTACTCATCTGTTGAGCACAAAATATGTACATCGCAGACGCTCTTGTCTGTATACTCCCTCTTCTCCCCGAATCAACCGCGTATACCACGCTTTCGAACATTGCTCTTCACTCATTACCAGATCCTGGCCAGGAGTTTGAGTTCAGCAACGGTGCACTACTCTCTCCAATCTTAGTTCCCCGTGTTCCAGGCAGTAAAGGTTCACGAGATGTTCTCAATCACTTTGCCAACTTCTTCTTCGAGACCTTACCGGAGTGGAAGATTACGCTCCAGAACTCGACCAGTACAACGCCTACGTCAGATGGCAACGAGATTCCCTTTACAAATCTCGTAGCAACGCGCGACCCACCATGGACGGACGGTACTGGCGATGTCAGTCGTTTAGTTCTGGCCGCACACTATGATTCGAAGTCCACACCTGTGGGATTTATCGGTGCTACCGACTCAGCTGCATCTTGTGCAATGCTTCTGCACATAGCAAGGAGTGTCGAGCAAGCTCTGGCTAAGAAGTGGGAGTTTGAACAAAAGCAAGCACACGATAAAGACCTTAACGGCGGTACGGGGATCCAGATACTATTATTTGACGGAGAGGAAGCCTTCGGTACCTGGACGTCCACGGATTCTTTATACGGTGCAAGGTCGTTGGCAGAAGAGTGGGAGACGCTAGCATACTCCCCTTGGAGCGAGTATCACTCGCCACTTTCAGCAATACAGCTGTTCGTTCTACTCGATCTCCTAGGCGAGGAGAACCCCAAGGTACCATCGTACTTTAAGACCACTCATTGGGCGTATCAGAGGATGGCGGATGTTGAGAAGCGTCTTCGTGAGCAGGACTTATTGAGAAGCTCACGGAGCCAGTTTCTTCCCGAAGCTCACAAGAAGGACACGGATTTGTGGATCGGTGGCTATATCGAAGATGACCACACTCCGTTTATGATGCGTGGGGTGGAGATCTTGCATATGATTCCTTCGCCTTACCCACGCACGTGGCATACGATGGACGATGATGGCGACCATCTTCATATAGACACTGTAGAAGACTGGGCTAAGGTCATGCTTGGATTTGCTGCAGAATGGATGGATCTAGATGGCTGGTTCGATGTACGCTAGAACGTGGGTAAAGCTGAAGCCAGAACTGATGCTCTGCATGTTTGCCATAGTCTCATCTACAGAAATGAGCTTTCATTCAAACGTTCAGGCCATATTTGTAGTCCTGGCATACAAAGCTGATTGCGAGACGGGAGGAGTTGCAAACAAAAGGTGGTAAGCCTTTCAAAACCGATAGCTGATTTTCCTGCTTGAGACGTACCCTATCCTGGATCATCGAGACAAGAGAACGGGGAAAAATTGGACACTGAGAACTTTTTGTCGGAGATCACTTTCGATACGGCAAGCCATAGCGCTGACATGATGACCAGTCCTTCATGGTGCATTGCACAATACAGTGATGGAAGTTTAAGCAGATAGCGGTGGACATGTTGTGCGATAGAGATCTGAGGACAGTTGGCTATACTGCAGGCCTAGTGAGTGGATGCCCTTCTATCGCTTATAAGCCGTCACGGTACGGTAAAGACAGGAAGCCAACACCTGCGGCGGGCTATAGCCCTAAGTCTGCTCCCTTCATAGCCTCGTCCCAATTACACCTTTCTCTGTTCTTCACCCCGTCGTAGCGGAAGCCATCGCCGCCCTTTACTTGGATGCCTCCTCCTCGCCCTCGACCTTCTTGTACCAGGGTCCGTAAGCTGGCAGGTAAGATGGGAGGTACGATGGCAGGTATGGTGGTTGGGGGGCTGCCTCTCGCTTCTCGGCTGTCTCTTCAGATGCCTCACCCTCAACCTTCTTGTACCAAGGGCCGTAAGCGGGAAGGTAGGATGGGAGGTAGGATGGCAAATATGGTGGCTGAGGCGCGGCGTCTCGTTTCTCGGCTGCGTCTTCGGAGGCCTCCTCACCCTCAGTCTTCTTGTACCAAGGCCCGTAAGCTGGGAGGTAAGATGGCAAGTAAGACGGCAGATATGGTGGCTGAGGAGCGGCATCACGCTTTACTTCGGCGCGCTTCTCTCCTGCAGCAGCGCGAGGAGAGAAAGGGCTTGGGGCGGCATCGGCCATGCTTGCGAGCATGGCTGCCGCGAAGAGGGTGGCGAAAGAACGCATGTTAGGTGTTGGAAGGAACTAGGCTGGCGAAAAGCCTTGTTGATGGTTACGTTCCTTGGGAATGCGCTTGAACTGGTACCTCGACGAGTGTACTTGTTACCCTGACAAGGCCTTTACATATAGTAGTCCCATGGCCTGAAGCCAGATACGAACTAGGCGTAGTAGTTCTGCATGTACCCGCGCGCCACAACGCTGTGTTACCGTTACGATCAAGCTCAGTAGCTTGAGAGAAGCACCCCAAGCGAGCACTTGTACTAGCGACCGATACATAGGCATGTGTTCAGGCTTCCGACCGCGCGGAGCATATCCCATTGTATGCTTACAACGAGGAGCAAGATGGGGAATACTCCCAAGTATGCTAAGATAGCTGCTCATGGATTTGCGCATGTTATTGAGCCAGAATTGACTAATTGGCGCAATTGTTTTCGCAATAGATGGGCTAGGCTATAGTCTAGGCCTGCCGGAATGGGCCCCCTGAGCTTTGCTTCCGGTAATCTTGCTTCGGGCTATTGGTCAATTTATTTTGCTCAGAGTTCAGAGATCTCTTGTGGATGTGGCATGTTACATATTGCAGGGAGTACAGATCCGTCTTCCCTTTTCCCTTCATCTATCTATGATGTTAATGGTCAGCCCGAGAAGCCTTGAGGGGATTTCAGACTGGTGAATCTTGGCATCTCTTACGGGTAGGCATGGTGGAAGCTACATTCGTGCTCCAATCCTCGGCGTTCACCGTGCTTCCTATTCATTAACGCTTCGCCGTTCGCTTCTGATCTCTGCTATGTCTTTTCTGATAGTCTTGTCAGTATTTGCTGACCATCAACAGCAAAAGTCAGACCAGGAGGCCGGGAGCGATACTTTGCAGCTGTAGACGCCGTTACGAGTTCTCCTTCGTTCTGGCATTGTGAAGGTCGTTCGTTGAGAAGAAGCGCCTGCGTACTGCAGCATTCGCTCTTTCGCCAATCAGCTCCCATCTAGATCTTTTGCGGCGAGAGCAAGCGTCACTAGAGCCCGCTTATCCTCCTCTGAGAAAGTGTATGCCAGTGAGGGCTGCGAACAATCACAAACCCGGCATGAGGACGGATTCGTAGCGTCCTTCATGGCGAGGCTGTGCCAAGAGCATCCTTCAAGGCACACACTTGATGCGAGCTTGGCTCTACCGCGGAAATGTCACAGTCGACCTCAGGAGGCATGCTTCGATCTTGTTCCGCCGCGACCAACGGCGCCTCGCTTCAAGCTTTAGTCAGTAATACTCTTATTGATCAGCTCGAATGGCGGTTTCATAGATATTGTCGAAACGTTGATTGGTAGCGAGGCTAGCTTCCATTGCCGAGAGCAAAACCCACCCCAGACAAGGGTTGGCAACACATCGTGCCTTGCATTATACACGAATGCTGAGATTGGTAGTCAACTATCAGGTTAAAAGGTCCTTCAAGATAGATAGCAGCGAGCAACGTGCAGAAGTCTGCGAGAAAGTGTTTAGTGTAGCTACTTGCGAGGTAGACCTCGAGCGCCCTCCCGCTTGTAGTCAACCCTGTATCTACTGACTGGCACAGATGTATCCCATGTCTTCGTGTAATACTCATTCACCCTGTCAATGAGGCCTGACTCGGTGTTGAAGTCGAGTCGAATGCACAGCGTGTAGGTGAAGGCCTTTCCGGTAGCTTTGATGGTGTACAGATCCTCGGCAAAGACGCCCTCCGCAAATCCCTCCAGGATCGAGCCGGTCTTGGTTGGATGGATGTCGGTGATGGTGACTTTGTAGGGTTGGTTGCAGGTAAGCCAGCGCTCTCTCAGCATTTCCAGGCCCACATGGCCTTTACGATGGATCTGGAAGGCATGATCGAGCCAATCGACGTCCGGGGAGTAGTGCTTCATAAAGTCCTTGTGCGACATCTCCTGAAGCGATTTGGACCATGACTTGCCAACTTCCTCTGTCATGCGAACAAAGTATTCGGCGTCAAACTTGCTGCTATGGTCTAAGAGACAATCATTGCGTTAGCATATCACAAGCACAGGTAGGAAAATGACATTGATGGCTTACTGTTGATTGCCATCTCGTCAACCTCTGCAACAGGGAGGAACGGTTTGGATCGACTGACTGACTACCTGGATAATGGTCCATCCCGCACCGAAAATGTCCTATATGCAAAAACCAGCCATTGAAGACGATTACTCACCATCAATTCCGAGGTATGTGTGATTACGGTAGAAACATTGAAGGAGCCAGGGCACAACTGAACTCCAATGTTCGCTCACGGGAACGAATACGAAATACATAGGAGGAGCCCACTCGATTGAGCTTTACTGCGCCTTTGTGGCGCCACTAAGTAGCCGCCACGTAGGATTTGAGGTCTGTCTAGGGCCTATACGCGAGGAGGACCCGGCTACGGAGGAGACAGCTTCCGAACGGATCGTGGTCGTAGTGGGAGGTTAGAGCTGTGTCTCAAAGTCCAGTACAGTACACCCAGACCCGCTGACAAAGAAGACGCCTAAACAATCAGGAACCGGGTAAACAACGCAGCTATATAGGACCCCAAAAAGCTCCCCGTCCGGCCAAAGCTTCCAACGAGGCTCAATCCCAATGCGGTAGACTTCACGAGCTGCATTAGCTCGGGTAACAACTAGCTCACACGCTAGGCTCCAGGCTTGAGTGAGTGAGCTCAAGCATTGAGCGCTTCCGCCTTGTGTCTCGGCCAAACCTGGTAGTGCCCAGCAACTAGTCCTCTTCCGAAGAGCCATGTGCTGGGAAGTGCATCATATCTTGTTGACTCGTCCATCGTGTAATAAGTTCTGGCCCCTCGACATCATCTCATGCGCCTGAAATTTCTTGAAGTCCCTGGAGCGAACGCCCTGCGCTGACATCACGTTCAACTCAGCATAAGTCCCACTTTGCGTCTCCGGGACACGGTACAATGCCCACCACAAACCGAGAGCGTCGAGACCCCCCAATATGAAGCCTATCTTGCCGCGAAGATTAGCAGCATCGGCGTTGATCAGATACGGAACCGCTGCCATCTGTACAGTGCTGTCAGTGATGCTTGGCTACCGGCGAATAGTATGTTGACCTACATGACACAGCGTACAATTGCTTGTATGACCGTGGTGATAGCCATGGTCTTGGAGAGGACATGAGTTGCCGCAACTTCACCAAAAAGAACGAAGCAGACGGCACCAATGGTGCAGACGTAAACAAGTTCCACACGAGAAGTCTTGCTGTCTCCGTTCGCCGCCGATTCGCTCTGCTTAAAGAGTTTAAATACGGGCTCCCGGTTCCTGCTCCAGAGTGTCCGTCTCAATCATGAAGGCCAACGTCTGCTTTACGTTAACTGTTTCGCTTGCGGGACGTTGATGGCCTTTGTCGACGCTAGTCGATAGTACTCCACGTGTAGTCTCCGGCCTTCAGAGGACTTGAGGAAGATGTGTCCCATCATATCATGTTGTCCAGATCTGCTCCACCCCGTATACACGAATGCCTGTAGCACTCCCAGCATGTAGCAGTATTATCCTCACTCGTTCGCCGTCTCCAGTGCAGGACTCCAACGCTCTCTCGATTCGAGTTCCACTCAGAATCCGGCCCGCCACTGGCCCCGGAGGTATACCAGACCGTGATCTCGCGGGTATAGTCGTCCAAGATCGCAGCGACGTTTGACACATTGAGCCGCAGGCCCGGGTTTTTCACTTTGAGCACATCGACATTCTGGAGATGCGTCTCTAGGTTGTCGGCGAACGGAACCACGCACTCATGAAGGGAGCTGTTCTCCATCATGAAGTCAGCTGTGCACCATCGTCGGATGATGTCATACGCATTGGGATCCGGCGAGCTGTGAGCTTCCATGATCTCGCGCGTCAATTGCTCCAAGAGCGTCTTGGTCTCCTTGAAATCCTGACTAGCTGCATGGATCTCAGCGCCCTCGGGGAATAGTGCCATGTGGGAGCGAGGAGGAGCGGTCTTGGTGATTGTGTGCTGAGCTGAGGACGGCTGTTGTTGTTCTTTCGCTTCCGGCAGATGACGTCGGCGACGGAGTCAGCGTGGCTTTTCAGCTGGTGAGAATCTGGAAGCGCCAAGGTTGTAGGGCAGGTCTCGCCTACTTCAGCTGTGATCAGTGCTTTGCCTAATGAGGCAGCTGTATGAGGCTGACCAGCCAATGGGGAACTAGAGTCTCTCTTCACATGCACGCCGCATTTTCACAAACGTTACACTATCTCTAATACATTGTCGCATGTACAGAAAATTCGGTTGGAGGATAACGGAGATGTCGCTTTATATCTTCAAGACGATTTCGCTCCGTGTCGAGCACTCGCTAGGAGACTTTGTAGTAAGACACTCGCTGCCTGAAGATAAGCGACGTCACGCACTTCACGATGTTCACGATGAAACCCAGCAGACCATGTTTGTTCGTCCTGTCCATCTCATTCAACTGTACTGACTCTGTTCAAGCAGACTTGTACGCGCCATGAAAGCCGTAATTCATTACCAAAGGCATCTCAGCTCGACCAATGTCATTCATTGTCTTCGCATCGATCACCACCAACGAGCTGCGTCTCTCGACACTGTTCAGCACCACCGTCAGGAGTACACCGTCATCCTCGCTCGTAGCATTCGGTCGAGCAATGAACATCGGCTCCGATGGAAGACTGTCGACCCGTGGAGTCCATGTCTTTGACTGTTGTGTCTGAGTGTCGATCTTGACGATCGAGTCGCTGAAGTAGCCTCGCTTTTCGACGTGCACGCCGTATCTACATGGAAATTATTCATCAGTCTTTGGCATCTCTCGCTCACCGTACCCATACACCACTCACGCATATCGGTATGGCTTCATCCTGTACTGTTCGTTGATCTGAGGAAGCTCCATGTTCCCCTCACGAAAGGGAATCGAAAAGTCAACCGTGGCGTTCTGGAAAACACTGGAGTTAGACTTTGCTGGCGTTGCTAGACGGTATCGCTTCATGGTCCCGGCAAGGTCGAACGCTGCTGTGCCGTTCCTGATACCGACGTTTGCGCGGAGGGTGGGAACACGGGCGGCTTCTAAGAAGTCGTAATTCGGATACCACGGGAGGTCAATGACGACCGAGCCGTCCTTGGGGTCCTCGTACGCATTGACCTCGTGGAAGGCGAAGAACGGATCGGTCGAATACTTGGCTACCACTCCGCCCTTCTTCTTGTCGATGACGTAGAAAAGGGAGCTTTGGCTGCTATTGAATGGTTTGAGAGCATCGACGACGTTGAACGTTTGTTCTTGTTTGACGAGGTCGATCTCAGCTTGCCAGACGATGAGCACGACGTAGTTCTGTGTACCAAAGACGGCATGGATGTATGCTGGTGGGGCGTCTGTTATGTTTGCCAGGATGGTGGCGAAGCCCGTGTTGTCGACATGGAAGACGAGGTAGTAGGTTTGTTCCCCTGAAATCATCGCGTAGTTGTAGAATCCGTTGCCATCCCTGCATCTTGTCAGACTTATGTATATGTCATACTCAGCGTTGCAACTACCGAGTAGGGTGTGCAGCGCTTGATGCATTGTCGTTCAAGGCCAGGTTGCTTGCCTGGTAGGTAAAGAGCTCAATCGGCTCGAGTGTCTCGGGGTTCAGCTGTTGCAGTTGACTTCATGCCCTGGTCAGTCATCATAGACATGGCACTGCTGGAGTCCTTGACCTACTTCCCATCTGTTGTCCATGTCAATGTCTTGGCAGGGCTGTTATTCTGCGTCGTGTTCTCTGCCAATCCCGGGAAGGCGAGCACTGGCACTACATTGACATTGGCGGCTGAGGTGTTTCCACGAGGATTGATCCCATCTCGAAACGTAGCTACAGACCAGGTTAGCTGGCCTCGCATTATGGTCTTTTGCAATTTTCCTTACTCTCGAAGGCGTTGAAGATAACCTTGCATGGATCTCCGCCAACTAATCGATAATTAGCTCTGAAAACGTAAATGGACATGAGGTTGGGCTTACATGTCGGGCCGGGAACTGCACCGTGCTCTTCTACAAAAGCGCTGTACTCATCTGCACTGTTACGACTTCGATAGCTGACTTTGCCGTTTGCAATCTCGAACCGATGCATGCGAGAACCTTGATCAAACCAGTGCTCAACGCTGTAGTTTCCTATCGACATGTAAAAATCATCACATTTCCAAGGCTCGGTGAAGCATACCATAGTCGTAGACTCCACCTGCTCCTCTCCACAGCGATCCTTCTACCCAGGTCGGTATCTACGTCGTGTTAGAGGTATAACTACGGCGAATGTTTGGTGCAAGGCAAGCGTACGACTCCTTCGGTTGCTAACTCAATAGGCTGGCGTTGTTCGTCGGTGTTGTAGAACCCCAGTGTCAGGGCTCTGGGATGCACGGCTTGGTTGGCGAGTGCAGCTGCTTCTGCAAGACAGACTAGGTGTGCAATGAAGGTATAGCGGTGGCTCAACATGTTGTCAGGACGTCTGTCTCTCGACGTTGAGACGGGCAGGTTGGCCCCTGGTGTTTGATGGAGCCTGGGCTCTATATACTACCACGGATACACTTTACGTGCGTACAATCGGAAGATATTGTTCATCATCGATCGTTCATCGCACTGCTCCTCGGAATAGGAGGCGTGTCGAACCCACTGGACATCTTGAAGCCGTGGCAGGATGGTCGTAAGCTTGGGTCCCAAGGCAGACACAATCCCTGCCTTCTATTGACTTGTCAGCAGGGTGACTGGCTTTTGAGCTGTGACGTGATGGCAACCATGTTCCTGTCGCAGAAAGACTCCGCAAATGCAAGATGGTGACGAAAGTGATTCGAGAGTAAGCTAGTCCGAATAAGGTAGTAACGGCGACCACGGGATTCAATATCCGCACGTGGCCGCTCTTGAGCAGGCTGTGCGAAGCAACGTCATTCTACTTGTCGATGCTCGCACTGGGCATCGGAACAGTTGATGACAGATATTCTTCCCACTTTCATCAGCGCTTCGGCCTGTTTTTTAGGCATTCCCGCTTGATCGTGATCTATTTTACAATCCCAGGATCTTACCAGCCTCGGTCCTTGGCCAGTCGCTGAAAGGCCTGGAAGTCCTTTTTCCCCGGCGATGAAGCGCTGCTTTGGCCCTACCAGGTTTCAGGTTCGTCTTGGTTTACAACGCAATCTGAGTATCGAAGATCTTCATCAAACCATCCAAGATCGTTCTATTCAGTTCCCGGACATACATGGCGCTGTGAGCATTTCCATGTAGTCGGCTAGCATGGGCAGACGGCCACACCGTACAGTCTGTCGAAGAGAGACTTCGCTGGTTTTGAGATGAAACATAAAGAGGTGGAGGTCTACAGACGAAAAAGGCTTGCACCAGCAACGATTCAAGAATGGGCCCGTTCAAGAGCGCCGCGTCAAGAGCAGTGTCAAACTCGGGCTTCTCACGAGGACCTCCTGTCCGTGCAATGCCTTCTTCAGCCGGGCGACGGTGATGTTGATTGGGTCGTCTTCCGTGTGTGCCTTCGCGGAGTTTGCCTGTCGCCATCTGATGACCATACTAGTAGAACCCAATGCCGCAACGAGGTTCTCAAGAGTCTGCAACTTCTGGTTGAGCACGAACGGACTGAAGGACTTGCCTGGTGCTGGTGAAGACGATGGAACTCCACCACGGTCCCCGTCTTGATGCTGGAAAGAATCCTTTTCGAACTTGCATTCTGCACCTTGGATTTCCCATGGTAGAGGTAGTTCCTCGTACGCATTTCTCGACAACATGTTACCAGGTGTGGCGTATGGTCCCAGCATTTTGTCCTCGAGATCAGAAAGGATCTCCTGGATGTCTTGGTAATTTGGCACAGACGGATGGACGTAGAGTGAGCTACATGTCCACATTGCGAGCGTACCGCCAGGTTTGAGGACCTTGCCCACGGCTTCGTAGAACTTAGACATGTCGAACCAATGGGCAGCCTTGACAAAGTCAGCAGGGGTTTTGGTTCGCAAGGCTGAATGTTGCTACGCACCATACCCACAGTCACCAAGTCCACCTTCTCTCCTGGAAATGCCTGATCACACTTCTCAGCCTCGCAGACTGCAAACTCCGTCCGGCCGTCAACGCCTAGTCGGCTTGCAACAATTTTGGCCTGCGCAATCATTTCAACCCCAGCATCGCAGCCAAACCCTTTCGCGAAATGCGGGAGAAGATCGAACACTGCCGTCCCGGGACCCGATCCGACATCCAGCAACTTGTCCAGTTGCCCAGTGTGATACTTCAAGATACCTTCATACAGCGCCTGTGGATATCCTTTGCCGCGAGCAGCTGCATATGCGGCGGCCTGCTCAGGCGTAAAGGACGTAAATGTGGCTTCTTTGGAAGACATGGCTGGAATGTCTTGCAGTCATTGTCTGGCCGTGGTTCAGCCACTTTAATAGAAACATCATGCCAAGTGAGTCATGGTTTCAGATGGCTTTCCCTTCCTGGTCGACTTGCAGCCACCAACTCGGCAGATTCAGCGAGACACTCTCACCTGCCAGACGACTCCTCGCAATAATCAGCTGGGGATTGAAAGACTATTTCAGCGATCATGTAGTACATAGAGATACGGGAAGTTCCACTTCTTAAGCCCTGTAGTCCGGCACCTGCACGACGGGTGACTACATCCTCTGTGTTCCATCAGCCGACGCCCGTTTGTCTTCTAGATCACTGAAGAAAACGTATCCAAAAATATCCGAAGCATCCAGGAACCTGCATTACGATCATAGCATTGGCCAATGTTCCTTCCTTCCCAAGTCCCTTCTTAACGTGCTACCCACCGAAGCCTCTGATCCAGCTTGTCAATCTTCTGTACATCTCCCGGTGCCAGGGTGAAATCAGCCTCGAGATTGTCTCGAATGCGTGATTCGGTCGTCGACTTTGGGATGACAGTCCTAAATGTCGTCAGCACAGGTCCCCACCAACATGTACTTCCCATTCATGTACTTCCCATTGCTGGGAGGAAAGCCAATTCGTACCGGCCATGTGCAATACCCCAAGCTAAGGCGACCTGAGCTGTACTCTTTCTGTACTTTGCAGCTACCTCGACCATGACAGAATGATCAAGCAGCTTCCCAACATGTGGATGCTTCGTGTAGTACGGATTCGCATTGCCTGGTCAGACTGTCAGCTGGAGCCCCTCGTGCGGCCACGGGACGACTCACTGAACGGGTTGAACTGCGTAACATGAATGCTCCTTGCCTTGTGCCAGTCGTTGAAGCTGGGCTGTGCCAGGTATGGATGGCACTCCAGCTGATGGACGGCAGGCACCACATTGCCATGCTCGAGCAAGCGTTCCATCTCGTTCTGCGAAAAGTTGCTGACACCTAATGCTCTTGCTTTGCCCTTGCCATACACTGCTTCCATACCGTGCCAGTCTCGACATAGTTAGTATCTCCTTTGATCACGGCACCGCTGCTGTCTTTAGGAAACAAGTCGTCTCCCGATTGGAGGGCCGCAGGCCAATGCCTAGTGAGATACATGTCAGAAGAAGACAAGTCCTCGTCGCTCGGCCGATATCGACTCACATGAGCCACAAGTCCACATAATCAGTCCCAAGAGCATTCAAAGATGCATCGATTGCGGACTCGACATCAGCCGGATCGTGTTTGTTGCTCCACAGCTTTGTCACCAGGAATATGTCTTCGCGCGGAACGCCGCTGGCTCGAATTCCTGTGCCCACGGCCTGTTCGGTGCCGTACATGCTGGCAGTGTCGACGTGCCGGTATCCTAGTCTCAGGGCTGTTTCCACTGCTTTTGCGTGCCCCTCAACATCCTGCCAGGTTCCAAATCCGATCGCAGCTGCAGTGGAAGAGAGCAGGTTAGCACTCAGGTTCTGATCAAGAGTTGGTAGGCTCGCATACGGATGAATGCTCCTGTGTTGAGTTCGAAATGTGTTCCAGCCATGTGTTTCGTTAACGATAGATGGCGAGGCAACGGCTGGGAAAAATTCGAAGCTCAGTTGACCAGAGAATCGAGGATGCCATCATGTATGGGTTCCATTTCTGCAACAACACTGTAACAGGGTCCCAAATTCATGATTAACAATCGTAAAAGCTTCTTCAACTTTAGACAAGAGGTTTGCGACTCTGAACGGAAGGTGGTGTTCAGCCATGACTAACGTTCATCAACGCTCCCATTTTGACCGATCACAGCCTGATCTTGGCGGCGGAAACATTCGACCGCCACGAGCCAAACCGAATGCAGTAGAGTCCACGACGTGCATCTGCAGCCTCTCGGCGCTTTGTCATGTTTAGGGCATCCATGTTTTGTGATGCGGCTGAGCGGCTCTTTCAGCCAGCACGTGGCTAGCACATCTGCCTTACCGTGCATGACATCCGGAATCTGCTTGATCTTGGTTTTAGTTCATGGACCGATGCCCTGAAACGACCCAGCGTGAACGAACCAGCGTTAAAAAACCCGATGCTCATTGCAATTTGTCCAGGCAACTCCGCGGAGCCATCATCAAGATCGAATGTACATCACCGATAACGACGTCGCTGAATCATGGGAGAATCTACATATTTAAAGTGGTGGCCTTCCGGCAAGACCAAGCCTTGAAATCTCTCAATATCCGCTGCCATGTCTCCTGCATCGCTACTGGTCTTCAGCGCATCGCTCCTACTAGGACTTCTCCCTGGAGCGTTAGCCACCACTCAAAACAACCTCACCGTCACTGCAGAACCAACCAAAGTGCAGCCTTATGTCATTCCATATCTCAACGGCTTCGGCGTTCAGACATTCGGCTATGTCGTCAGGTTCCTGGCCACGAATGTCTCAACAGCAGGAGCGATATCCATGGTGCTGATCAATGGGCCCAAAGAGTCGGCAGTGCCAGTCCACTACCACTCACGCTACCATGAGGTGTTCTTCGTAGCCAAGGGAGCGGTAAACCTGTTTGTCCAGAACGAGACTAGGAGATTGGGGCCTATGGACATTGGAAGCGTACCGCCAGGCTTCAACCACTCGTTCGAGCTTCTCGAGCCGGATACTGAGATCGTTGGTGCTGTCACGCCGGGAGGTTTCAGCTTCTATCAACAAGTCGGCGAACCGTATGCACCAGCAGTTCTGGCACCGTTTCCAGCCGCCGACGCATTACCCGACGCAAACCTGTCAAGAGTTCTCGCCGCAACGGGACTTTACTACGACTACAATCCCACCGACTATAAGCTGAACTACAACATGATCAACGGCACCACCAACGGCAGCCAGCCTTGGCACAACGGCAACAACACCCTTCCAGGATCCCCCACACCGTACTTCGTCGCTGGCGGCTGGGGACCCAAATACCTCCATCCCAAGCTTGGCCGAGTAACACACCTCTACACGACCGGCGCTGAGTCCAACAACGTCATGACGATCTCCACAATCACCATGCGCGCAGCCCGACAAAACGAAACATCCTTTTCATGGCGCAGCGATGTGGCGTTCCAGCTCTTCCGTGTTCTTGAAGGCCAACTGTACATCCGAATGCAGAACCAGACAGCGACGCTGCAGACCGGTGACACTGCGATGGTGCCGAGGGGTGTGGAGTTTGGATTTTGGAGTGAGGTTGCTTTGACGAAAGTACATACTGTTGCTGCTGTTCAGCCTGGTCTGAGCCCGAATTCGAGTGTGTTTGGGGTGGCTCATGATTTTCTTGCTGATAGCAAGCCTTGGGATTATGCTGTCTTTCCCGACTACTACTGATCTTGGTGCTCGTGCTGCTAGCGTGTGCTGGGATGATGACAACTTCATCATGCCATTCTCGCTTTGCCCGTTTGGCTGTCTCTTGACATTCGCGAGCTCTCAGATGGGCCATAGAATACAATATGTCTACCTCTCCCTCAGACCTCTACTTCGATAATCCCCGACACATCCCCAGGCGAAGGAAAGAATCGCACATATCGCAAAGAAACCGACTCAAACAGGGAACGCCATTGGGCTTCTGTGCGCTCCATGCTAGAAAAATGTGTCATCATAACCAGATCTAGGCAGCCACCCAATGCTCCACCCTTCACAGCCCGTGCAGGCAACACATTCTCCCTGATCAAGAGCTTGCTGTATCGCGGCGTCATGGCGTCTCTGATATGTCGAAGGATCGTACGGCCTTCGGCGTCTGGCCAATCGTGCAACACAGAGCACATGAAGTAGACTTTCGCACCATGCATTTCAGGCGGCTGCGGCTGGAAGAAATCGTGGGCCAGTGCTTGTATGGGCGACTTGACATTGCGTTGCGTGCTCTCAATTACGGCTGGTAGATCCTGCACGATGATTTTGTGCTGAGCAGTCGCCGAACTTGCTTCCACGAGCGCCTTCATCTCATTGCCTGTTCCACCGCCCACATCGACAGCCAGTGGTCTCGTGTCATCGACTGCTTACATCACGCGGTTCAGTGGATAGTACGACGGCCAGGGCACAGCCGGAATGAGTGTCCCAAGCCATTCGTAGAAAGAAGACTGCTCAGCCGGGCGCTCAGATAGGTAGTACCAGAATTCCATATGCATCCAGTCGCGATCGGGAGAATGAGTATTGTCCACGGGGTTGCGGTACCCCTATTGACGAAGATAGCCAGGCAGCACCGCGAGACCGTGAATTTCAATGTCATAGAAGAAGTTGATGCCGTTGATCAAGCCGTCCGGGTCCGCCAATGCTCGCGCCCACTCTGTTTCTATCCATGCGTCCTCGTCGCCTAGTTGCTCAATCACACCACCAACAGTCAGTTGGCGAAGAATGCGAAGGAGAAGCGCAGCTTCGCAGTTGACTTTCTCGGCGAGCTGGGCGTGAGTCTGCGGCATTTTGCTGAGACGTTGGAGTAGACTAAGATCAGCGGCGATGCGGATTGCGCTCATGATCACGTTCTGCGTCCAGACGACCCGGACAGTGCTCTCCCATGGCTTCTCCAGCCTTCGCACGAGGGCTTCGGCTTTCCGAAGGGCATCGAGTCGAGAATCATCGTCAGCAAATGATGACTTGTCGATGTTGTCAATGTTGGCGAGCAGATCCGATGTCATATCTTTGTTAGCCATGATCACAGAATGTGGTGAATCAAGATCCGCAGGGCTGAGGACCGGCAAGGCAGCTGTTGTATCCACACAGCAGAGGTCACTGTCGGCTTCGAACACTCCATGTCAGCGATGGACTCCTTCCGTAAACGATTTTAGAGCCTCGTTCATGATCTTGCTGAGTCGTCTTAAGCGAAAAAGCCAAAGCGGAGCTGATCATATGGACGTGTCTGGAATGTCAGCCGCGAGAATGATTTTGTAAGCTCGGAATCATTCCCCAAAGCCCTTCGGCCTTTTCTGTCAAGACTACAGCTGCAGAGTGCACTTTCGCAGACCTTCTTCGCTGGAGATTGTACCTATGCTCTTGTTTTCGCCCCGAATCACGACCGTCAGCCATTTCAAGGCGACGTTGTGGTAATGGTATGAATTCGACCTCCCATAGTCTACACCGCCGTTGGCCATGAAGTCAATCCGCACCTCAGGCCCCCGATATTCCATTGAAACCGCCGACAGACAAGATCTACTCTGGAGCAGTGAAGCTCAACAGTGGTCGAGCAACATCACCCTCGAATCTACAGAAGACATCGCCCGCAATCAAATTGTCGAGACTTGGCTGGACGTCGGCGAGGCACACAATCAACGGAATTTCTCTCGGTAGTCATATCCATGGAACACCGTCTTCGCGGAAGACTTCTCTTGCGACGTCTCACATACCGATAAACGTCAGTTCACCCTGAGGGAGTATCTCGCATCACGAGAGGCGATGTACGGTCAGAACAAAGACCTGAGAGTCCAGCTCATCAACCTGACGACACAGGTCGATACTGCACGGGGGACTGCTGATGTGTTCTCGGAGCAGAGGGTTACTGGATGGGCAGGCGGTATTGCAAAAGTGTCCTTGGTTGTTGGGACAATGAGGAGAGCAGCAGAGCAGGGAAGATGGCTTGTATCCGGATGGAAGATTATGCAGGGAATGGAGCTTCCTATTGCGAGGCTACGGTCCGATCAGAATGAACTGATAGCCTGACTCTAGTTGAGAGCCAACCCCTCTGTCGTGGCCGGCCACGCCCCCAATCGGATTGGTGCCCCCATTCCGCCCCCAGCTCATTTGTCATCAGATAGAGCTCCGAGCCAGCTATACATACCACCGGCATTCGCATGGGATGACTCAGTCGCCTCAATACTGAAGCAAAAGCATTGAACCATTCGCACAGCTCACCTTATTTCCATGAGATATCAGCCGTAAAGATGCCTCAATTCAATGCTTTCGCCCTTGATGACTTTGGTGAGTTGACTGATGAAGCTGTGAGGAGCTCTTGCTGATAGATTACAGTATTCGAGTGGGGTGTGAGTGGTCACTTCAACATCCATTCAGACTGCACTGACAAAGGCAGCCGAAAGTCACTACAGGACTATGGGACTCTTGCGTTGAGCCGTTCGCCCTCTCTGAGCTCCAGGCGCTTGATCCAGAGACCTCAGTCCTCTCACAAGAGACACAGCTACGATATGGCTTCAGATGGGGTCTGCCAAAGCTCAGAGACAGCGTCAGAGGGTTGTATAACTTTCCAGACCTGACTGCCGACGACATCGTGATCACCTCTGGATGCATCTCGGCAAACTACCTGCTGCTGGACACCATAGTCAATACTGGCGACCACGTAATCGTACAGCACCCAACGTATGGACAGCTCATCGAGGTGCCACGCCGTGCTGGAGCCCAAGTCTCACTCTGGAAATGGCAGTGGAAGATGGAGGGAGGAGAAGCGTCTTGGTCCATGGATTTTGATCAGCTTGAGAAGATGATCCAGCCAAATACGACTTTGATCGTGCTGAGCAGTCCCAGCAATCCAACTGGATCTGTCCTCAGTAGAGAAGACCTGCAGCGCATAGTGGACATGGCCAGAGCTAGGGACCTCATTGTGATGTGCGATGAGGTTTTCCGCTTCATGCATCATGGTCCAGATGCAGAAGCTCCGCCATCTCTACTCGAGCTTGGATATGAGAAGAGCATTGTCACTGGCAGTCTCTCCAAAGGGTTCGCTCTGCCAGGAATCCGCCTCGGATGGATTGCTACTCATCCTTCTCTTCGGCAAACCATCCTATACTCTGCCCAACACTCGAGAGACTATACGACCATCGCCGTCAGTCAGGTCGATCAACAAGTAGCCATGTTCGCACTTTCGCCCAAGGTTAGACCGCAAATCCTGAATCGCACTCGAGAGATCACGCAGAGAAACATCCAAATGCTAGATAAATGGGTCAATGAGAATGCATGGGTAACATATGCCAAACCGATCGGAGGTGGAACAGCAGTCCTACGCATCACCGGTGATGATGGAAAACCAATTGATGATCTCGCATTTGCAGTGGCTCTGGCGAAGGAAGAGAAAGTGTGCGTTCCACCAGCTGGTTTCTGTTTCGGCCATGAAGCGGATGGCTCTGGGACTACCGATCTGAAAGGCTTCCTGAGGTGTGGTATTGTGATGGGAGGAGATACTCTTGAGCGAGGACTTGCTGCTATTAAGAGGTTGAGGCAGAGATAGTCATGAGCTCGGTCTTGACATGTTTCTTCAACCAGTTTTTATCCCTTTCCGAGAGCCAGGCTAAACCATTTGGAACTTCCCCGCCGATTGCTTTCATCCGAAACCAAAAGATTCTCTACCCAGCATCGGCTTGCGGTGCAAAGCCAGCAGAAGTATGCTCCTTCCACCAAACCCACTTCTCCCTGCCATCGGCCCCCTTCTCCAACCTCCAATAGAAGATATTCATCCTCTCCCTCAACACTCCTCTGGCATCGTTGTGCACAACAAGCCCAACCCACACCGTCGCGGAGCGCAAATGCCAATCAATATGCACCTCCGTGCTTTTGACATCGGCGAAGACGTCCGGGCTCAAATTCTTGAAGTACATGTCGCGGAGACGCATCATGTCTGAAGCGTTGACTTTGAGTATCGAGCCATCGTCCTCGGTGTTCTCGTATGAGTAGTCTGGAGATGCGTAGCGACTGACGGGTGTGAGCAAGTCGCGGGTGTTGATGCTGTTGACGATTTCCAGTGTCCAATGTTTGAGGTCGTCTTTGGTTGCTGTGGCCATTGAAATGTCTCCGGACTCATGACGAGTTTGGCAGCTTCCAGCCGCAGCTGGGGAATTGCTCTTCCTTATATACATGCGTGCTCGAAATGCCGAAGCTTACTGATTGCTAGCTCTGTCAAGGCCCCTCAGCTCCAGAATTTAGACATGGACTGTCCGTTCGGTGGCCCGTCTCACTCCTTCCTCGTAAGGTGTTACGTCTGCAACGACTCTGAATGCCATTGCTCTTTCCGTATCGGTAGGACAGCGTCCTGGGCATGTTTTAGATGCACTTTGCACTGTGTGATTCTTAGGCGTGGCACAGCAAGGACCTTGCCGGTCTCGTTAGCAAGTTCTTGGCCATGACGAAGACGTGCCGTTACAATCAGGCTTCATATTGAATGTTGCTGGCTATGGTGGAAAGAAATCAGATAAGCAACGCAGAGTACGCTGCTCTCCAAGCTCCGTATTTATTGGATATACTCACACACATGCGGCTGTTGACAGATCCGGTCGGCCAGGCTCTGTAATAGGCAAACCCGTTGTGAGTTGGGTTTGTCCACTCTTCGGGATTGGCATCGGCCTCGTTGCGTAACCCTTGGCCGTTGGTCGATATGCTGACGATATCTTACATTGCAGTGCATCATTGCATCAACTCTCAGGCGCGATCGCGTCGTTCTGTTGCTGCGCCTTTCGACGGCAGTAGCAATGAGATTTTACGCTGTATCTGGCTGCGGGACAGATAGCGTCCACCACACCTGCTCGAATACTCGACGACAGACCAACCAAGGCTGTGACGATAGTGACAATGTCTGGGAATCAGCTTGTCTCAGGGGACATTGGTGCAGGAAGAATTTGCGTCCCGGTAATGTTTCGAACATCTCACCATTTGCAGGTATTCGTGTTACAGAGCGTCATGCACGAGCCTCGCGAAGATGCAAGCTGCGGAGCGGTTTGGAATTTTGGGTACAAAGTCAAATTTTGTCCATCCGGGTGTTATGATTCTGAAGGAGCGAGTTGGGCTCAGCGAGATCAGAAGTTCGTATGAGATTTAGTTCTTACTGCTCGTGTAACAGATGACAGGAGCAAGAATCAAAGTTGGCGCCGTCTTGGACCTTTTGCCACAGCAAAAGGTAGACCCTGCATGCATTACAGCGCTATAATGTTGGCTTACGCTCAAATGGAAGCTCATGCTCGACTTGACGTCATCGTTTGAGTGGCTCCTAGATGCAGATATGTCATCACGAAATCAAGAAATGGAGCAAGAGCGAGATGCGGAGGAGTATCGCTACGCTTCGCACTCGGCTGCGGACTGGCGGTTGAGACCAAATTCGGGCACAAAACCAACAGTCTGCATCTCCTCGACCTTCGTCGTTGCTACATGTGGCGCCCCGTGTCAGAGTTCGTCATTTGCCTTTGTCGCCGCGGAAGAATCGATCAAGATCAGTCGGACTAATTTGTCGTTCCATGGACAGCTGGTCGAGGGATGAGCAGCTCCTCTGCATCAGAGTAGTCTATATATGTCGAATAGATTTCTTCGGTCGTTGAGACCTTTCATCCACATTCATCCATACTTTTTCGGATATCATCAGCCTCTCCAAGTCATTTCATAACTCCAACTTCACATCATGCTGTTCCCAAAGCTACTTCTAGCAGTCCTTAGCTCTGTTGCAGCTGTGCTCGCCCAGGACTGCGCTGGGACCGTCGGGACCTGCGATCCAAGCGACCCGCAGATCTGCCAGGGTGGTGGACAGAACTATACCTGTACCTATGTACGAACATATCGCTGGCATGCTCAATCGATCTCTACACATGCTAATCCTAATTGTGTATCATAGGGGTCTTGCCTTTCGAACGTACGTGAGGCTGCTATGCTGTACTCTGGACTATGCAGGCTAATTGTACAACTCCTTGCAGTGTTGCTATGGCGTGGACACGCCGACGGGTGGAATCGATTGCCACTAGCGAAGCACGAGATTTGTGGAACGATTCTTGCAGCAGGAGAACATATGGGCGCTGAATGGAATAGGAGTGGCATATACATCTGCACATCATGTTCCTAGATTCTCAAGGAAATTTGTCCTCTCAACGGGACCATAACCTCGAAATCATCTACATATTGCTCTCTCTCGTGATGCCGCCCGAGGTGCCTTTGTTGTGTAAGGGAGAGTTACAGGAGTCGCGGTGTGGCCAAGATGCAAGGGGTCTTAATACACCCATCCGAATCAGCTCTCGAACAAGTGAACAGTATTTTCGTATTTCCGCGCGCTTATCTTCCCAAGGGAAAGCTGGAATTATGCAACAAGTTATACCAATGCTCTACTTCGACCGGAAAGACGATTTCGGGGTCGAGTGCCCTCATCGGACTAGGAAGTGCCGCCTGGAATCAGATTCAGGCTAAAACCTGTTCGCAATCCTTGCAGGGTGATTTTCAGCCCTCCGATGGGTGTCGCTACAGGGATCTATAGTGGAAAGCGACTTTCGTCATGCTGCTGTCGAAGAGATGAACTGATTTAAGGCTGTGTCCCGCCGCCCCATTCATGGGCTACAAGCTATAAAGGAGGAACAGACCCCCTGAAGCCTTTTTGTGTATAGTGAATTCGTGGCTGGTATAGGCTGATGACAGCGAACAATCAAGCCCGTAAGCGGAGATATCATTCTAAAATCAAGTACGGTTCCGCGATGCAAAGAACGCAGGGAGGACGCTCAGCAGAATCTGCTAACTTCCTGCCCATATGTCTCCGGAGCGACCATTGCAATCGACAAGATTACCAGACGTGACTGACGGTGATGGTGCATGCTAGACTAAGTCGCCATTCCTCACGATACACGATACCTCATCAGATGTTGCGGTATATCGCCCGCTGGGATATTGTGTCCTCGCTCTTGAGCAAGCCGATAGAGTTCGTCCGTCACGTCTTGCGGCACGTCGTGGTTGATGCTGAAGCTCATGCCACCTAGGTGAATCAGGTCAGGGAGGACGTTGTTTGATAGCCTTGTCTAGTGATCATGACCGTCAGCATTGCTCTAGCGACCAAGATCCAAGACTGTACAAACCCCGACAGAGCCTCGCAGTATGATTGCAACAAACTCTGGCACATCGTTCATGTCGGCGCATCGTTCCGCGCCAGCCTGTCTCATAAGTCTTGCGTCGGCACAGAGCGCATATGTTCGAAAGTCGTACTGCGCGTCACGAAAGACCTGGATTTGGCTTTCAGTCGGGTTGCGGAGGATGTAGCCGCCAGGGAGGTTGCTCTGGTCGAATCCGAACATCAAGGGAGGGATGCCGTCTGGCGCAACAGTGGATCGTACGAAGTTTTGAGCAGGAAGACATTCGGTGATTCGATCGTAGAAGCGTGCTCCAGCACGTTGCATGAGGGTCGGGTCCGCGAAGTATGCTTGCTCTTGGTAGGGGAAGTTCGCGTTGCGGAAGATTTGGAGCTGGGCACATGTCGGTTTCTCTATAACCCAAATACCAGAACCCTGGGCACGAGTGCCTGCCCATCCCAGCATCACCTCTGGATCAAGGTTGGTGGAGGTCATGGTGTGTCAGGTCAGGGTTTGTCAGATCAGGTGAGGGACAAAAAGGGGCACAGGGGGAACGTCAGCCATGACCGAGCTATATGTAGACCGCAGAAGCAGATTGGAACCTAGAGCCCCAGTGGCCCCGCATGGTCGTCATTGTGCATCACAGAACTATTGTACACGTCTGAGATGTGGACCGATTCGCAGGCATGATCTTGGGAAAAAGGTACATGGTAGCGTCAATCGCCCCGTGTATTGCCATCTCCTTGATTCAAAGAGCAACGCATGTAGATACAAAGTAGACATTCTCAGCCTCTGAAAAATTGCTCGAAGGCTCAGGAAAAGGCTACAAGGACATCGAAAACGGCTCCATCTCCCAGCTTTACAATGCTCTTGCATCCCGCTGCCCCAAATCGTGGCCCGTATTCGCTCCCTTTTGCGTTCGATTCATTCCCTTGACCACTTCACTCCCTCGACTGCGGAAACGCCTCAGTGCCTTTCATATCGCAACAACCGATCTGGTAGTCGGCCTTGAAGATAGGGATCCTCCTGACGAAGTTGGACTAAAGCCAGTGAGTCGTTGCGCGGTACATCGTGGAAAATGTCAAAGCTGCGGCCATTTGGAAAGTGTATTATGTCAGGATCGACGGGGTTGCAGTCCAGATCTCGCTTTGACACCGCCATGATCCAGTTTGCCCCGACAAGTGCATTGTCGCAGGAAAGGCAGAGATTCGTTCCAAACCCAGCATTGCACGAGTTGGTGTCAGTGCAGCCATTCGCGCCCATTCTGTTTGTGGGAAATACGATCCCCTGGGCGGCCGGTAGAGGGAGGCCATTGTACAGCGCGCCTGCGAATGTACCGTTCGCGCCATTGGTGCAACACGATCCCTCCGCGATGTTGGAACAGGTGAGCACCTTGTATTGCACGCACGATGTGTCAGACCACAGAGATATGGTGACCGATTGAACCCCAAGGGTCAGCGCCAAAAGCGCGCTGGCGATTTTGAACATGATGGACGAGCTTGCTTCTCCAAGACTCTGGGAAGCGCTACTCGACCGGCTACTTAAACACTCTTGTCGTAATGATAATTTGGTTTAGTGCCTAAACCGAAATCAACTTGGTCGATTGCGAGTTTCGGTGGGTTTGGAGCTTTTGTAACCGCAAAAGCTCTTCCGGTAGAGCTCATCGTACAGGGCGGTGACTAAAATGTGCACCCATTCGGTCTAAGTCTATCAATGGTGTGAGACCCATCGCACTCATACTGCTCAGAGAGCCGTTATAATAAGTGTGGAGATGCAGGAGCAGATGCAGAATATCTCTTTCGATCAATCGCGGCGCCTAGTCGCTGTAACCACAGGGCCGCAAACATACGCTCAGGACAGCGCTTTCTGGGGCTTGTACGCTAGACAAGATAGCTTAATTCACCGAGACAGTTTCAACAGGTCTCCGTTGTGGCCCACAGTTTGGATGTGAAAGACAACCACCAAGTTGAGTCCTCGTCTGGTGGGTGCATCACGGCTGCCTACTCAACTTCTGTCGGACTTGCCTTGCGCACTCGCGCTATGCATCACATGTGTGAAGATTATCGGGCCTTGCCTCTCGCGTAGGACTGTCGTGAAGAGTGCATCGTTAAGGAGTTTCATGGCTGTGGCATCAGGCTGCCCCTTTCGGTTCCCTGACCCACAAGCTCTTGTCGCTGCAAAAGGTACCTGCAAGCCAGCACTAGCGTCGCACTAGCACCCAGCTTTGGAATTGGGATAGAAACATATTCAATCAATCCCCCTCAATTGCATTTCTCCTTGCAAACACCGCTGACCTCCAAAATCGGACGATCAGATCTCGACCAAGATGATCCAAAAGATATCACTCCTCTCGCTGCTTGCCATGGCAGTCCTCGCGACTGCCCTACCCCAAGGCAGCACGGATCCGATGTACTCTGGGGTGAGCACCATACCGAGAGTCCCTTCGGGCAGGCAGGCCAACAGCTGACGGCGGCACTGTAGGCTTGTAGCGGCAACACGTGCTATTATGCCTTCAACGGCGGTCGCGCCGACTGCCTTTGCACTACAACTGTAAGTGACGTCAAGTTAGCGCACGATTGTGCGGAACAGTAGATGAAATACTGACTGAAAAAAGTGTACGATGCAAAACGGCCCATGCTATTACCAACCTCTGAACAGCGGCTATTGCTATTGTGGATAGTTGCAATTTTTGTCTTTGTATTTAGCCTCGCACGCTCAGAATCCCTGTGCAGAAAATACCACCTCGGTCTGAGTCTTTTCAATCCTCATATGCGTATCATGACTTGAAAATTTCATCGTCGGACCGAGGACAGCAGACGCTACAAATGTGCCCATATCCGAACCCCAAAAGCGCTGCTAGCAACTATTTTCAAACGCAGCTGCGTAGCGTCCTCATCTGCCCATATGATGAGCTCCATGGGAGGATTGACGAATAAAAGACGTTTATGTGCCTACGGACCAGCAGAGTAATGAAGTTGAGGTAAGACTGTACGGATTGCACGGTGGTCGAATACATAGAGGACAACCCATCACACCTGCGGCCATTCGAACTCGAGTCCAAAAGATGGAGCCATGAGCGAACTTTCATCGAATAGAGGATGACTGTCGAGCGAGACTGGCAAATCGTCTGGCACGTTAAGTGGAGGTGGTTCAGGGAAACTGACGCCTTCGTCGAATGCTGCGTACATTGTGTTGACACTTGACCCTTTCGCTTTGTCTTCTGGAAATGAGATTAGTAGTAATAAAGCATACCGACTTGCAGAGCTTACGATGATTCTCAGGTTTCACAAATTTGGCAGAGTAGCGACTTTGGCATGCTTCCCACCAAGGTCCATACTCCCCAGCCAACAGCCTAATCGGCGCAAATGCCTCGGATCCGTCTCTCAGGCTCGGTATCAAGTTCAAAAGGCTGTCGTACCGGATCCGGTATATTCGTGCCAGCTCGAACACCAAAAGGAGAGATAAAAATGCGCTGAAACCGTGCTGTCGTCCGATCCTTTCTACTACATTGAGCTTCGTGCCAAGCCGAAGTCCCGTGGCCACCTTCCCTTCCTCTGCTCTGGAAATGCCAAGTTCGTCGTAGAAAGCCTTGGTGTTCTTCTTGATTCTCTGCACGGCCGGCGAGACACCTTCCAGCAAACTCGAAAGCAGCGAATCTTCCTTTGCGATCCAGCCGTTCCTACGTTCGAAATCTCGGAACTCTGCGGCAAATGACATACAAGAGCAGAGTAAGAGAAGCCTTTCGCTTAGTTCGAGCTCTCGAAATCGACGATGCTGGTTCAGGGACGAGATGTAGCTCAGATGGAGAAGGCATACGTCCTTGTCGAACCAGCCAAAGGTCGAGCAAGATTTGAGTTGCTCGAAACGCGCTTGAGAGGAGCAGAAATGTGTCCATGCCTGGTGAAAGATCTGATGGATTTCTGTATTTGAAGCGTGGGTAAGACATATAGGCGCCGCCAGTTCAGGTAGGTCCTGGATCGTGGTCTTAATGGGGGATGTCCGCCTCGATGCGGCTCCAAAAGGACTCTCCGATAAGGACGTGGAATCGGCAGCCTCGTTGTTCAGCTTTGCATCGAGAACTCCGAATATGTGGCTCAAGGTCCGAATTTCCCCCTTGAACGGCTCTAGCACCTCCCGTGACCTGCCTGATAAAGCAGTCGAAATCTTCACAAGCCTGCTAAGCAGGACTTGCCCTTTGTCGTCAGACATATTAGGCGGGCAGTAGCTGGGATTTGGAGACCCTCTTGACATTGTACAAGAGTGTGCATTGCACCCGGCAATGCTTCAGGAGAGTCGTCACGCATGTTTCGTCCCTGAGTTTAAGTAGTCACTCAACAGCACAAGGAAGCCAAAGCAGCCCCGACGCTGTGGAAAACCGGCACTTGTGTCGAACTCTCAGACTCCCGGCATCTCCACCTGTTGGCTTGGGTGAGGCGGGGAACCGGACCTGTGTCACTGTCGTGTTGCAAGCCGTGTTGGCCAGTCTGTATGCAGTTAGGTAGGTAGGTCTCGAAGTCGATCTGCCCTTGCCATAAGCAAATAGCGGGGATGTGTAAGTATTGCGGGAATCGGCCAGGAGTCTGGAACTCCACACTAGTCTCGCCCTCTACTCCGAACTACCAACAAATTTCAGCGGTTCAGTGAGTTCAAAAATACGCACACACAACTCAAACTTGTCCAGGTTCCTGCCCTCAGTCTCCACTCTTTCTCGAGCGTTTTCTCAGACCAGTAGACTCCCAACAGCAGTAGTGCGTTCCTCCTGTATTTTCGATGTTCCAACAACCATTGACGGCGACCTGCATCGATGTTGAGTACCACTTTCCTTTTAAGCTCGGCGACTTCCAACAGAGCGAAGAGCAAGATCCTCCAATGGCGCGAACAGATCTGGTACCGTCCTCGCCAGGTCTTGATGATAAAGACTCTGATTCTTGAAATGGCAATAATTTCTTGCGAGACTTCGTCCGAAACGTTCTCGAATATGCGGAAGTACCGCCCATCAATTTCCAAATGTGTCAGAGCGGTCATGTTGCAGGGTTGCTTTAATACCTCACGCTTCGTCGAGTTCGAGGGTTCCGGCCTCAGCCATTCCGAGCCACTGAAAATCCATGTAGACAGAAGTTTCCCCGTAGTGGGCTTGGGAGCTGGTTTCGTTGCGGTCCTACTTTGTCTGGTCGTTGTAGGTGATACATGCTCTCGGGTCAATAACAGATGGCATTTGACTGAGAGGAGTATTCTGGCAAATCGTACCACGTTGTGGTATGCCCTCTGTTCCGAGTAGGTTGAACAAAGCTTCAGCGACAAGTGAGTTCGTGTCTGCACCTGGTATGTAGCAACAATCTCCGCCATCTATACCCTGGCAAAGCTGACCATAGTGTCACAGTCTCTGCAGCCGACTGGGGGCTCGTAAAGTTAAATATTCACTGCACGCGCCAGCATCGCGGTCCCCAGTAGAAGAAGTCATACGCAGGTAGAGGAGAAGGCCGTGGCGCCTCACGACAGATCTTCAAAATAAAGTAGATTGGAAATGATGGAAATTACGGTAAAATGATGCAAGTCCGCTTTCAACTTACATTCTCTTGTGAACTGCCGCCCTGAGCTTTTGTGTCTTCAAAAGCTCCCGAACTACGAGTTTCAGAGAGGCAGAATTGGCATTACTGTGTTCAACGTTACATTTCTTCGGCTTCAAATAGCACTTTGAAGCTGGCTGGCCCCCCAGCTCGTCAACGCAACAAAGGCGGATGTTCTTACGACGATTGCTGCATAAAGCTTCTGTCTTGGCTATCACACTGCGTAGTACTTCGAAACATTCGCAGCCGTGAGCTACTGCCGCAACAAGTGTCTGGGATCTTGGTGGGCATGCTTTTGAGCCTGTGAGGAGCGTCTTCCGCGCACCGTTGCGAAGGCGGCCTCCTCGCTGCTGATGAACCAGACTTGCGAAGTCAATATAGGCTGATGTTCGTGCATTCTCACGAACGTGTTCTGCTCGCAGCATCTGATTCACCGGTCCCCCTGAGTTGGAGCTGCCCATTGGCACGAGTCGGGGCACACCTGGACATTAGTCTGCGCCAAAGTAAGCGCTAGTGTTTTCCATTCATGTCCAAAGAATTCTTGTCTCCTAATGCACACTTGAGGCACTTGCTAGGGGCAATGCAGCAGCTCAGCAGGGCATCTCAGGCTTCATCGAAATGTGCTGACAAGACTACATCTTAGAGCACTGGTGCATATTCTTTTGAACAAGCTTCTCCTTCTTGGGATAGCCTGTTATCATGTTCGTGGAGTATGATGACGCATACAGCTTACTCATTTATGCCGACAATTTGAAATGCATGCTCTCACGTAACTACAACTTCCTTAGGGTTCTTGGGACGTAAGAAGAACAGCCTTTTTCTTCCGAAATCAGAACTCGCCTAACAAATCGTTCATTGGATAGCTTCTAGCTTTCAATTGAGCAAGACGGGTCCTCTATGCGTAACATTATCTGCTAGTCTGCATTTACGCCTGGCTTACAGGGCCCGCAAAGGAGTAAAGAGCTTTTGCAGACACAAAAGCTTCTCGCATCGTCGCGGTAGATGTGGCATTGCTCTGATATAATAGTAAGCTCAAGTTTCCTCCGATGTTGTTTTTGTATAGTCACGAACTTTCCCTTCAAAACCATTAGCGAGATGCCATCCCTTGCGTTGAACGCTCTTTCATTGCTGCTGGGCTCCGGTCTCCTAGCTAGCGTAGGAGCCGTCACTATTACGCTCTCCAACTTCGGAAATGGAGCGCTCTGTACCGGCCCGGTTTTGCTTACTTGTGCATCTATTGCACCCAATGCGTGCTGCGACGCAGGTGTAATTTTCGACGAGACCCTCTTCCAGGGTTTACCTCCGACTGGGATCGGTGAGTTGAGAAGGCTGAGCGACATACAGCTCATGTAACCTAACTTTCATTAGGCATCGTGTATAGCGGATCCGGTTGCACTGGTAAAGCAACTAACACGGGATATGGGTAAGTAGCGCTCGATCTGAGAGAAGTTTCGCAGTGACTGATAATTGCTAGGCTTAACTTATGCCTTTCACGCGGCGGCAAGGGCGCAAATTGGTACGTACCCCATCAATGGTCATGAGAACGGTGCGGAGCATGCTACGGCGGTAATTGCCAGCCATGCGAACTTGAGGAGCAGAACTTGAGTCTCAACTCTTCATCGTCGCGTGCTCCCGAGCCTTCAGCCCGGAAAGTCTCCCTGCCATAGGTCCTAATCTTCCTATAGGAACCAAGTGAGCAACTCGGCGAAGCGGGACGAGAAGAATTGCACTCGCGTGCTACCATCCACACTTAGTATCGGCAACCGGACGTTCAACATTTTCGGTGACGTGCCGCTGGAGGTGTCGGAAGATATGTTGAGCCTCTTCAACAATTCTAGAGGAATCGCGGAAGCACCAGAAGTACCGCCCCACTTCTTGCCGCACGAGCTTGTATAAGCAGAAGGAGTACCTCACAGGGAAGAATGCTTGCTTATGAAGGCACGAGGCGAGCTTACAACGGTTCAAAAAGCCGGTGACACTCGAAATAGGTGTTCTGGTATGCTTTGAGCATTAGCTGAAGAGAGTAGAGCGAAGGAAAAGTGGTCTAAATTAACTCCCGTTCTTTAACCTGCTCGAGATTTTGTTTTCTTCTTTTGCAGCAGTGTGTACATCAGTGGGCAGCAGTGAAGGAGAATAGAGCTTCTCTGCAGGGCTGTGAAGCTCAGCGCTCCAGGTTGGCAGGTCAGCTGCATGTGGAAGGTTGCGACTCTGCTCCAGCACCGTCCTTTCACATTCCCGCCGACGAGGGGAGAAGGCGACTGCTCGAAGCGGGAAGTTATCAATAGATGATCCCTTAACAATTTTTTCCGTACTTTTAAATCCTCTTTCCTAATCCGTCACCACAGTGCCATTAGTTACCAGATCCTCGTTCAATTGGTACACCAGAACATAGCTATCCAGGCCCATTACCAGTCGATCTCCAGCCAAAGCAAAGTTGGCCAAAGGCGTGGGGTCGTTGTAAATTGGATGAAACGCATGGTAGTTGAACATGCCCAGCACCTGCCCGTGCGGAGAACGTACGAGCACGCCATCGTTTTCGCTTGTCCACACCCTGCCCTTGGCGTCAATGTGCATTCCGTTGGCGATGCCCGTGCGTGTCAGAGCGAAGAGCCGGCCATTGACTGGCATGGCATCTGCTGTAAGGTCGAAGACGTAGACGGAGTTTGAGAGTGAGATGTTGCCGGCTTGCTGGGCCTGGGTGGAAGGATTCACGAATGGGGTGTTGGTCACGTAGAGCTTTTGACCGTCTGGCGACACTCGTATGCCGTTTGGCTTGAAAATATGATTCGAATCGATGACCGGCAAGAGTGTCTTTTCTGTCAGGCTGAATCTCCAGACGGCTGTATCGTAGGACTGAGATGGGACGCTGTGAAGACTCTTTTCAACGGGCGGAGTGGTCGCAAAGATGTAATCCTTGTTGCTGATTCGGGTCAGTGTGAGATCGTTACAGGTGTTTAAGCGCATTCCGAAATACGAGTTGAAAATAGGAGCCGACTTCAGAGTTTTGGGGTCGACGGCAACCACGGACACCAGATCATCGCTGTCGGCGAATTCTGAAATGTATACACGACCGTCGAAAGGCCATTAGTACTGGCCGTATGAGTAACGAATAGGTGGATCCGTCCTGATCTGCCTCGATGTTCTATTCGCAAGGCTGAAAGCGGTAATCGTTTGATTGAACGGATAGAAGAATCCGTCAAAGGAGAACCAGACCTCATCCAGATCCGGAATCCAAGCTCCGCCTTCAAAAGCTCCATCCGGGTCCCCGGGCGGCGTTAAAATTGTGCTCCACGATGGATTAGGGCCAATAATTGCATCAAATTCGTCCGAGTACGAGACGAAGCGGGCTCCATTCGCCCTTGTTAGCAATTCGTTGATAGTTTCGTCGCCAGTAGATGTAGAGTTGAGCCATCCGTACTCAATGGTGCTGTTGAAAGGATTGGGCAGGAAGTATTGCCATTCGGCAGGTACACGGACTGTGCTTGAGCTGTTGGTGCCGTTTCCTTGTGCCAGAGCGAAGCTGGCAGCGGAAAGGACCACAAGGCTGGGATGTAGATGCATTGAGCTCGTAGATGTCCCCCTTCTGCATCTCGAGAAAGCGCTTGCGAGCAGGCGAAAAGTTATCCTCTTTATGATCCGACAGTTGGGTGCACAAAGTCGTTCGTTGGAACGCCGAAAATCCCGAAGGCAGCGGGATGCCAATGACGGCTCTAGTAGATTTATACCGTACGGTCTAGATCCTCTCTGCTGTTTCGGTGCTCAACAAGTTCTTGCATCAAGACACTGTCACCGTGATCGATTTCACCGACGGCCTGAAACCTGCCAGCCCGGATGGAGCAACCACAATTGGGACAGAGCGGACCAGATCAGACATTCCAGTCAACGCCCTAAGCGAGCATTTGCTCACTCGCGAATACATCGAACGTCAGAAGCGGATCTTGTCGTTCTTGGAAAAGGATGATTTATTCAACAAAAAGACTCAGTACAGCCTTTCCCGCCCGGATCGCTATCGTCTGGGCCTCGCTCGAGCAAAGCGCGCAAAGCAGTTCGCCGTGAAGCACGGCTGGGATGAGGACGTCTATAAGATGGCTGAGTACTTGATTGATGATGTCTCGCCGTTGCACCTCCACCTGCACATGTTCATGAACACAATCCGTGAACAAGCTAGCGATGAGCAGAGAGCGTACTGGCTGCCCAAGATCGAATCTTGGGAGGTCATTGGGGCCTACGCACAGACAGAACTTGGCCACGGGTCCAACGTTCGCGGCATCGAGTGCGAGGCCCGATGGGATCCTTAGACGAAGGAATTCATCATGCACAGCCCGACATTGACTGCGAGTAAATGGTGGAACGGCACGCTGGGCAGGACGGCAAACCACGCCGTTGTCATGGCCCAGCTCAAGATCCCAGACCGCTCCAATGGCAAACTTCGATCTTTTGGTCTGCATCCCTTCATCATGCAGGTACGAGACTTCGTGACCCATCAGCCGCCAAAGACCATCATCGTAGGAGACATTGGGCCAAAAATGGGCTATGCTTCCATGGACAATGCGTACATGCTCTTCGACAACCACCGGTGAGAACAATCCATTGAGCTATCGAAGTTGGACCTGACGCTGATGTGGCACAATAGTATTCCTCATAGTGCCATGTTGTCACGATTCTCTCGACTTGACTTAGAAACCAACGAATACGTCAAACCTCCGCATCAGTACGTGGTCTACGGCTCACTCACAGCGGGACGGGTCAATATCATCTTGCAAGCTCGCATTGTCCTTGCTCGAGCGGTCACGGTCGCTGTGAGATATGTCTCTATTCGCCGTCAATTCGTCAACCGCGACACTCCTGAGGCCAAGCTTGAGACGGCTGTGCTGGATTACCCAACAGTTCAGATCCGCGTGCTCCCACTCTTGGCCACTTCCTTCGCGCTGCATTATACTGGCAAAGCGATGAAACAGCTGTTCGATCGCGTGAGGAGCAGCATTGAGCAGTCTGGCGACTTTGCGGAACTGGCAGATCTACACAGTACTTCTCTGGGGCTCAAGAGTTTGTGCACTACGTATGCCACTGATGGAATTGAGACATGTCGACGAGCAATGGGAGGCCATGGCTTTAGCGCTGCGAGTGGGCTCGTGCGACTTCGCAACGATTATGGGTCCAGGCCCACGGTGGAAGGCGACAACTGGATGATCACACAGCAAGTTGCACAATATCTCCTCAAGAAGATGAAGACTCTCGAGGTGGGCAGCGGTACTGCATCAACTACGATCGACATAACTCTGCAACGCTTTCTGCAGGCTTCAAACAAAACGCCGCATTTCCCAGTCTTGGACTATGATGAGGCTATCCTGGCGGCATTTGAATGGCGATCATCGTATCTGGTATCCAAGGCCTACCAAGCTCGCGAAGTGCGTGGAGAGGCGCACACTTCTCTCTTGGTGCAATTCTATCGCTTGTCGAATGCATATTCGCAATCGATTCTGGTCAACAACTTTCACGCTATCTTCACCAATACTGCCGGCGTTTCGGACAAGCCACCGCAAGGAGCAACAGAAGTACTTCATGACTTGTTCCGGCTCTACGCACTTTACACGATCGAGGCAGAAGCCAAAGAGTTCCTGCAGTCGGGAGCATTGTCAATGGACGTATTGGAGCTTCTGCCGGGAGCGATTCAAAGTCTGATGGATCGAATTCGGCCACATGCGGTCAGGCTTGTGGACTCCTGGGGCATTCCGGACTTTCTGCTGGATAGGTATGTAACTTTCTCAATCTTTACACGGCTAGAATGGCTGACACCTGCATCGTAGTGCTCTCGGACGTTATGACGGCAAGGTCTACGAAGACCTGTTCGACCGGGCACACCGACAAAACCCGCTCAATGATCATACCTTCAACAACAAGTGGTGGTCGGATGAGATAGAGCTGGGCTCTGGTGATGCAGGCAAAATCCTTGCAAAGTTGTAGAATAATCACACGGTTACCACCGAAAGCACCGAAACTCCTGTTTTTGACTTGAAGTTCCGAGGCGGGTATTTCAGATGTACATCATGTCGAACACTGACTCCTCAATCTGAACTCGAAGGTCAACGCTCTAGGCATGGCATCACAGGCAAGGGCAGTAAGACAGCCTGTGGACATCCGTCGTTTAGAGACGTACATCAGACAGCATGCAGCGTATATCAAGACACCGATTGAATTGAAACAAGCAAGTTCTGAGCTGTCTCACCGATTTCTCAGACTTCTGCTGACTGTCAGTCTCCCACGTAGTTCTGCTTTGGACAATCAAACCCAACATACCAGCTTACTGGCTCTGACGGGCAGCGATATGTCCTACGGAAACGACCTCCAGGGAAGATCATATCTGCTACAGCACATCGAATAGATAGAGAGTTCCGAGTCATCTCTGCACTAGCTAAGACAGATGTGCCAGTGCCAAGAGCATACCTCCTTTGTGAAGACGAGTCCATCGTGGGAACCAGTTTCTACATCATGGAGTTTCTGGATGGCCGAATCTTCGACGATGCCGATATCAAAGGCGTGGCGCCCGACGAAAGAAGGGAGATGTGGAAGTCTGCGGTCACGACATTGGCCAGGCTACATCGGGTCGACTACAAGACGGTCGGGCTACAAGGCTTCGGCAAAGAGGAATCATTCTACGACCGACAGATCGAGACCATCACGAGGATCTCCGCACGACAAGCAGCCACGATCAGTCAAGCACAGAGCATTCCTGCCAATGTCGGAGAGATACCACATTTCCATGAAACCATGAAGCTTTTCCGTGACAGATCTTGCCAACCCACCGATCGCGCCACCATCGTCCATGGCGATTTCAAGATCAACAATCTTGTCTTCCACAAGACCGAGCCTCGAGTCATTGGGATCCTAGACTGGGAAATGGCTACCGTCGGCCACCCCCTCTCCGATCTCACCAATCTGCTGACCCCCTACGTACCCACGACCGTCAACCTAGGACCAAACGGCTTCTCGCCTGCATTCGCTATTGGTGCCACCCCTGGCCTTCCTTCTCGCGAACAGAATCTCGAACTGTATCGTGAGATTGTGGTTGGGATGTCTCTCCCTCAGACCTTCACTGGGCGATTGCGTTTGGCATGTTGCGCCGGGCGTTTATTAGACAGGACATTGCGGCTAGGGCGGCGACTGGGCAGGCGAGTAGTGCACAAGCAGCCGAATATGGGAAGTTGATGGTGCCTCTGGGATTGCTGGCGCATGAGTTGATAGAAGCGAGGATGAACGAGTAAGGTAAAGGTCGCAATACAACACTGCGTGTAGATTTTGAAATTATGGATCATGGTCTTCAACCGGAAACTGCTGTTCATGTGTCTTCCTCGCCCTCTGACCACGACAAATTGCTTATATGGGCCTCCTGCTCAGACAAATTGACTATATCTCGTAGACCGCTGGCAGAACATATGTGCATAGCTTCTTTACGTCCCAGCTGCTCATGATCACCCTTGAGATGCGAAGACAGTGGCCTCAGGGTTTTAGTTGGGATAACGGCCAGCCAGTGAACGACGTCAGGCGGAAGGATCGCTGCCCAGTGCTCGATAGCGGTGGTGCTTGGGGAATAGCGACGTTTCGTCTTTGTTTTATGTATTGGTGGTATTATCGGGCTCGGTTGTTCATTCATGCCATCCCCTCTTGGCTCCTCCGTGACCACTGAATCGAACAACCCTTCATCCTGGAGCAGTGCGAGTGGGTCGATGGTAGATATGTCATCATTATCGTGCAATAGCCCAGAGCACACCACAGAGTCAGGTTTCGTATTGTCGCTCTGCACCGGCTCCACTACTGTTTCCCAGTCTAATCGCGGACGCTTGTATTTGCTCTCAGGAATACTGCATTCTAGACTGTCCAAGGTGCAGTTCGTGCAAGGCCATTGCTGTGTCACGTTGCACCGCACTTTGCGCTTGCGACAAGCTGTGCATGCCTGTGGAGAACGTTTTCTCGCTCTCGTGCCTCGCTCTTTGCGAGCGGGGGAAGCGGTGTCAGAGCTGATCGTTGATGGCGGTGAGACCGGTTGGATGGTGTCAGATCTGAAAGAGAAGAACTCGTCCATGGTGTTGAGGGTCAGATGTGTGTTTGAACTCGGCAGTGGCTTGAGTGCAGAGACTGAAAGCAGCTGTTTGTCGCAAGCCGAAGGAGCTCGAGTGACCGCCAAGAAGCACATGGGTGGTCCTAGCTTTCTTTGGGGTCCAGGAATCTACCACCGAAAATACCGAGCAAGGATTTACATGGCATGTTCAAACAATCCCAACTTAGTTTTGCATAGTTGTAATCCCATGATGTGATACGTATCATCAATTAGGAAAACCCAGAATAACTACACGCTGCAGCGGCCGCAGAGCAAGTTTGTGAATGCTAAGACTCCTTCGACACCGCAAACTTTTAGCTACAGCCCACTTCTCATCGAACAGAGTATACGAAAGGTTAGATGCTTCATAAATGACGACCCAGGGATTAATAGAGTCGATTCTATCTTCGCTTCCTTGTTAGGCATTGCTCTACAGTTTCGCTGCATGATGGTACGCCCGATCCAGCTGCAGCACGTCTATCTTCTCCATCCCATACTGCTTCAACAGCTCGTCGGTCTTGCGCCTTTGAGCAGTAATTTTCTCAAGCATTTGATCGCCTCGTGTCCTACACTCTGTCTTTCCTAGCTGCTGCATGTGTACCTCATCCGGGCCGTCGACAATTTTCTTTGTTCGATTCCGGCCATACATTCGCGCGAGCGGTGTGTCCTGGCTCATTCCAGCGGCACCGTACGCTTGCATTGCCCTGTGTAAAGTGTCGAGCAGGACTGCAGGTACTTGTACTTTGACTTCGGCAATCTCTTTTAGAGCTGACTTGGTGTCTCCCATGTCCACTTTGACCGCAGCGTTCAAGACGGCAAGGCGTGCAGCGTCAATGTCGATGCGTGACTGGGCCACACGTTCCAGCAATACCCCGTGATCGACAAGGCGTTTTCCAAAAGTCTTCTTGCGTGGGTCGACCAATCGTGCGATGAACCACTCGAGTGCTCTCTCAGCCTGCGCTAGTCGTCAGTGTTGCATTCTGTTTCGTGAGTAGACAAGTCGAAGACGACGGGAAAGTACTCACCACACCAACACATCGCATGGCATGATGGATTCGCCCTGGTCCGAGACGGCCCTGAATAACCTCAAAGCCTCGTCCTTCGCCCAGAATAACGTTGCTGACGGGAACCCGAACGTTGTTGAATACGATATGGCCATGCCCGCGTGGAGCATCATCGTACCCCAGGACTTGCATCATCCGCTTGACGGTCACTCCGGGGGTATTAGAAGGGACCGCTACAAGTGTCTGCTGCTTGTACTTGTTTGCGTTTTGAGGATCTGTCTTGCCTAGGACGAGGTACACCGTGCAGCGCAGGTCGCCGGCGCCGCTGCTCCACCATTTCTAAACCCGTCAACACTTGTGGGTGCGTTTTATATCGTTGTCAGGTATGAGACTTACTTCGCCGTTGAGAATGTAATCGTTGCCCTCACGCCTGATCGCGAGCTCGATGTTAGTGGCATCGCTGGAAGCGATATGAGGCTCTGTCATACAAAAGGCCGAACGTATCTCGCCTGCAAGGAGAGGCTCGAGCCACCTGCGTTTCTGCTCTTCAGTCCCGTACTTGGCGAAAACCTCCATGTTTCCGGTATCTGGTGCTGCGCAGTTGCAGGCTTCCGAAGCTATGTGGCTTCGACCCAGATATTCAGCCATCAAGCCATACTCCAGATTGGTGAAGTCGGCACCCGTGCCCTGGTAGTGATTTTTGGGTAAGAACAAGTTCCATAGGCCGAGTTCTTTCGCTCGCTTCTTCAAGTCTTCAATTATTTGCGGATGTGAAGAGAAGCGTGATTGAACATCCCGGCCGAGTGCTTGTTCGTAAACTTCGTCTGCTGGAACGCATTCTTCTTCCACGAAACGCTCGATCTGTCATTAAGGCGTCAGTAACGACATTTGCATTGTGAGATCCTTGAGGGATCCACGCACCTTGTCGAGGAAGACTTTAGCCCGCGGACTGACCAGCGGAAGTGCTATGGGTGGGATCTTCTGCGACGCCGGAACGTATCCAGGAGTGCCGATCGTGTAAGGGACAGACATGATATATGGAGCAGTGACAGTAACACCAGGTGATACTTTTCAAGACAGCATCCAGAATTTCAAGAATACTTAAGGAGACATCATGATCGTCGTCGGGGTTTTCGGTGAAACGTCTGCAGAATTGAGTACGACGTTCGCTGCCGAAAAGACGAGCACAATGAGACTTGCAAACTGTCTCCAAGCTGGACGGGAGCCAATATCTTTGTTGCGTCTCTCGCTACGCCTATAGTTTACTGTTGTTCCTTGCCTGCTCCACGAGCGGTGCGGAAACCTTCGTCTTCCACCCACTCGAGTTACTTCCTCCGTCAATCTCAAATGTAGATCCTGTCATATGTGCCGAGCCCAACGAGCTGAGAAAGAGTACCAGCCCAGCGATATCGCTCGGCCTGCCAATTCTACCCGTTGGCTGCCTTGCTAAGAGGGTTGGAAGCGCCACCTGTATTCCGTACGCAGTCATGCGGCTGGGAAATACGCCAGGGCAGACGACGTTCACGTTGATATGAAGTGGTGCAAATTTGGAAGCCATTTGCTTCGTCAAGTGGATTACCGCTGCCTTTGAGGGACCGTAGGAGAAAGTGCCGTTTCCCGGTGCTGCGAGACCTCCGTCTGCGCCAGACGTGACGTCTGTCGTTCGGATGCCTGCAATTGAAGCTACGTTGATGATTCGAGAAGGGAAGACATCAGTTGCATTCTTCTGTAGCAGAGGTCGCAGCCTTGTGGACTGGTCAGTGTTTGAGCAGCTCGATCAGCCTTCGCCAATCATACATACCCTGCGGACACTGTTGAATGTATCAGTAAGAAATTGCGTATTCTTTTTTGAGTGCTGAACGCAGGGATGTTTTCTTACAGTAGAAAATGGACTTCACGTTCAGAGCCATAAGTTTATCCCAACCCATTTCTGGGAAATCATCGAATGGTCCTCCCCTGGTTCACGAAATGTAAATCAGTAGATGAACGTTTGCCTCGAGCACAATTTTGGTTGGTCTAACCAGGAAGCTCCAGCACAGTTGACCAACACATTCAAGCGTGATACTCTAGATTTGACATCGCTGACCAGCGCATTTGCTCCAGCCTTGTCTTTGAGGTCTGCAACGATGTATTCACATCGACCAGGACCTAGCTTGTTCAGTCTCATTGTGGTACTGTCCAGCTCTTTCTGTTTTCTGCTAGCAATGATCACATGAGCGCCATTCTGGACAAATGCTTCCGCAATCATTTCTCCAATTCCAGAAGATCCGCCAGTCACGAGCACAATGAGCTGGTGGAAGCTGAACAACGTCCCCACTTTTAAATCTTCAGTGCCGCTCGCCATCTCTTCGTGGTGTAATGTGCCTTAGATGATGAAAGCTGCGAAGAAAAGTTGTTTCATACACTGCCTTGACTACTCCCAGCGGTGTGTAAGTGAAGCAGAGAAGCCTTGGTTGGGTTCATTGCCGAACCCCCGACATTTCCGAGGGCACTCTAGGGCCAAGGAAGAACATATGAGCAACAGGCGCAGCCGCCTCATCTTACCGCATATGCTTGAATGCTCCTCGCAGTCCTGTCAACATGTCTGTTGAGTATGAAGTCGACGGCAAAACGGCCATTATCACGCTCAACAATCCTGCCAAGCTCAATGCCATAAACTTGGACATGTTCGCACAGCTCGGCCACCACCTACGGGCAGCAGCGGCAGATCCAAATATCTACATCACGCTTCTAACCGGGAAAGGCCGCTTCTTTTCTTCGTTCGTCATACCACAGCTCCATAACTTTGGGGGTGGAAGTGCTAACGGAGAACGCCAGTGGCGCCGATATTGCCAACCGGCGAGAACCAGAGCCAGGCGAAGACAAGCGACGAGGCTACGTTCAGAACTTCTCCCGAATTCTCGATCTGACCAACACCTTCTACACACATAGCAATATCTTGATTACGGCCTTGAACGGCCCAGTGGTGGGATTGACGGCGGCGTTGATCACGCACTCGGATTTTATCTATGCAGCACCACACACTTACCTTCTCGCTCCATTTACTTCTTTAGGGTTGGTGGTGGAAGGCGGTGGCTCTCGATCTTTTGCCAATCGGATGGGCGTCACCAAAGCCAAAGAAGCGTTGATCATGAGTCGGCGAATTCCAGCCGAAGAATTGCTGGCGTGCGGGTTTCTGAATGGAATCTTCCCTGCAAACAGAGATGGTTCTGATTCAGAAGCTTTCAGAACGACGGTGATGAATAAAGTGTGCCGGGAACAGTTAGACGAAAGTAACTTGAGCTCATGGAGCATGCTAAGGATTAAGGAGCTGATGGGACGGACGGAGAACCATCTTCTCGACGGACATGTCTTGAACGAGGTACTGGGAGGTGTGGATGCCCTTAGCAGCGGAGTGCCGCAGAAGGAGTTTGCCAAGATGAAGAAGAAGCAAAAACAGCACAAGTTGTAGATGAAAAAGAGGGAAAAACAGCGTAAGTTGTAGTTGAATGTGTATCATAGCTTTGCAGTGACGCTTGGATGTTGGTTCAGCAATGGAAAGATGGTCGACTTCAAATGATCCACCACCTTGGCCATCATAACCAGATCAACTTCATGACCGGCCTCGTCGGCGACGAAGTCCTCAAAGGCGATGGGCTTGCCTCGGTACCAGCCCTCAGCACGAGTCCCTGATTTCAGCCATGAGAAGAAAGACTTGCTGGTGCGATAGGGAATCATCTTGTCTCCTCCGCCAGACACAGCCAGGATATTCTTGCCTCCAAGGTGATGTTCTAGCAAACGCTGTGTAAGCGCCTGGTCATCCGCGGTGGCGGGCATCTCTAGACTTCCGCTGTCGTCCACACTCCATGGTCCACACAATACAGCGCGAGGGTCGACTTTGGCGACGGCGTCGACCAGCGCCCGCGGGTAAGCTCGTGAACCGATGAATGACGAGCCGTGCGGATCGGTTGATGTCCATTCCATCAATTTACTCAGCCGTGCCCGATCAGCCATTATGTTGGTATAGTCAGGACTTCCAATCATAGCAACTCCAATGCGTATTCGCGGGTCATGCATAAGAAGGTGCCAAGCAGCGTGAGCACCGAGTGATACCCCGAGCACCATATGATCAACGATAGTCTTCTCAGACCGTGGATAGAGATACGACGGCAAGTGATCAATCATGTGAGAGACGTCTCGTGCCGTGCCACTAAAAGTAGCAAACATATCGACTGCGTGGGTGGGGTTCCCTTGCCGCCATGCCTCGTTGGCGAGTGGGTCAATCTGGAGTTCTCCGTGATTTCTCTGGTCAATGGCGACTGCGATGAGGCCTTTCTTGCCGTGCAATTCCGCAGATGCACTGTTGGCGACTAGAGTGTTCCATGTATGGATCATCGTCCGTGCTATTGGTTTCACTGTGAATGAGGGAGTCAGCCAGTGGCGTAGGCAAAGACGATGCAGTAACCACGTACTGTCAGCCAGAGTACAACTACGCGGGTGTAACAGCCAGAGACAAGCAACGTGGTCGGTGGTGCTATTCACTTCGCCCAGACCGTAGACTGTGGCATTGATACCTCCAACTAGAAGCGTTTTCTCAGATACAATTGGGCCGTTGGGCGTCTGCCACTTCCCCAGGATTGGATTACGGGGCTGTTGTTGAGTCATTGTCTGGGTGATACTAGTACAAGGGTGAGTGCAGAATCGACAAGATCAAAGGCGTCCCGAAAATTGAAGGCTTTCTTGTCAAGTACCTATTCTGGGACATGGAGAAAGGCGAGTGAGAAAGACGAGCGTGGGTCTGTTCCATTTGGCGCTGTCGGTACTGGACTGATAAGTTCAGAGTCGAGCCTTTTCGGGTTCCGCCTTCTGAGGCGAAAACAGCTGTGGACCCAGGATCTTCTTGGAGACTTTGCCCGTCGGCGATTTCGGCAACACCGGTACTACGCGAAGAAGTGTGGGCATCTTGTAGGCCACAAGGCTGTCTCGAAGATCTTTCCTCATGCCCGCCAGACTGATCTTCGGCGTAGCACCATCATGGCCCGGTCTGAGAACAACGGCTGCACCAACCCGCTGGCCGTACGTGTCATCTTCGACTCCTACTACCATTGCTTCTGCAACATACGGTAAACCCAGCAGCGCTCGTTCGACGTCTAATGCAGACACTTTGTAGCCGCCTGTTTTTATGATGTCGATCGAAGCACGACCGAGAATGAAGTAGTTATTCCCACGCTTCTCCGCAATGTCTCCCGTCTTGTAGAAGCCGTCTGCATCGTGGGCCTTTCTGGTAGCTTCGGGATCGCCAAGGTATTTGGAGAACATGTGAGGGCTACGAACCAACACTTCCCCTTCATCGCCGTTGCTCAGCTTGACATCAACGCCTGCCACGGCGGACCCAACGCTGTTGTCAGGTACATCGATGGATCTTGGCAGTGTCATGATGCTGAGAGCCGACTCGGTGCTTCCATAACGTGACAGAATGGGCCGTTGCTGTCTGAATTCCGTCCACCAGGTCTGCAGAGGTAAAGGCAGAGCAGACGTCCCGCACCAGAGATCTCGTAGCCTCTGAACTCCCTCGACATATGGCTTGAGCTGCTCAGGAGGTAACGAGGCCAGATTCTGATCAAAGTACTCCCGCAGCCGGGCATACATCGTGGGCACGCCAGAGAAGACTGTTAGCTCTCCTTCTTTGAACTTGTTCCACACAAAAGCCGGATCGAAATTGCCCGGCTTGAATTCGATGCAGCCGCCTTCAAGCAAGATCGGGAGTATGTTGACATTGATGCCTGTTGCGTGATGAACCGGAAGACAGTGAAGCAGTGTGTCATCCTTCGTGATCCCGAGCTCGCTGGCTAAAGCCAAGGTTCCATCGCTGAGATATCCTCTTCTTCTCACAGCGGCTTTGGGTGGACCAGTAGTTCCTGAGGTGAAGATCACCAAACCCGGGGCATTAAGGTCAAGGAAGCCTCTGTCGTCAATCCTGAAGTCGGCCGGTTGCAAAGTCGGCCGTCCAACGAGACATTGAAGTGGGACAGATTTGAAAGACGAAAGTGTAGCAGACTGTAGCATCGTGCGCGCAAGTTCCTCCGCTTTCTTGGCACAGCTGGAACCGAACAGCATGAGGGATGCGTTGGTCTTCTGGACGTAATACTTCATCTCTTTCACAGGAAGATTGGTGTCTGGAAAACTAATTAGTGTCTTCAACTACCAGAGGACTACTGGCCCCATTTTTTGATAAATTGCAACGTACATATTGGCACCACCGCCGCACCAAGCGTAACGATAGCCAGGAACCCCACCACGTACTCATAGCTACCTGGTGCCAGTAGAATGATATACACTTCCTGCCCGCTGTCCAGCTTTTGCCTTGTCTCGGTGTCCATAACCCGCAGAATCTCATCACGAGCATATATGGCATCCGTGAGCAGTTGTACATGATTTGCCGAGACGCCTGCGTTCAGGTCACGAATGATGGTTTTGGTTTCTTTCGCCGCGAAAAGCAGCAGACGAGTGAAGAAGGCGAAGTTGGGAAGAACATTGGGTCCTCTTGCATGCCGCGTGATCAGGTTCACGCGGTCGTCTGGATCCGCTATCTTTGACATGTCTTCGCGATGGGTCGCTCTGACTCCCTGAAACCAGATGGGGAGACAAGTATCTGAGTTTACATGTCACCATTGTAGATGGCCTTGAGACTGGGTACACGTAGCAGCTTACAACGACGGGCGCTAATCGATGCAGCGGATTCCCAAGGCCGTCGGTCTTTTCGGCCTTAGAGCTGGCCGAGCTCCATTGTACTTTGAATTGCACCTTCCAATGAAGTCTATGAATGATCAGACGCAACGGCCATATGCGTGATTTCACAGGGGGAAACCGAAAGAGACGAGCAAAGACCAACAATGTGGATGTTTGCCTAAGGCACCCGCGGGTCTTGGCGTTCACATGAAAGCTTTCTTGCACCGTGGCGAAAAGAGTCAGGCGACAGATGATCTAACAGTTAATCAAAGCTTGCAAATCAAACGTCTGCTCGTCAACACCAGTCATTGCCGATGGGTTGTCAACGAGATTCCACATCCAGCTCTCGTCATCCATTGCGAAATCTGCCATGCTCAATGGCTCGTTTATGTCCCCAACAGAGTCGTGGTTAACTGATATGGGGGCAGCGATGTCCATGCTCAAGCAACTGGCATCTAACAACTGAGCATCTGCAAGCTTTCTCTGTACATCGGCAACGCTATTGGTGACCTTCTCGCCAAACGGCTGGATCAAGCTGAGAGGTGAAAAGCGGCCGGGAGTAGTGTCTTCGTCCAGAGCATTGAATTGAGTTGAGGCCAGAGCGGAAAGCGAAATCCCTCCATGAATCGCAGTTCTCATCGTTTGTATGTTGTGGAGATTGTTCTTACCAGAAGGCCACTTTGCGCCGAGCAACCGAAGGACGTTGAGAATTCTGTCGATATCCTGCTGTGACTCTGTGGCGAGAGAGGGGACGACAGAGCACGCCAGCTGTGGGATAGATACCACGAATGAGTACCAGCAGAACATGCCCCCTAGATGGCCGACCAGATCGCGCAGATAGCATTCTTCCAACAAGCTAACGCACATGCGAGAAGCTACCAGTGCAATGGTGTTGGTTGGCGAGACCTTGAATACGGACCTGGGCCGAAAGGATAGGCACACTGCCGCCAAGTAAGGAATGTGCAGTTGTACCAGGGGAAAATCGAATGCTCGGCGGGTCCCACTGCTTCTATCGTAAAGATGCAATTCAGAGGGAAGATTGACGATCCAGTCAAGCAGCCGTCGAGCGATGTCTTCCTTTTCAGCTTGCAACGGAGTATTGCGCCGACGCTGCAGCAATTGCATCAGATCTCCTACTATGCCACAGATCTCAACATACTGGACGAAGACTTTTGCTCGCACATCTTCTGGGTTGGGGAAGTCACTGATAGTGATCGGCTCCAAGTCACAGTCCTTCATATTGATCTGGCGTGGCTTGCCCTGCGCTGCGGTTATCAGGCTATCACGGACCTGTGTTTTGTTGTGAGCTTCATACAGTCGTGAGAGGAGTAATGGTGACATACGTATAAAGTCCAAAAGATGCGTTTGCGCAACCCTGCATCAGCCAGTGCTTTTCTCGGTCTCTTATGTAGGCCGACCTGAAATGCCAGACCGATGGCGTATGACGCCCAGAAGCGACTGGAGTTGGTTGAAACATCGGTTGGGATCGTTGGATTCCACCATTGTATAAGACACAAAGCCATAAGAGTCTTGATAGGATCCCGTTCAAGTCCTACATCGATAAGGCATTTGACTCGCACATACAATTCCTCTGGGGCCATGATAGTCGCCGTATTGGAACGCATCTGAGCGCCGGCGAGAAACACCGCCTGCAGCACTGGCATCGAAGGCGGGTCAGTCGAAGTGCAGAGCAGAAAGCCTTCGTCAACGACAGGCATCCACGTCCAGCAAAATTCGAAGTAGGCGTCAACAAGGATTTGTCGAACATGGCTGGGTGGTAGATCTAGGGCCTGAAACAGCTGTGAGCACTTCATCTTTCGCTCATCCAGCGTGAAGCTGTCCCCTCCGGGGTTGTTGTAGTCCAACCCGGGGATCTCATCCTCCAGGTAGTGCTTGCGCGAGTAGAACGCACTGTTGATGTATCCATCCTTGGTCACCGACGCTGGGGACGTCGAAGGCAACTGTTCAATCGTTTGAGTAGCTGTGGGGGTCGATGACAGCTGTGGACCAACAAGCTGACCCTGTCCGACAACAATTTCGCTGTTTGGAGAGGGAGGGAAAGAAGTCAACGTCTCTGCCGGTAATGGTTGAAGGCCTTCTCCTTCAGCTTCATTGTCCTGTTCAACCTCTGGAACATGGTCCGCACATGGCTGTGAGGTCGAGGAGATTACGGGATTTGCTCGCGGTAAATTTCTTCGTTTGCGCCGTTGCCTTGGACTTGCCTCGCAGTACTGTCAGCGGCGGCCTTTTGGAGGCGAGACACGAATACGCTCACTTGCAGACATCGCCATAACTCAGGCAATTCGAACACGGGCCTTTCCTTATTCCAATATCACAGCGGACTTCAAGCAAAAGGTTAGAGCCCGTGTCTGGGAGGATCGCAAGCCATCACTCATACTCGCCTTTTCGTTCGTGACATTTCTCACACGCCCTCCGTATGATTCGCTTGACAGGTCTTGGGGCAGCGTTTTCGCTGTTTTCGGGCGTTGCCATGGTCGGCGCTACCGTCACACAAGGCTGCGAGTCTGGGGAATGGGTGAGCTGCTCGCCGGAGACATCGGTCTTTTGCACTGGTTTTCCACCGCTTCTTCCCCTCACGAACCCCGCAGCATTCGGGCTTTCGGTACCAGGATTTCTTGCTGCTGCGCTTGACTTGTGTCAGACGGATTCATAATAGAAAGCATTGTCAGCATTCAAGGCCTAGCGAAGTCTTGGAACCATTGCTATTACTGAAACAGGAGGAACTTTTTACGCACACAAGCTGACAAAATCGACCTGGATCTAGACTCCGACATCCTCGCCGGCCTTATTCTTTGGTCTGACCGAGCAGTCTGCATCAGAGCCCTCAATCACCGTCTCCACGTGAGATGCCTCGCCGTGCCCCTCCTTGGCCTCTGCGGCGGCCATCTGGTATTCGTTAGCCAACACAGCATCGGAAACGTGAGCTGCGAGAGCATCTTCCAGAGCCTTTAGCGGCATGGCGTGGCCTGTTCTCTCCTTTCGTTGCTTCGTCAACAAGAAGAAAAAACGGCAAACTGGCGTAGCAGATGAATGACACGACGAGTAGAGCCAGTGCTGCCGCGAAGCCTGCTGTATACCACGGTTGATCCGAGGCAGGGAAGAGCTGTGGGCCAATAATGCTCGCCACGGACAGGCCAGCGAGTGTTACGGCTCCACCAATGGCTTGCTCGGAGGCACCGTACAATGTCATCGACCGGAAGGTGAGTGCTGCCGGCTGAGCCAAGGTGACCTTATCACTCAAAAAGGAGCAGCCTACAAGTTGACGAGTTAGCACAATCAACCATTGCTCACCAGAAAGACTTCGTACTCACCCCACACTGACAGCGGCGAGATTCCACTGAAGGATTGCTTTGCGCCAATGTATACGAACACAATATAGCACGGGCTTGCTACCACAATGCACAAGAGGTAGTGCCACATTCTCTCTCTCGTCAAATCGCCATGCCAAGACCACAAAGGATAAAGAGCCATGGTGACGAATGCAACTGCTGCGGCATACTCGACTGACTTGTGAGGAGAGAAGTGTAGAGTCTGCGAATTAGGGTCATTCAGTGCCCCGCAGAAATAATTGCGTTACAGCCAATCTTACCTTGCTCAAGATCGTGGGCAAGAAGCTCGACGTTCCGATCGACGGAGTCAACAAGCAGATGTATGCCAGGAAGAACACATATGTGCTCGGCCGGCTCATCACGCTTAAGAAGCTCTGAGTATCCCAGGTACTGTCTGTCTGACGAGTAGCTCCGCGGGCGAGACGGTTGGTCGCAATATGTCGTTCCCGCTCTGTCAAAGCCGTAGATGTTTCAGGAAAGCTCAGGGCGAGGATAAATACTGGCAGCGCGAGAGTAACAGTACAGACCCCTTCCTGTAGACGACGAAGAAAGACGTTAGTTCCCCACAAGGCTTGCAGTCGAGGTAGACTTACAATAATATACAGCCATCTCCACGATGATAGGCCCAGATGGTTGTTCAGCTGATCTATGCCAATGGAGATGAAACCTCCGGTCGCCAACGCAAGAACGTTGGCCGCGTGGAAGAGACCCAGCCGGAAAGCCCGTTCGGACGGTTTGTACCAGAAGCTGTAGTACATCACCACTCCAGGCACAACCCCGGCCTCAGGGATACCGAGAAAGAATAGTGCTGCCAGAAGGCCAGAGCTGTTTTGCACGGCAGCGATGCAAGCTTGAACACCGCCGAAGCCGATCATGACAGCCGGGAAGAAAATCTTGCCGCCGAACTTCTTCATCGCCAAGTTGGAGGGGATCAAGCAGGCCGTAGTAGCGAAGTATGTAATTGATATGGCCCAGTTCCAATCAGAACCTTTGAGATGGAGTTCATTCTGGATCCAGTTCGGAGTGCCGGCCTGCATAACGTTTGCAACACTGACGTTGGCTCGGTCAAGATAGGCCATGTAATACAAGATCATTGTTGGAAGTAGGACTCGCAAATCGAGTTTTCTGACGAGAGCCTTCTCTTCTTTTGCAGTCCAGTCAACCTGAACGTTGACATTCTCAACGTCGTTTTTGGACTGTCTCACGTTAGTCCAAAACTTCTTAAATGACCAGCCGCCAATGTAGACGCCTTCGGCTTCGATCGCATCTCGTCCTTCCATGAGGCCACGCATATTGTATGTGACAAACGTTGAAACTTCCTGAAGGGACTTGGTAGACTGCAGCGAAAGCCAGGAAAAGGGGAGTCGTCTAGTAGGCTGCGGGGTTATGCTTCCGCTTGTTATAACATTCATTACCAATAATGCCGAAGAGTCCGAGTCTTACTTCTATGAAATTGCAATATGCAGAAGTCACCGAGTGGGCATGTCTATTTCGTACTGCCGGCTTCTAGCAGTTGTATTCCTAGCAACTAGTAGTTACAACCAGACAAAGCAGTTTAATTCCTTTATGCACGGTCCTGATGCTGGGATGAGTTGACACTGAGAAGATGTTTGTAAGTCCGAGCTCCTCTGGTCTTTCATAGCCGGATTAACAGTGCCCGACGTATCATTATGATCTCAGCTTCGAGGACAGGCTCTTGCAACGGCGCTGAAATCAAGCATTTCAGAGGTGCTAGTCGGCATTTCAGAGGCGCTCGTCAGCATTTCGTATGGTACATCGAATGTAGCTGCAGTGGCCTGGTCAAAGAGGTGGGAAAATGGACAGCGGTAGAGCTTTATGTGGTGCCCGCTCGTGATAAAGATTGTTGAAGATATCTCGGGCAAGCAATGGATGATAACACCATATCAAACATCCATGGGAGAGCAGAAGGCCTGAGAACTCAGACGCATTGCGACAACAAAATGTCGCCAGCCTGCTCTACATGGTTTCAACAAGCCGCCGTTCTATCCCGTCTTGCTCCTGTACCTAATTGTCTGCAGGTCCTCCTTGCCCTGAACAAAAACCCGACAGCCCCTGATATCGTCCCTGGCGAGAATGGTCCTATAGCTCTTCGCAAACTCTGAGCTTTTCAGAACCCCAGACTTCTCTGCTTCGACGTCCACCTGCACGAGACCATCGAGGTATACTTCATTGAAGCGGACATTGGTGCCTGCGGTTTCGTACGCAGCTGCCACTGCCATGGAGAACAGAGCCCCCTGCGTCATGCCAGGACCAGGGCGAAGACCCTGGTCGCCCGACGCACCTGTACACATCGTCCAGCTGGCCCTTGGGTCTTTCTGCTTGAGAAGATAGGGAATTGTGGCTTTGTAGGCGACTGGACGGATCAGTTTCGTTTCAACCAAGGACGTTGATTGGTGCTTTCTTACTCATGTTCGGTTCGAAGTTCACTCTCATGTACTCTCGCACTTCGTCCATGCTGAGATCGAGCAACGTGCCGGCACCGAAAAGTCCACCGACTGTGTGGAGGTTAGCAACGTCTCTGGTGATGAATATGGCTGGTGATGAATGTGGGTACTCACCGCAGGAGTAGACGTGTTGAAAAGCAGGGAGTTCTCCCGCCTCAACCCTGTCTACAACGCTTTGGACACCAGTTTCGGACATGACGTCCGCTTCGACAGTAACGACACCCTCTTGCGTTCCAAGGTGTCGGAAAAGTTTCTCTGCTGAAGTGGCATTCCTGACAAGGGCAATCACTCTACAGTTGGACTGTTGTGCGGCTTGTACAGCGGCAGCTCCAATGTGGCCAGTGGCGCCGATTACAAGGACGGACTCCATAGTTGGTAAATGGATCTGGTTGCTTTGTTGCTTTGGTGCTTTGGTGCAAGATCTTTGACCATGGGATGTAGCCAATATATAGCCTCTCCTCGACGGGTCAAACCTGAAGTGGTATGCCTTGTAATGACTCACTGTCGTGCGTGACGGGCTGACTTCGTCGAATGGAGACTTTTGACTATCTGCTTTGAAATGTTGAAAGCCTCTTGCGATACACAACGGCTTGGCATACCACAACGGCAAGGCTGCAGGAAGCGCTTATGTTGCACACGCGATTGCCAAGCCTGGCACATCATGTCGCTGTGCAGAGCTATCCAATTGCGAAAGTTTTCTGCTAGACCGGGAAATACAGCAATTAGGGCTTTGATCCCAAGTCTTTCCACACGACGGCAGCAAAATCTAAAGATTCGCCACATTTCAGAAGGGATATCGTTCCAGATCGTAGAGCTAACCTTCCTGGTCCTTGGTACATATGACCAATCGATTTGATCTTACCCGCTTTCAGCCGCTTCATGTTGTGGCTTGACCATTGTCTGAAATAGGGAACTTGACTAGCAAAAGGCTCCGGCGATGGAGCTTCTACCAACGACGGAAGAGGGAATAGCGCAAAGGGTGGAAGGAAATGTGACGAGGTCGACACCGTTCCGGCATTGCACGAAGTCGTGTGTGAGCAGAATAGTGATACTAAACCATGTTAGACATATCTCTGCTTGAAATCAAGACGAGGAGGTTCGAGTTCCTCGACAGGTCTTACTCATTCAAGGACGGAAGAAGATAGGTAGATCTTCACGCAGGCTGACGGTAAGAAAAGTCAACACACTCTCGGCAGGGGTCACAGCACTTTCGAATTGCAACCTGCTTTCTACGTGGCGGAGAGGAGGATTTTTCTGATGAAGATCATGTTCCTTGTCATTGATTAAAGCCTATAAAATGATTTTCGTTCTTCGATCGGCCAGTTCGTCGAGCCGGGTTTCTCAACAGAAAACACTCGCTCCATGAGGACCAATCTGCATCCAGAATTCGTTGCAGAGATATAGTTTCTCAAGATAGCGCGTTCTGGGTGATCTGGGTAGTCGCGCAGAATCCATCGAAGGACGTAGATGTCGGCAGTAACATGCTGTGGCGTCTAAAACTCTACTCCACGAGCTCCATGTCGGTGTGCTGTTTGCTCTGCTTCGAGTATTTCCCCAGCATAATCTCCACTGGAGCCTCCAACACCCACAATCGCGCTTCCGATTGGTAGCATCTCCCAATCCAAAGCCTCAGGATGCGGCTGCAATCTTGACCGGCTGGCACGCCTGCGTTGGCGGGAATGTCCGGGTACTCGAGACCACTGTCTTGACCGTTTGAAGGTACGTGTAGAGCCACATGAAAGCGGACTATGTGTTGCAGCGCAGTGTGCTGATGCAAGCCACAGGACATCTATGATCCTCGGAGTCTCGCATCGCTTGCAAGAGATCTTCGCAGTACTGTTCGGCATCTTCTGTGCATTGAATTGCTTGTAAGGATTCAAGCGGCAATTGTTGGAGTCCATGTTGCATGCTATCAGAAGCTTTTGAGATATCAGTCTATAAGCCAAGAGGTCAGTATGAGGGTTCGCCACTGCATACAGTTCCTTCGATTCCAAAGGGTCCTCCAAGAAGGCAGAAATGTGAGAGAGCCAACGGCAGTGTTCTCTTGCACCCGTGTAGATACCCAGGGCAAGGAACGCTTTGTACAAAAGTTTGAAAAGCTTCGCGGCATTGACCTCACTATGCTAATACGCAGGCAGCCAACGGATCGAAATAGAACACCCCCAGACTCCAGAGACACTGCTGCGAGGCTGTGCAAAATCACTCTCAACGGCCGCACCCGCCCAAAGCAGCTACTTCCCCAGACACATCCAAAACATTCACCCAGAGAGATTACCCGAAGTTCAGCCGAGTCCGCAGCCGGCCCCCTATTCGGAAGGATGCACTTCTGCGAGATCCGAAACAACTGTCGCGATTGGCTGTTTACGGAAACGCACTCATAGAGTATACGATGGTGGGCTCCGCTTCCGTCTGGATATAGCATGCGGTTGTCTTGGCAGACGAGGTATTTCAGGAAAGAGTCGTCCCTCCGGCTGGTTGTTGTTGGGGCGATGTTGATATCTTTCCACTACTTCCGACGACAACTTACTCCAAAGTTCAAACCAAACGCATTTCCCTTCGCGGATTAACGAAACCTTCGAACCAATCCAATAACAACAACAAACAACCTCAGCATGGGCCTCTTCAACGACCCCTCTCAATTCCCCCTCGCAACGCTCATCATCATTGCTGCGTCGGGCTTAGCAGTCATGCTCGGCTACGCGCACCATCGACTCTTCTACGGCATTGAGGATACTTCGATTCCTGGACCTTCTGACGACCAGACGGTGTATATGCGGGAAGTAAGGTTAAGGAATCAGAGGGATGTCGCGGCGGTGCTGGGACGGAGATATCATACGGGATGAGGACATAGGGTTTTGGTTGGGGAAGAGGCATGAGGATTGAGATGATGGATCTGGTACCTTGAATATACCTGGGGAGTGGGGTTTTGATCGTAGAGAGCGATGAATTGTGAGTCCTGCCACCAGAAACGACTATGTCTTGCGGCTTCTTGCTGATGGAGGGGGAATAGCAGACGGCTTATGAACGACTGGAGTGCAGTGCAGTGTCCGATGTCAAGACCATGAAGCCGCAATGAGTGTCGAAGACGTGCTCCCAACAGTTTCGATTGTGCTTCAGATGCATCGACAGCCGGGAAAAGAGTCGAAACAGCTCGAGATACGAGAACGAAACACGGTCTGCAACACACAGCCCAAAAAAACCCACAAGCCTACACATGATCACTTAACAGCCCTCATCAACATCCCCAACACCTCCAAATCCGTCCTCGCATCCCTCGGCGTCGTCTTCGGCACCCTCCCGCCATTCACCCACTCCCACATCTCCCTCAACTCCAACGTAAAAGGATCCTCGTACGTCCTCCGAATTGTCGACTCTCGATACGACCCGTCCTCCAACGCCTCCTTGACCACCATCGTCGTCGGCAGACCTTTCACGAAAGGGGTGTCGATGACCATCTTGACGGTTTTCTTGTCCCCGAAGATTTCGATCGAGGCGTTGAAGCGTGGGACCTGGTCGACGCCGGATTCGTAGGAGACGGAGAAGGTGGGGTATTTGAAGATGGCGCTTTGAATCAACATAAGCAAAGTCGGGTTTCATGCTTTGATGATGGCGGGACTTACCTCCAAAACGGACTGCCGGTGGTCTGACAAGGCGAAAACCCCACCACCCCCTCCGGCACGCCCAACATCTCCCTCATAGCGCTCAAATCATGACTTCCAAGCATCGACAGCGTCTCCCACATCATCCTCGTCCCCTCCGTCGCACGCACCCCAACCTCCTCCTCCAACGCCCGCTGGACATCCGCCTCCGTCTTGCGCCTCAACTCCTCCTCGTCCTCCTTCGAGTAATCCCCAAACGTCCTCGGAAACGTCCCAGACTGCGATACGAAGACCGAGTTCGGGCCTATGATATCCCTCACACGAGCGTAGCGAACCTGCTCGAAGGTCCCGACTTCCCTGACGGCGTCGACGAACGCGGAGGCGTACCGCCGCATATACCCGACCATGACCTTGCCGCCCCCGGCGGCTTCGTCCGCGGCGATGATGCGGTCCGTGTCGTACAAATTCAACGCAATCGGCTTCTCCACGAAAGCGAACTTGCCGGCTTGCAGGGCGAGCTCAGCTTCCTCAGCGTGAAAGGCGTGGTTGCTGCAGATCATGACGACGTCGACGTCCGGGGCGTTGCAGAGTTCTGAGACGAACTGGGCGATGTTGGGGCGGACTTTACCGGCAATCTTGGACTGAGCATGCTTCCCGGCTTCGGTTAAGACGTTGTAGAGGTGTGTGATGCGGAAGAGGTGTGTGAGGTTGTTGAGCGTGGGGATGTGGACGACTTGGGTTACGAGGCCGCAGTTGGGAGGGTCGGTTTAGCAGGAATCTACAATGTAACCGCTAGATTAGGGATATCGCCTACCCTATGATGCCTACCCTGACGATGCGGCCAGTTGGCGCTGCTTCAGTACGATTCATGCCAAACAGTTTGACGGTCGACGGTTGGCTAATGTAGAATTCGGATTCGCAACCTATCGAACCCGAATAGATACTCGACCTCAATGCTCAACAACTACCTTATTAGTTATGGAAGTCTGAGTAATGAGATCGGTCAAAGAGGACAGCTATCTCATTCAGATGCAGACCACTGTCCGCGTGTCAGCTTCGAACGGCAGCCTTTCTCCAGCTTGCTTGCTTGCTTCGGGGAGCTTTGCTTAAGTCCTTGCAGTAGCTGAGTTTGATGACCACAATGGCGATGTGGAGGAAGGACTTAGATAGCGGTATCGTAGAGCGATACAACGAGTTGATATAATGAAGACTACCCACGTCGTCGCTAAACCCTCCTGATCTGGGAAGACATATCATGGTTAGCGAAGTTCTATGCATGTGAACGACTCACCAAATCTACTCCTCTTACCCAACCTCTTACTAACAACCACCTTATCCCCAACGCTCACCAGTATTCCTTACAACCCTCTCCTACGCAGCTATACCTTCCAGAAATCGGACTGCACTTCGCCCAGATCCACCCGGGATTCATTCTACAGTGACAACTGCTCGCTTCGAAGGAACTCTTGTATTTGCGGTGATGGGGCTCGTCTATTTCGTATGCAGTATAGTTATTAAAGCGTCCAGATCTACCTCCCTCCCTTCTTCCATGGCATCGTAGGAATCTTCGGCGAAAGCTTAACAGCGTTCAGCACAACAACTATCCCAAAAAGTCAGCACAACCCCCTCACACCCAGCCAACAAGCGGGAATGGAAAGGCAAAACTCACCAACAAACAAACAAATCGTAATCGTCGGCAACAACCACGCACTCAACACGAACCCCCCAACCGTCCCCGTCGCATCCATCGTCGCCAACAGCGCAATGCCCAGCCCAACGACCGCCGTGAAGACGAGTCGAAACATGAAAAGCTTCGTCTTCCGTCCCCGATTCAACCACGCCAGCACCGTGCAGAGCACGAGGAAACTCCCCATCGTGACGTAGAAATACACAAACGTCACTTCGAACACCGTCCACGCCTTGGTGATATTCTCGACGCTCTGGTCGCGCCAGTGGTCGTGGGGCACCTCGTCGAAGTCCAGCGGGCCTTGGAGGTATTCCACTGCTTCGTTGATTTCGGCTGCGGAAGCGGGCGGTTCGAAGCCGGCGATTTTGAAGACGGTGTTGAAGAGGATGCCGAGCAGCCAGGCGAAGGCGTTATAGGCGCCTTCGAGATCCTCCGGGCCGGCGGCGATGGTGGGGATGGCGGAGTCGTTGGTTTGGTAGTAGTAGCCGATGCCCTGGGAGGTGGCGAGGAGGGCGCTGGAGCGGGAGAGGGAGCGGTCGAGGAGTTCGAGGGCGGTGTGATTGAGGGCTGTGGCGGCGGATTGGAAGGAGGATGGTGGGATGTCCGGGTTGGTGAAGTTGTCGAGGATGGTGTTCCAGTGGTTGAATTCCTTGAGGAGGGCGTTGTTGCGCCGGACGGCGGCCGTCCAGGTGATGCATTGGGAGAAGCCCTCGACGGCGAGAACGAGGGCGACGTGCAGGGGGAAGTGGAGGAAGGACCAGATTTGTTGGCGGATGGTGCCGAAGAGCTCTTCGTGCTGCCAGTCGAAGTAGATCATGTACATCTGGGGATGTATCGTCAGCGTGGAAGGGGATGGGAATAGGATGGGGAGGCAGACGAAGTAGAGGTTGAACACAGCGCAGACGATGGCTGCTGCTACAGGTCCAACGAAATCGAAGACGTCGTCGGAGTAGACAATGTTTTGACATGCTCTTGCAATGCCAATGGCTCCTAAAGAAGCTGATCAGAGAGCATATCCTCAACTCAGTCCAGTGGATGGAGTTCCTACCTTCCCCAAAGATAATCAACGTCAACAACGACATCCGCTCAACAAGATGCGTGCCTTGAAAACTAAGGTTCCTCCACACGACCGACACCGCCGTCGCCAGAATCGTCTCCAAAACCGCAATCACGTACCACACAATGTACGTGTGGTTCTCGCCGGTGGAGTTGAGGTGGAAGGTCCAGTAGAGGCCCAGGTAGACCATGGCGGCGACGAAGTATGTGCCGACGAGGAGGAGCATGGGGAGGACGACTTTTTTGTAGTTCCTACCATAATCGTTAGCAAGAATTGCTATTCACTTTGTGGTGAAAGACATTACCTTGCAAAGTACAAAGCCTGTAGATATTGCACGACCAGCACAAGCCGGCTGATCATCAGCACAATCGTCAAGGCCCTCTACCCAACCAACAACTGTCAGCAGTGCCATATCGCCAATCCCCCATGGAAAACCAAAAACTCACAAAATAAATCAGACTCGGCCCCTCCCCATTCGCCTCCCCCCTCTCCACCTCCTCCCCAGGATTGAACTCGGGTCCCACAACCGCAAACCCGATCATAACCCTATAGCACAAAACACATTAGTAGCCGACCCATCCCATCCCCTCTCCCCCCTCACCAATTCAATTCAAAAGAAGGACAAGACAACTCACAGAAACTGCATTGCCTTACAAACCCGCTCAAACACCGAGTCCATAAAGAACCTCACATCATACAAGCTGACCTGATACCACGTGAACCAGATGATGCAGAAGAAGCCGACGTACTGCTTCAGACTCTCCCCATCGTTGACTTCGTGTTCGTAGGTGAAGACGGTGAGGTTGGCGACGAAGAAGAGGTCGTAGAAGAGTTCGATGTTGGTGGATTGTTGGAAGCGGCGGAATTGGGGTGTCGATGCATCTGGGGTGGGTTCTGGTTTCGGCGATGGGCTGCTAGGGGAAGGTTAGGTTGTTTTGGGGTGAGGTTGGGGGAGATGGGCGTACGAGTGGGAGTCGAGACGTGCCGACTCGATGTCTTCTACATCGTCGTCTTTTTCGGGTTGGACGAGGGGGCTCTGGATGATGGGGAGGTAGCTAAGCTCATGTTCCAGAGGCATGTTGACGAAAGACAATCCGGCAAGGTCCAAGGCGACGGATCAAGCTTTTCTGAGTGGCGGCCAAGGCATATATATCCTCGCCGCACCCCAAACGTTTCCTGTCCTTTTCCTTTTCAGCCGCAACACAATGCAGACATTGCATCTCATTGCATACAAGCATCCCCTTTGTCATCCGCACATCCCCACAAACATCTCCATCTCGACCCAACCATCGCCCAGATCTTTATCACTCCTGCCGTCACGAAGGCTCGGGCCTGCACGTCCGAACCATTCAAGCTGATTCCTTTCAGCCTCAGCAGCCGTGCGGTGGGGATGTGCAATTCAGCCGCTGTGCCAAGAAGCAGCTTGACGTTGCTGCTTTCCCGAATGGGGAGAGCTTTGCGCCAGGCTGGGGGATTGATCAGGAAGGGATTGCGCTCGTTGCGCTGTGAGGAGCGGCGATGCGATCGGGAAGGGATGTTGGGGTGGTATATATCAGAACGAATTGTTGTCAGCCGGGTCGCTTTTGGTTTGATTGCAGAGTTCTCCTTTCGTCGGAGCAGATGTCAGGCTTCTTGATGAGCGATCGTTTGCCATTATTATAAGTTCTGCTGTACCTTGCTCGAGAGATGAATTGTAGTCTACTGGCATCAATACCGCGCAGGCGGTTTTCTTCATGGTCTCTACTTGTGGCCATGGGATTTGATAGAGCGGTGTAATGTTGCGCTGTTGGATCTTGTTGGGCGGGTTCTGGGTGCGACAATATATATATCTTTAGCGTTCGTTCTCATGAAAGGCTCTCGTTGCTTGAGCGTTTTGAGAACTTGCATCAATGAGCGATGTTGTGAGATCCCTCAGTTGATGGGTGTAACGAGCGCCTTTGCCTCGCGAATGGCTTGCAACACGCTCCACTGCCTCAGACTAGGCGAGCGCACCCATCTCTCGCTCGACAGTCTCCACGCCTCAACTCGCATGCAGAGTCTGGTCCACCTCGTGCGCTTGACATCCAGTCCACCGATGTCTAAGTCGCCGTAACTTTCTTCGACAAGATCATCCAAATCATACAAATCCTCATTCGTCGCGCCTGTGGGTGGCTGGGAGATGAAGCACAAACATCCAGAATGCGTTCGAGGTATGCCTGCCTCCACACCAGATCAGCAGGAGGAAGATTGGGCGGTTGTGTAACTTGGATGCCGTGGTGGTGGTGGTGGCTTGAGAATCGATAGAACCGGCGACTCCTGCTTTGCCTTCTGGATTTTCAGTCTCGTCAGCAACTGTGCAGTCGATCCAGACAGTCTTCGCCAAGTCTTCGAGGCACTCGTCCGGGCCTGGAATACTATCTCCCAGAGCCCTTGAAGACTCGCCTCCAACGAACTGATTGATCTGCCGACGTACGCCAAGATCCATCTAATCTGGAACACGAGTCCTTCGGCATAGAAGCCTTTACAAGAATAGCTCGCGGCAATTCTTCAATCTCGCCTTCTCGAGCGGAGTGGGTGGTCCCAGCTGCGGCGGATTCGGTAGGGTCGAGGACGAGGTCGATGCTAGAGGTCGCGGCGGGGAGGTTCATCGTGGTGGTGGGTAATGAAGTGTGTGGTCTTATCGCATACATCTCCCCGGTGACAAGCGTTTCGAAGAGAACGATAGAATCCTGCTGTGGTGTTGTTCTGGATCTCACATCAAGTGCCCCGTCTCGAAATCGGCATTTCCTTGCTCTGCGAAGCTGTCCCGGCCTCTCGTACTGCCCGCCGCCAGAAACAATATACCCCTCGTTTAGCGAATGAAACCTATGCCGGGGTCGATGATGTCGGCTGTGTTGAGGATCAAGGTCATCGCCTTTGAGTTGGAGATATTCCGTCGCTTCCAACATCTACGACAAGGGCAAATTGGAGAGCTGAGGTCCATACCGTTCATCGCAGTGGCGGGTTCGTAATAGCCTCGTTCGAATACATCTTGATAGATTCGCAAGACGTCGCACTCGATGAGGTAGAGTGCCTGCGGGAGTTGGCGAGATCCGATCCATGCATTGCTGAGGGACTCTGGGCTTTCCTGCGGCTTTTGTAGGACGGTTGTTGGCTTGAATGTAGCGGATTCGATATCTACGGCTGTCGTATGCGTCTTGAGGAGTCTTTTATCGCGCTCGATTCATCATTGTCGAAGGCTATTCTGGGGAAGAGAGGTGTTGCACGGAGTGGAAGAGTGTAGGACACTTTGATATAAGACTGATCTGGACAATATCAGTGAGGGCAATCCAGCCTCATCCATACCTTCGCCCTCATCGTGGCATATACCCTTGAGCCATGCAGGGGTTCGCATTTTCGAGAGAAGCATCGAGGGAAGGAGTTGCCTGCAGGCCGAGAGTTGGACATTGCCGAGTCATAGAACGAAAAGTGAAGACTCACATTGGCGTGGGGAGTGACAGACAGCGAGCAAGAGCCGAGTCGGACTCGGGATCGTGGCCTGTGTTGAAGCATGCCGTCGTCTGCAGGGAATGGCCGGATCTTGTGTACATCGTGTCCTGCCTTGCCATGACCTACCTTGCCGTGCTCTTGTCGGCGTGCTCTTGCGTTTCTCGCTCTTCTCTCGTTACTACCATCGTCTCCGTGCGACGCTCGTGTTCGTCTCCTCGCGCCCCCATACACCGCACCAGCAAGTATCCTCGCCCATCAGAACCTCACGTCTCGCTCCTCGCCGTCTTCTTCTACTCCCTCAACATGCGCACCAAGCTTCCCATAGTGGTCCCAGCTGCGAACGGGACCCTCTTTGATCACGTTGCACGCCTGGGTGTGAGGCGAACGAACACGTGGAGGGAGCGTGGGGGTGCGTGTTCGCGCCGTGGATATCATGCAGGTGAGAGGCGAAGGATGCCCGTCGCGTCCTGTTCTTCGGTATCGGCACAGCGGCACAGGGCATTAGGACGGCGGCGCGCAGGGGTTTGCAGCAGTGTCGCGTATGGCGGTAATGATCAATTCTTCGTCTGCTTCTTCTTCATCTTCATCCTCATCGTCGTCGTCGGCGGATGAATGTCCATCTCCATCACGAGGAGAATCTCGCCTGCGGATGATATCGGCCGACACACCCAAACCAGCCGCGACCACATGCCAAGCCCCAAGGCCCGCCGACACCGGCCAAGCAGCATCGAAGCACTTTTGCGCCCAATTTCTCCCTCGCAAGCGCCGGCGCGGCAGGATTGCTTGAACGAGCCAAGCACATGGACCGCCAACCCTCCCATTCGACCAACTTTGACGCCTCACTCACCAATTCTTCACGGCCATTGACGGCGAGGTGAGTTTCGCCTGCATAATCAGATCATCAGATAGCCCACCTCGACACCCGCACACCCGAGGTAGCTCCATCTTATCTGATCGTTGATTGGACGTGTAGACCCTAGACGGGGATCGAGAATGGTCTTTTCTCTCTTTCTGGCGACGGCGGCTCCGATCGGAAAAGTTCGTCACGGAACGACATGCTTGCAAGTTGCCGGGGTGGGATGCAAGCTCCAGCCGATCGTGCCTTCCTCGTGGATGTGGTGTGGAAGGTGGCGTGTGCTTTGTTCCCAAAGGTCGAACCTTCCTTCACTCACATCTTTCTCAAGATCTTATCTACTCCTGGGATCTACCCGTCTTCGCTCTTTCCTCACTTCACCTCACTTCATCTCTCACACATACACCACCACCACCAAGCATCATCCCCGAGGATCGTCAGGAGTCAAGACTTGGCGACACTGCTTGGCCGTTGCTTGGTGTATCTTGATCATCCGCCATGGGCGTCCTCGACAACCTCCGCCACCGCCAGGCCAGCATCGAGCATGGCGCCGCCCCGGCCAACACCGCCGGCCTGAGCGGCGACGACTTCAAGAATAAGGAATTCGTCGGTGATGTCGAGGCGTCCGGCTCCGACAGCGACCGACTCAGCATCGAGGCCAAGAACGAGAAGGAGGTCCAGCAGCACCCGGACCAGGTCACCGACGGCGCTCAGCGCGGTATTCAGAAGGCTGAGGCGGCGGCGTTGGTTTGGAGCAAGAAGGCCATCTTCGCCATTTATGCATGGTCAGTCAATATCATCATCAATATTGATGGCTTCACCGTCTAATATGTGACTAGGATCTGGCTGTGCTACTTCATGCTCGCCTTCCAGCAGGGCGTGCAGGGCTATGTCACCGTCTACGCCTACTCCACCTTCAAAACTGCCCCGGCCATCAACACCGCCGTCATCCTCGCCCAGATCATCGGCGGCATCCTGCGCCTCCCCATCGCCAAGTTGATCAACGTCTGGGGTCGTGCTGAGACGTTTGCCCTGTTTGTCGGCTTCTACCTGCTGGGTATGATTGTTTTGGCTTCCAGCAGTGGTCCTGACTCGTACGCCGCTGGATATGTCCTGTACTGGATTGGGTGGGTACATCCCATTCTTCAACCGCACCTCCCCAACTAACACATCTCCCAGCTACGACGCCATCTACCTCATCCTCGACATCTTCATCGCCGACTCGTTCGGCCTGCGCAACCGAGCCCTGGCCTTCGCCTTCGCCTCCACCCCCTTCATCATCACCGCCTTCACCTCATCCCTCGCCGCCGAGTCTTTCCTCTCCAACCAAATCACCGGCGCCGGCTGGCGATGGGGCATTGGCACATTCTGCATCACCAATTTCGTCGTCTTCGCCCCACTTTCCGTCGTCTTCTGGTTCTACACCCGCAAGGCCATCAAAATGGGCGTCTACAAGCCCAGTGATAGTGGCCGAACCACCCTCCAATCCATCTGGCACTACTTCCATGAGTTTGGTGGTGAGTATATGCAGTCTAAACACACCTGAATTTCACTGACACGGTAATTCTAGTCCCCGGTGCTCTCATCCTTATGGCCGCCTTCTGTCTCTTCCTCCTCCCCTTCTCCCTCCAAACCTACGGCCGCGCCCCCTACGACTCGGCCACCTTCATCGCCATGGTCATCATCGGCTTCCTCCTCTTCTTCGTCTTTGCTGCGTGGGAGAAGTGGTTCGCCCGTGTGCACTTCATCCGCTATGACCTCTTGAGGGAGCGCACCGTTCTTGGATCGTGCATGCTCGCTCTGGTCTTGTACATGGCGTTTTACGGATGGGTAAGTCTTCACACTCATACACATCCATCCCCCACTAATTGCAATTTGCAGGACCTCAATTATTACAACTACGTCCTCGTCGACTTCGCCCTCCCCGTCTCCCTCGGCGGCTACATGAACCAAATCTACAACGTCGGCTCCTGCTTCTGGTCCTGCCTCATCGGCGTCTTCATCTACTACACCAAACACTTCAAGTGGCTCGCCTTCGTCTCCGGCCTGTGCTTCATGCTGCTCGCGAACGGCCTGCGCATCTACTTCACCTCCTACAACGCCCACATCGGCTACATCATCATGGTCCAGATCTTCAACGCCTTCGCCGGCGGCACCATCGTCATCTGCAACGAAATGGCCGTCATGGCCGCCTCCGACCGCGAAGGTGTCCCCCTCATGCTGTCGATGCTCTACCTCTTCAATGCCGTCGGCGGCGCCATCGGCCAAGCCGTCTCCGCCACCATCTACTCCAACACCTTCCCGCAAGCCCTCCGCCACGTCCTGCCCGAAGATCGATGGAACAAGGTGCCAGAATTGTATGCCGGCGGTTACGTCACCCAGATCATGTTCCCGCCTGGCACCATCGAGCGTGAGGCGAGCGATTATGCGTGGAGACAGACGCAGTACTATGGCAGTATCTTCGCGACGTGTGTGCTGGTGCTGGGGATCCCGGCGATTCTGCTGTGGAAGAACTACCGCGTGGATAAGAAGCAGAATAAGGGTACCGTCTTGTAAGAGATGGGTCAGGAGGTGTGGTGGAGAGTGGGTGTGTGTATGTTTTGAGCGAGAGGGAAGGGAAGTTGTGTAGTGTTCTTTCGCTTGAAGAATATCTAAAACAAAAGACGTTCATGTGAATACTAACATAACACTTTTTCCTATTTCGCTTATCTATTCCTCCTCTACTCGTTCTATACCTACTCGCTCCCTACTAGCTACGTCTTCGTACGTAGCTTAGAACTTGAAGTCCGTCTCGAGTAGCTTACCGCTCCCCTAATAGTAGAAGACCTATAGTATAGATAAGAAGATAAGAAGTAGAGTAAGGGTACCGTCTTGTAATGAGGTGGCTGGAAGATGTGGGAGTGTAGGAGTGAGTGTGTTTTGAGTGCGAGAAAGAGGAGGTTTCGTACAGTGTTCTTTCGCTTGAAGAACATTCGAAAGAAAAGACATTCGTAGGAATCATGCACGCTCTCTTCTATTTCCGTCGTCCCTATTCTTCTCTTCATGATATTCTTCTAGATATCTCGTCTTCGATCCCCCGTACACGTCCTTCCTCCCTTCTATACGAGCTTTTCCGCTGCCCCGTGCATGCCGTTTTTTTACACCACCGCCGCGAGTTCTCTCGTTTCTGTTGGGTTTGAGCGCATGTCGAGTATCGCCCAGGTCTCTACGAGAGACAGCAGGTCTTGCGCCGGGAACTGCTTATGGGAAAGGCTGTGCTGGTCGTCTTCGAATGGGTTTCTTTTGTTGTTGGTTCAGGCAAGCTTCATAGCCTACCAACGATTCTTATCATGTCCCGGACTTGATGACTTGGCCTATAGCTCCGTTCAGATCTTGACTCCTATATAGCGTTCCAGGAAAAGCAAGGAGGGAAGATTTCTTCTCTATATCCTCGTGCTTTGAAGGCGATTTCTCCGTCCGGGAAAAGCTCCCGGGCTGACAAACGTACATCTCTATCTTACCAAAACGATGTATATCCAGCGACGGCAGGCAGCCATGCATGCATCTTGCAAGCTAAACGAGAACCCCTCGTACACACCATAACTTCCTCCCCCCTAGAAGCGTACTACCTCCAACTCGGCGCCTCCGGCCTACGGGTCCCCGTCCCTATCCTCAGCGCGCTATGTCCATCGGGGACTCGCACTGGAGCAACTGGCTTCTTGATTAAGACAAGCCCTTCCACTTGTCAAAGTGTCGTACGATCGAGGGCTGCGTTCATGGGACACGGCGGGGTTCTACAGTAACGGGGTCTCGGAGGAGATGGTGATTTGGAAGGCTTTAGGGAAGTTTTGGGATGGAGAGGAGGAAGGTGGTCATTTTGACCAAGTGTTGTTGTGTTGTTTGTTTTCTTATCTATCTTTTGGGTGCTGTGCTTGATATGCGGTGGAGTTCAGGACTGATGGAAGGGCGATATAGTCTGCAAGGCCGCGAGAACAATTCTTACTCAAACCTGGTCTGAGCAGTGATTGAACACCCCCTGGACTACGTCAATATCGAAGGAATCTCCCGCTCTGCTATCGTTCATTCCGTCGGACGACCTCTCTACGCCGGCTGCAGATGGACCCCATCGACCTGCTGCTGCAAGTCCACTGCTTCGATCCTACGGTCTCCGTCGAGGAGAGGATGAAATGGAAGCTCTGCGTGATGGAGATTCGGCGGGAAGGTGAGGTTTATCGGTGTGGGAAGTATGTAGGCGGTGGAGGTTGCGAGGATGTGGTTCTGCGCGGAGAGGTAAAAACAGCTAGAGAAGTTGCACGGTCTAGACAGCGGAAGGAAGAGACAAAGAGGCGTACTTAACTTAGATTATGTTTTCGTATGTCTATTCACTTATTTAGCACTAGTAGTCATCCTTTTAAATAGGCGGAATCGCCTATCCCGCGTTAAGAGCTATATAATAAAGACGTCATTACTCTACACGAGTTAGGAGATCGAGCTTGCAACGTTCTACAATGTGTGCTACTGGCGAAGGAATTCTCAACGCTACATGCACGATCTTTGAGATCGTCCTCTTAACTTCAGTTGGTCGATAAATACGAACAGTCTGTAGCGGGCTCGTCTCCATCCGTCGTCGGTAAGCGCCGAGATGCGACTACGCCAAGTTCTATTCTCTCGTCGCTTGACTATTATCGTCACCTCATAACATGGTCTCCGGAGCTTAGGACATGGAACCTAATTTTGCGACCGGCTGTATTTGATCGTTTGGTGTGCTTATTGAGCAATGGTTCCTTGTCTATCATATACCAAGAAATACGCACGGTCGGGAAGCTTTCTTGGGATTTCCCCAAAAGGGAAGGAGTGCAGCTGATAGGATCATGCGCTAAAGATTTATGGCTCGGGGACTCTCTTAGGCTTGGGAGGTGGTCAAACATGGCCGATACTCTAGGACGTCAACATCATTGACATGACCATGGCGAGGCATATATATGATACATAGAGGGTTACGCTTCTCATCACCATGACCATCAGAGTTCCCAGAGCTCCGTCCTCCACCAAAAATGCATCTCCCCTCCCTCCTCCCCGTCCTCCTCGCCAGCAGCGTCTGTGCCTGGCAAAGGCCCAACCAGACCGCCTCCGACGAAGCGACGTCCCTCATCGGCATCACGACGGTGGCGCCCGGACAATTCGAAAGAGTCCGTCAACAAATGCGGAGTACCCCGTCCTCCAAAATCCATTCCGGCTAGCCGGCGCATCCTAGTTCACCTACATCATGGACGAAACCCTCTCCTGGATCCAGCGCAACGAGCCCGGGACGCTCCAGCTCGAGGTGTACACCCTCGCCTCACGCGCGAATGGGACGGAGATATCGTTTTTTGAGAAGTCGGCTCCCATGTTCCCTTCCTTTCACCTCCCCATTGTCCCCTCGTGCGCTGACGAGGTGTGTGACCAGATACGCCAACCGCGCCGCCCGAGACACGCATTCCAATTCGCAGCATTATGCTGAGTTTATTAAGTCGTTGACGCCGCTGTTGGTTGGGGAGCCGATCCTGCTGTTGGGGGATTATGAGCAGGGGTTTTCGTTGGCTGGGGGGAAGGGGGTGGCGGTGGGCTTGGAATGGGTGAGGGGATGGGACAGGGTAATGGGGATGAAGGCGGGCTTTTCTGGGTGTTGATGAGTTTGTCTTGGGCATGGACGAGGGTCGACGTGCACGTGAACGATGTTGAGCAGAAGCAGGAAATATCACCATCGTTTCTGGTCGTCTATCTGTAATTTTGGATTTTGTATAGCTGGTTTCTTCAAGATGTTATGTTCGGATTTCTTACTCAGTGTCTGGTCGGTGGAATATCGTTCTTCCGGTCAAGAACCCCCCTTGTCTCTAGCCGAGACAGGACGGGAATCTCACCGCCCTTCACTAGTCCTCTCTCTTTCCACGATCACCTCGACTGCGAGCCAAGGACATGTCTCTTCCTTCCTATATGTCTACCACGTCCTCCGGTTTGAACCTCTCATTGAGTTACCTCCCCATCATAACGCCGTCGGGGAAGTCACTGCAGTTGGACTTGGTTGTGCGGTCGGTCGAAGTTGACGAGACGCTGGTGTCGACGGAGGATTCCTTTGATTTTATAGATAGAAGGTCGTTGTAGAAGTCACCGGCGCTGTCGCTATCGTCGGGTTTGAAAGTTCGGTGGAGTTTTTGAACTGTCTACGCCATCGAACTGAGGACGAGGGCGAGTTGGCGGCGGTTAGAGCGGAAGCACGGCTCAACTAGTTCACGGATATTAAGCTCACGGCGAAAGAGATGTTACCGTTCACTCAAGTGTTGATTCTAAGCATGTGCCATGTATCAGAGGGTCTTTCTTTCTCACCAGATGACAAGGTATATCGTAAGCGACACTTCTTGCACGCTCTGCAAGAGAGTAAAGGGGCATATACAATTTATTCCAGGTCCTTCTTCGCACAGCCCCTGGACGTTCGCCGTAGCCCACAGGGCTTGTCTATTCGGATGCTAAAATCCTTCGAGACGGTCTATATAAAGACTGGGTACCGTGCTGTCCTAGGCTTACGGCAGAGGTGATGTAATGAGCGGGGAGAAGCGGTGCTATGATTGAACAGTGTTTTCTATTAACAAGGTGTCGACACGACAGTACTACGAAGAAAGGGAGGCTACGGCGACGACGACTTCGGAGACTGTAAGTCTCGGCACTCGGGACAGCCTCGTCATTGGGCGGATCGTCGGCAGTCAATTGATAATAAGCCTTCTGTTACTCAGCATCCTGCGACTGCCGTACCTAAGTCCTACAAGTCCCTCAAGTCCTGCATATTCTCCAAGTCCAACAAACCGCTTTTCCGCCCCCACAGCGCCACAGCTATGAGTGCCTTTCTGACGAACACCGTGCCTGAGATCTTTGCCACGGATGCCGACTGCTCGACGGCCAACGTCGCACTTGCGGCATTTTTTCTCCGCTCAATCATTGCGCCTCGTCGTCTGCAGACCGTGACTGGAGTCTTTGAAGAGCTGCCCCTTTTCTACTTTAAAACCACTGGCACACAGTCGTCCTTGCAGCACATTACCCTCGCTTGTGCATCGGCAGCTTATGGCATCCGCCACAACTTGCCCGCCGCCCTGGCAATTGGGCGCTCGGCGTACGACGCTGCTATTGCACAGCTGTCCGGGGATTTGGCGACGTTCTCGGATCGCTCTGCACCTGGTGCTGCTATTCTCAATGTTGTCCTGTGCAACTTCTACGAGGCTTGTATTCCCCAGAGGGCCACACGGCCGGCCTCTACAAGCTCTGTATGCCACTGACTCATGGCACAGTTCATGATGTGTCTCAAAGACAATCGCCGTTTCCGCAACATACACGAGAAAGGCTTGGTTGGTCTGATCCGCAGCTGTGGAGCAGTAAGCTTCTCTCCGGACTCTGCTGATGGCCGTCTGTTTGAGGCTGCCCGACACTATATCGTATGTTGAAGTTACCGTGGCAGCGCGATGCCGAATTGACGTTTCTTCGCAGGCGAACGACTGTCTCGAGTCTGGGATATCAGCATCTGAAGCTCTCGGGCAGGCTGTCCCGACTCTGGACAGGGATGATGACGACTTCTGCCGTCTCCTGACAAGCTGCGTGATCCGAGCTGCTGACGCTGCTGCAGCGACATCCAAACTGGACAGTCATTTCACCCGGGAGGAACTGCTTGATGGTCTCCAACGGATTCAAACAGTCGAGCAAGACCTTGAACGGTGGACAAAATGCGTGCCCGAACACTGGAATTTCACAAAGCATTGCAACTTCTCTTGGCCAGCCCAGTACGCCTGCGAAAACAGATGTGATGCGTACTACGACATACAAGTGGCCTCCAATTGGAACTGTTACAGACGAGCGCGGTTGATCCTGTTGGAAAGAACCATTGGTCTGATCGACATCCTCAGCATCTTAGACCGTGAAGATCGCACGGCGATGAGGCATGCTTCACTGAAAGCAATAGCCCAGATTTCGGAAGACGTCTGCGCGAGTCTCCCCTTTCATTTAGGCACACGAGACCCAACGAGCGAGCATATCTCATTCCCCGTATCCCCTGACAACGAAGGTGATGCTGTCCGCAATCAGACTGCTGGAATACATGGCTGGTTTTTAATCGTTCTTCCGATCTGTCGACTTATGAAGACAACGCACATCCCCATTGCTCACACAGCCTGGATCACGGCGCAGCATCGGCGAATATGTGCCATCGTGGGTCACAAACATGGCATATCGGAGGACAGTACATCTGAAATCTTGGAAACTGCAGTACCCGCTTTTGCATCTGCTCTGCCCATTAATTCTAGTCACATTGAGTGAGTGCACTGCTTTCTTCTTGCGTTTTCGAGAAACGAGCAGTCGCTGAATCAGGATTGTAGACCAGCTCAAAGACGTGCTGAGCCTACCTCCACATCCATGTCTTCTGCAAGACCCAAAGAAGACGAGCACCTCCCTGGCAATAAGCTAAATAATCTCGCTGCCGAGAGCACAAGCTCAACAAGTGACACCAGAGCCGAGCCACGGTGCTGGCAGCATGCATGCGGTGGAAGAAGATTCGCAAACTGGTCCAATCTGGAGCGCCATTGCAAAGAACGAAACAAGGCGAAATGGACTTGCGCGCTTTGTGGAGCTCGCTTCACTCGTCGGTCGGCGCAGAGAGCCCACGTAGATCTTAAACGCTGTGGCTCGGTCAATGGTCGTCCACGGGTAGATAGAGAGTTGCCGCCATAGTACAACTAGCCAGTACGATACATGCTTGTGGAACCGTGGATCCGGTTCGGGATTCTCCTTGGCTGCATCGGCAGTGTTGGCTTCGGCGACTATCGATTAGCTGGAACACCATACGATGCATCGTGGTGGAGGAAAAGTATCTGGATGATGCAGCCTTGTCAAGAAGTGTTGTGGGGCCTGCTGTCTACGTTCGGTTAGCATATGGGATCGGCCGATGCATGTTGCAGATTAGCGGACTTGAAGGACTCGCAGCAGCTCCAGATGCGGTAGTAAGATGTTTAAAAGGGCCCGTGAGTCACTCCTTGAATAGACAAACTGACGCCGACTCCATGCGTAGGGCTCTAGTTGTAACAACTTGTCTTCAACGTATATAAGCTGGATAACTCACCCCTCGACTTACACCCCGGCGCCCCGACGCCGTTACCCCTCTTCACATCGCCATGAGTACCACAGCTCGACCAATTGTTCTAGTCCTTGGAGCCGGCGCTGGCATCGGCGCCAACGTCGCATCCTGTTTCGCAGACGCAGGATACGCTGTTGCCCTGGCGGCCCGAAGCCTCCCTACTTCCAAACAAAATCCCTCACGTTTGGAAATCCATGCCGATCTATCACAACCGAGCGTCATCCCGGCCATATTCAGCACCGTGGAGAAGGAGCTCGGAGAGCCTCCAAGCGTTGTAATATACAACGGTGAACTAACATCCCGTCCCTCAAAATCGTATTGCATGACACTGACGGCTCGACCCCAGCGGCTTCGCGCACGTTAGCCCAGGCCGACGACCCTCTAGGATCCATGCCACTCGAAGACTACCACAGGGATATGACAGTCGGCCTGCACAACGCCGTCGCAGCTGCCCAAGAGGCCGTTCGCGGCTTCAAGACCCTCCCGAAGTCTCGCGCCACGACGTACATCTACTCGGGCAACAAGCTCAACGTCATGTCTGACCCGAAGACATGGCCATTCGGCATCGCACGCACGGGCATGGCGCACTTCATCTGGGATTGCAGCGTGGCGTATCAGGAGAAGGGGTACAGGTAAGCTGCCTGGGAAAGTGGATATACTATATCAGACGGGGGACTGATTTGAGAATTTCCAGGTTCTATTTCACCGACGAGCGACTCAGTGATGGGTCTCCGTCTCGTGAGCTGATGGATCCGGTCGAGCGCGCCGCTGTGTATCTGCGTCTGTGTAGGGCGGAGTCGCAACTGCAGTGGCATTATACGTATGTTAAGGGGAGGGGTTATGTTGATTTTCGAGGGGTGGATGATCCGTGGGCTGTGAAAGGATCATGATGGGTCCTGGGGCGGGATTGGAACTCAGGGGGTACTTGTTTTTTGTGAGACTCTTTATGTATCAAGTCTTCTGCAGCTTGGCGAGACGGCTTTCAATCTGTTGAAAGACTGGTCCAAGTATGCCACACCACTTGTGTGCCACACGGTTTGTATTACATTTCAAGATAGATGGAATGTGCGTGACGATTGAGATGTTAGATATACTTGTTGCTACCCTTGAGGAGCCCGTCAAAAACCACTACTCTGTCACGCATGAATCCTGGCAAGTACCCATCGTCGAGTCTCCTGAACCTCATAGCTACGAGAAGTCATCTACTTCTTCGTCTTCCCGGGGATGGTATACAACATGACTTATCAGATCGTCTAAAAGCAGTCGAAACCAAACAGCAGTAGGGTCGTCCATTTACCGGCCTCTGACATTTCTCCGTTGGACGGCACCGAACGGACATGTTCGTCGAGCCCTTCGTTTCCTGAAGAGGAATACGCTAAAGCATCGGATCAAACGAAGGAACCTTTCAAGTGTTATGGGCCCATGTTTGACCATCATGTTAATACGAGTGCAATGTAGATAGAGTGAAGCAGTTCCAGTAGCGTTTTGAAGGAGCTTGGTCAGTAACTTGACTATATCTATCTGTCCCTTCCCGCTCAATGTTGTTTCTTGCAAAAACTTCTCTTTTACACACTCGGCTAACAACCATGGAGGATCCTTTCACTCACCTTCTACATCCTGGTCAGAAGTACCACAAAAAATCATACGATCGCCTTGCTGCTACCAAGGACACTTTCAACGGCAACGGCAAGACAGTCCTCATCACAGGAGGGGCGACTGGAATTGGATTCGCAGCGGCCAAAGCATTCGCTGAATCCGGTACCAACCGTATTGTCATCGTCTCCCGCAGCCTGGAGCCCCAGCTTGCCGCCAAGGCTGCTCTCGAGAAAGACTTCTCCAAGACGAACGTCGTCTTATATCAGCTGTCTCTAACCGACTTCCCCGGAGTCACAGCCATGATCAAGGAGCTCAAGACCATCGACATACTCACCCACTCGGCTGCAACTGGCCACGACGATCACGCCGAGCCCCAGAGCGCCGACTCGATCGATCTGGACGAGATGCAGAGGATCTTCGATGGCAACATCATGGGCACTTACAACCTCGCCAAAACCTTCCTCGCTCTTCCCGCGCCGCCATCAGGTCGAAGAACCATCGTCAACATCTCATCCGTCGCCGCCCAAATGACAATCTCAAACTGCATCGGCTACGGCGCCAGTAAAGCCGCCGGCGTGATGCTCTTCCGCTACCTCGCGGCGGAACGCAGCGATGTCAAAATGTTCTCAGTTCATCCCGGGGCGCACTTCACCCCCATGTCAGCCAAGGCGGGTTTCAAGATCGATGCGTTTCCCTGGGATGATATTAATCTTCCAGCTCACTTTTGTCGTTGGTTGGCGACGCCGGAAGCAGACTTTTTGCATGGGAGGATGTTGTGGGCGCATTGGGATGTTGATGAGTTGGTGGGGATGAAGGAGAGGGTTTTGGCTGATCCTAATTTGTTTACGCAAGGACTCATTCTGGGATGATGAGATCGATCCTTATAGCCTACCATAATATCTTGAATATAGTCGCCACTCCCATTCTATTGAGCCGTAGTATTGTGAAAACATCTCGCCGAAGTTCAGTTGTACATTTATCACAGAAGCTTGACGTATACTCCTTTTATTGTCAGTTTCTGGCCACTCTCAGTCCAACGTACTCTGCCATCTGCATTGGTCAGTTGTATCTACTCCTGTAATGTGTCTCAGAGCGAGATTCGCGACTCGTAGAATTCAGCCTTGCTTCCCATGGCATGTCGAACATGACGGACCTGAGAATGACTTTGAGTTATGGAACAATTCTTGGAAACTTTTGCACAAGCCTCGACATCTTTGAGTCTTTCACGGAGAGTCAGAAGGATCAAGCAGCGGTAGTGAAGTGAGTTGATCACGCCCACTTCGGACGGACCCGAGAAGAGACGGACAAGTCCGACGGGGGAGGTGAAAGTTCCGCCCCTTCTCAACCAAATTTCCGTCCTCTCTGCTCCGTCTCTTCATCATCAACATCTCAATCAGGAACCACGGCTGTGATATGGTGGAATCGGGTTTTGCACACCGCGCCTGCCGCAAATGTCATTCACGCAAGATCAGATGCGATCGTCGGCTCCCAATTTGCCGTTCCTGCGCAGAGAACTCACGAACATGCACCTATGAGCCGCCATCGCAGCCGTCCGCCTCTCGTCGTCATCGGCCTGAACAGAGGACTTCTTCAGTATTGCCATCGCCAGAATCCACCGCCGAAGCTACGGCGGTGGCCGACCCAGAGGAGGTAGCAATCGACCGCTTTGCCGAGACAACGATAAGTTTTCTTGACGAGGACGCATTTCGTCGGAGCTTGTTGCCGTTGTCAAACATTCCACCGGACCATGAGATACCGGAGTACGTACGAGTCTTGGTCAACGGCCATGAGGCAATGCGAACCATCGCCAAAGCATTCTTCGACCATACCTCTTCTTGGCTACCAATCTTGTCCCAGGCAAGATTCTTTGACAGTGCTCTGACAGTGTTCCGGCAGCCGTCGATTGAAACTTATTTCGTATGTTTGTGTATGTCTCTCCACACAGAGCCGCTCGACGACGACACGAATGCCCGAGACACTACAAGATATCGGGCTGTCTGGAAGCTGTTTGATGAGCTGCAGATGGTGCCAGCGCATTCTGCCATGGCGCTGTCTGTGATTCAAGGTCGTATATTGATGCTCGCTTACGAGATTGGCCACGGCATATTCCCGAACGCATTCATGGGCATATCAAGTTGTGTGCAGCTGGCCACCGTCCGGGGTCTCAAATTTGACGACTTGGGGTTGCTCGAGGATCAGCAACAAACGTTGAACATGTCTTTCGCTCGGGAAGAAGAGAAACGGTCGTGGTGGGCTATTTACGTTTTGGAGAGGTAAAGCCTGAACCGTCGGGAAGTCAACGCAGGCTAAGACTGATTGACCTCTTTCACAGAATTGCAAATTTCGGACGAATCCAGCCTCGCACGTTGGTACCAGAGCCTTCGCTATCTACCCTACTTCCAAGCAAAGACCAAGAGTGGCGGGACGGTCGTGTGCGATACAGTGGCAATGTCCTTGGAAGGCCCTCAAGTGATGTCGGCGGTTTCGCTGGCAACGCACGAGCGGCGTATCTCCTGAGCTGTGTCTACATTTACAATGCAGATCGAGAAAAGACAAAACCCCATGAAGAGGACGAAGACTGTCGCATCCAGCTGGTAAACACCATTCATGCTCAGCTCGAGGTCATCAAGTCGCTCTCCGAAGCTAGCACGCCCATCGAGTGCACAAGCTCAGCAATCTGCCATTGCGCCCTCATCGTGCTAAGCAGGTCGCGAGACCTCGACGATGAACTCTTAGAGCCTCACGAAAAGATAAACGCGAGAAAGTGAGCACATCAAACCAGGCAGCATCCCGCCTTATATGTTGCCTTGGCTTTATCATTCGGCAAAGTTCCTCCTGTCCCAAGGAGCGAAGACCGAGTTCGACATTCTGATATTGGCCTTGAAGCGGCTTCGGTCGTACTGGAGAGCAGCAGGTCAGCGAGAAGATCTCCAGTCTTGATTGCAGACGAGGCTGACAAGAGAATTCCAGACGTTTATCTTAAACTGCTTCATGCATACGAGGTAACCCTGTCGCCAGCTGCATGAGACATATACGAGAGACGTGTTCTTGGCTGGACCTCAGCAGGAGCTAAGCGATGTCGTACCAATGTGGGCGGAGCAGCAGCAGCCGCCGCTGCATCACAAATTTTACGAGCAGTGATGGTCTTCCTCGCCTTCTATACCGTCTGGCGCCAGCGTCAAGAAATGCCACCTTACAGTGATGATCCGGACTTACTCAGTAGCGTGGAGTGGGAAACCGCGATAAAAGCCTTTTACAACGGCCTGGAAGCGACTGATGGCATGTACACCGGTCTGCCAGTTGGACATATCAGGCTTTTGACCATCCAGCCAGGCGAGCAAGGAGATGCGATTCGCTGCGAGACTGCCGAGCATCCACTTCGCAAAGACTTAGAGTACTCAGCACTGTCTTACAAATGGGGCTCGCCACCAGAGTCACACTCGATCTTCCTAAACGGACACCGATTCCCTGTTCGAAAGAACCTATGGCGGTTCCTCCATCAAGCCAGAAGTCGAGCATGCTCTACTCTAGCTGGTAGCCTGTGGATCGATGCAATATGCATCGACCAGAGCAACGACCAGGAGCGGGCCCGACAGGTGCACATGATGCCATGGATCTATCGGATGGCCGAGCAGGTGGTCATCTGGCTAGGTCCTGCGTATGAGTCCAGCGACGCCGCGATGGATATGTTCGCGAAAAGACCACCGGAGGGGCGCAAGGGGAACCTTTCAAGTCTCGTGGGGAAGAATGCCGGCATCCCTATCGGGCTGTTGTGTGGAAGACCATACTGGAGACGCCTTTGGGTGTTCCAAGAGGTCACGTTGGCTCGAAAGGTCTCCTTGATGTGCGGCAATCGGCTAGTTGCGGGGGAATCATTCCGCCGAGTTCTCAGCCCGATCGAAGACTATAAGGAGATGGTGCATTGTGGACTGGCGCAACCTCTACGAGCGGCTGACAGCAACGAATACCGATTGATTGAGGACAGCCCTGCCTTGTCTCTCCTATCTCAACGTCACACTCGGAAAGACCGGTTGCTACTATACGAACTGATTCAAAGCACCCGTCACTTACGATGCGCAGAGCCTCGCGATAGAGTCTATGCCTTGCTTGGTGTAGCCACCGACAGCTGCGGAGGCATTCGTGTGGACTACACCATTCCTCTGGTAGCTCTGATCAATAATGTTCTGCGGAGTCAGTGGGAGTTGCAACCGCCGGGTCGGATCGACCATGTCCAAAGAGAGTATCTCGAACTCTTGCACATCTTCGGCCTCAGTTACTCTTCTGCTTCTGATCTTGCCGACGGGCATGGACGGTTCCCTTGTCCAAGCTTGGACGACAGAAGACGGCTTCTGCTAGTTCCTACTGGAACTTTTCTTACTCTTTGGTGGGCTGAGTTTTATGGCCATGAAACGGCGGCACTGCTCATCCTTGAACTACTTGACTGGGATGAGTGCCTAGCAAGTGCAAAAGCCCAAGGGAATGAAGCAGCCATAAGGCTGCTACTCTCCGCCGCTGCGCGTTCAAGCCGGAACGAAAAATAATGAGACTTGCCTCCAGAGATACAGTATTTAGATTACCAAAAATGAGGAAAAACATACCTGGAATATTCATCGGTCTATGTGTGATCTTGACAGGGTGATAGCATTTATCGCGTTTGAAAATGTGAATCCGAGGGTTTTACGTGGAGGTTTCCCGGTGCGAAGCGTTCGACGAGCAGACACTGGGTGGTATTACTCACATCAACTGCCATAGCCTCAAGGATCTCATCGATGTTAATATGATGATTTCTGAACAAAAGTCTGTACAAACCATGTGATCATTAATCAGCGGATGTTGTAGTCAGCATCAAAGCGTACTTTGGTCCACATACCGCTCTCCGTAACTTGGCCGTTCCATGGAACCTGGAGTAGTGGATCTTGTCCGAGAAGTCGGCGGTTTCGATGGCGTAGTTCTCAGGGTGTCGAACGTTTGACCCGGCTTAGAAACCCGGCTACATCGGCGGTAGTACGGCTTCTATATTGTGTTCCCTTGCCGAGCAACTCATAGTCTTCATCGTAGCTGATCTGACTTCTAGCTCCTCGCAAGTTTGATAAAACATGGCCTCCGCTGAGCAGCACAGCGCACTCTTCAAGCCCCTTCGCATTGGCAGCAGTCACCTTTCCCATCGGATCGCTCTTGCACCACTCACTCGACGTCGAGCCCAAGATGATCACACCCACACGGTTAATCTCGCCAGCGAATACTACGCTCAGCGTTCTTGCTACCCCGGAACGCTGCTCATCACCGAAGAACATTGATCTCTCCGAGAGCTGGCGTGTACAACAACATACCAGGGATCTACACACATAGGCATATCGAAGCATGGAAGCAGATCGTGGACAAGGTCCACGAGGCCGGTGGAATCATCTTCCTTCAGCTAGCAGCGGTAGGGAGATTGGTAGACCTGGAGGATTGGGAGTCTCAAGGCAGACCAGAGTTATTCTCTGCTTCTGCGATCCCCGTGGATGAGGACTATCCAGTGCCGACTCCCTTGGACGGGGAGAGCATCGAACAATACATCGAAGACTTCGCAACAGCGGCAAAAGCAGGTGTGGAGATTGCTGGGTTTGATGGCGTCGAGATACATGGTGCAAACGGACTGTTGGTCGATCAGTTCATTCAAGATGGGACGAATCAGCGCAGCGACTCGTGGGGTGGCTCGATCGAAAATTGATCTCGTTTCGCGTTCAAGGTTACGAGTGCCGTGGCCAATGCTGTCGGTGCCGATAAGACGGCGATCCGACTTAGTCCATTCAGTCCATTCCGAGGAATGGGCATGAAAGATCCATTGCCTCAGTTCTTGGACCTCCTGACGAGGCTGAAACCTTTGAAGCTGGCGTACATACATCTCATCGAACCGCGAATTGCTGGAAGCTTAGAGGTTGACACACACGACACACTTGAGCCATTGATGAAGCACTGGTCAAACACATCTCCCGTTGTTCTAGCTAGCGGATATACTCCTAGCTCAGCCCTGGAGGCAGCTCAGGCGTTCCAGCAGTACGACATCATCATTGCCTTTGGTCGACATTTCACTGCAAACCCTGGCTTGGTCTACCGTATCAAGAACACCATCGAGCTGAATCAATACGACAGATCGACTTTCTACTCTACAATGAGCCCTCGGGGGTACATTGACTATGCATTCTCCAAGGAATGGCAGGCCGCACCCAAAGAACTATAAAGCTAGCGAGATACCTGATCGATCTCAAAGCCAGGCGATCTCATTCCAATCTTTAAAGTTGATTCATTAAACGAAGGAAATGGGTGATCTTCATGGCAGCATTTGACCAGAATTCAATCTCACTGCTTACTGGCTTTTCGCCTCTCACATTATGTTCATCAGAAAATCGTCCCCGTTTTAGCAATCTGTAACAAAATCAAAAGGTAACGACGTAAGTGCTGCCAGCCGTTGCCTGAATCGCGCCACCATAGGACTGCCCATCCACCCTAAACGCTCTCCCACCCTCAATTCGAACCTTCAAAGGCCCATCCACAGACGCAGAGATCGTCGCCCCTGTGATATGATGATCTTGCCACTGCGCACTGACAGTAAATCCACCTCTGCTCTTCCAGCCCGTGTAGCTCCCGTTCGCCAGCCTGGTCGTCGGCAAGGCTGGACCGATGTGCACGATGCCATCTGTGTGACTCTGCAGAAACATCTCGTTCAGGGCAGCCACAATGCCGAAGTTGGCGTCGATCTGAAATGTGTTACTCGTATGGCTGAGCAGGTTCGAATAGGTATATGTGGTCAAAAGCACTTCTGCGCTTGTGACAGCGGCATCGCCGTTGAATGCCCGGGCGAAGAGTGCAGAGGACCATATCCGTGACCACCCTTCGGAGCCGCCACCACTATCTATTCGGTGCTGAAGAAGCTTGTTCGCGGCGTTGAAGATGGAAGTGTCGTTGTCCAACGGCGAATACTGGTGGCCTGGGTGGAGGCCGAAAAGAGGGGAGAAGTGGCGATGACCTGGCTCAGTCTCGTTGAAGTCCTGAGACCATTCGAGGAGTCTTCCAGTAGTTGGGCTGATTATTGGTTCTTGGAGCTGCGAAAGAAACGTCTGAGCATCTTCGACTCCATTCGAAGAGCCGACCGCATTGCTCAGCTCGATGAAGCCGGTGAAGAGGTCCCAAAGCAGGGCTCGGTCCTGGGAAAGTCGTGAGCCTCTAGGTAACCTCGCAACTCTTCACGTCAAACAGATACTCACCATCTGCGTGGTAGTATCGATGCCAGTCTGCTGCCCAGCAACGCTATCATTTGAGGGGATGAAGTAAGAATTCTCGGGCGAGTTCGAAGGATAGTTCGTCCTATACCCGTCTTTCAACACGCAGAAGTCTTCGTAGAAGGCGACAGCATCGTTGAAGAGCGGACCCGCCACCTCAGTAACGAAGGTAGCATTCCTAGTAAAGCGGTAGTGCTCAATCACATGCGTCATCAGCCATGCATTGCCCATCGGCCAGATCGTCCACTGAGTGCCAGAATCCACCGGCGCACAGTCACCCCATAGATCTGTGTTGTGATGGCACACAGATCCAGAAGCGCTGTACATGTCGCTTGCTACTTGTTGTCCACGTTGTCGCATCAGGCCTAGGAGGTCCCAGAGAGGCGTGAGCGATTCGGAGAGGCCATTGATATCCGCAAGCCAGGAGTTCATTTCAAGATTGATGTCGATTGTATATTTAGAGCCGAAGGGAGGATCGAAGTCCTTATTCCAGATGCCTTGAAGATTTGGTGAAAGCGTGCCGGGGCGAGCCGATGATATCAGGAGATACCGGCCGTAGTTATACATAAGGGTTAGGAGTTCGGAATCGCTATCTGCATCACATAGTCAATCCATGAGAAGTCGGAGTATGGCTAGGCATGTACCAACCGATGTTCTGGCTTGCAGCGAGATTTTGCAAACGTTTGTAGGTCTCAACTCCTACTGCCTCGCCTGAACTGCCCACAGAAAAGGTTGCTCTGGAGTAGAAGCCTTGAAAGTCTTGCACTGCTTGCTGATATATCTCATCGAACCCCTGGTCTGCTGCACTATTGAGTCGATCCTTGAGGGCCGACTCATAAGATGCTTGATTTGGATACCGGTAAATGGTCTCTGCATCCCAGTAGATCACGATCGAGTCTGCATTTACAATGGAAATGGAATCGGCGTTGGTCGTCAACGTGCCTGCATGTAATCCTGGTCAAAAGCCTGATCGCGAGGCACCCCAGACCATGAATTATTAATGCTTACCTCCAGTATTTACAACCCTGGCTCCAGCTGTGAAGGTGTACATATTGTCATCTGTACCGGCACCACGAAGTAGTATCAGACCATTGTCATAGGTAGTAGAAACATTGCCTTGGCTCCTTTGCAGGGCTACAGTCAAATTGATGGCTCCAGGCTGGCTTCCATTGTAGTGGAAAGCAACAACATTTGCTGGTGTACTCGCAACCGCCCTTCGTTCGAAGCTCATGTTGTTGTAGGTGTACTTTACGTACTGCAATCCGGTGCTGACATCCAGAGTCCGGTTGTAGTCCTGGACTGATCCATGGCCGACCTCGATGGTAAGATTGCAAGCAGCCTGATACCTCCTCGGCGATGTAGGAACTCCCGTCATATTCTGCAACCAGTCGTCCCCTGCTGCTGTTAGGTCCCCCACGTCCATCTTCGACCTAATTCGAGGGAATGCAGCTTTGGCATTGGGGTTGATTCGGTTCGTGAATCCGCCGCTCCAAATCGAATCTTCGTTCATGTTGACGATCTCCTGGTCGATGCGGCCATATATCATCGCTCCAATGCGGCCATTTCCGATAGGCAATGCTGAGTTAAAGCCAGATGCTGGAGCAGAGTACCAGAGAAGTGAAGACGGATTGTCCTCGGCGAGAGCACGATCTGCCAGGAGAAAGATGGCGACGAAGGCGGTGAGTATCGAGGTGTAGCCCATTTTCGCTGTACCTTCACCTAGGAAATGAGCTGGATTTTGGACTTCAATTCCTTCTTAGAGAAAGGACCGTTTAAGCGCCTATATCAATCAACAATCATGAATGAACGATTCTTGGACTTCAGGCTGAATGCATATGCTGCAGCATTTTCCCCACAGATCATCACTCGTATCGACGTGGTGATCATTGGAGTCTGCATGAGCCGGTGACCGGGTTGGTGGAGTAAGTTTGGAGACAGAAAAGCAGCCTGCTGCCCGCTCTCTAAGATCAGTAATTCACATGGGTCAAGAAAAACCAGCTGTCAGGACTCAACTGAATCGGCTCTGGTGGTGTTTGTACTTCAACCTACAGTCTTTTGGCCAATCGGTTGGCTCTCTTGTAGGCGATTCGAGTGCTAGATCAGAGACTCCAAGATCCTGCACGGATGAGAAATGTTTTTGGTCAATCAGAGAGCAACCGACCACGGCAGAACTAAAAGATGATAGCAACAGCTTGTTCGAAACTGACTTTGGGAAGAACACAGTGATTGAGCAAGGACTGGATCAAGCGAGGATACGAGGGTGGTCAAGGTTGGAGATGTACACATGCCCACGAATGTTGATCTTGCTACGACTGGAAGACTATAGTCGGCATGGGAGTCCGCTGGTCCGATTTTCGTCTTGACAAAGGCTCTGTACGGATCCCGTACGGACATGCTAGTTCATATGTTCGCATGACTAGCGCCTTGGTCATGGTTCATGCCGTGGCTGAATCTCACGGCGTCGTATTGAGCAGCTGTCGACGCATCAGACGAATCATGATCAAATTTGTACTATGCATGTAAGACGCCTCTTGCCTAGGAGGAAATCTACATGACCGAGATAGCCTCATCACCTTTTCTGCTTCTAGATCCGTCACCTAAAATAAGTCTGATCACCAAACGAGCGCAGACGCCTCGACAAATGGTACATAGTAGCAGTACTTGCCGCCGTTCCTGCATTGTTGCCAGCAACAACGACATCCACACGCAAGAATCCAGCAGCCCTATCGTTGCGAAAATGTTGTCCTCTTACCTCCTTTTTGCCTTGCCCCTGCTGGCCAGTGCAGCCCCAAGCCTCAACGCACGATTCGGCAACGAAGTCGTCTACATCAGCAGATGCATTGCCGACAGTGGCTCCAACAACCAACTCGAAGCCGACTATTATAGCGACATTGGCAACAGCCAGAACCTCCAAACACCCAACTCGGTCTCCCAGCCTCAGTTCGTCAACTCCGGCCAGCCCAACTTCAACGGGCAGCACAGCTACTTCTTTCCAGACTCCGGGGTGACCTTCACCTACAATGCTCAGAACATCAACCAACCTGCTGGGACACAGGTCGGTACTGGAAGTAACGGTAGCCCATTCACCTGTTTCAGAGATACCGATCGGAACTTGTACTACCGCCATGGACAGAATAACAGGCCTTGCGTTGCCGTGCTCTATTGTCGCAAGGTAAGACGAAGCCCGTCCCGTACAAGTTTGACAGAATGACAGTCCTGACTGAACCATCAGAACTGATCCCCCAAAAGTCTCGCCGGTGCTCAAAGCTGCAATTGACAGTAATGGCGTTAGGCAGGAAAGCTGGTAGAGCGTAGATCTTGGGAGACTTTGCAGAGTCTCGATAATGTTCAAGGCCGGACGCAGATCTGGAAGGCTCCCACCAAAACAGCGTGTTCGGCTCACATACATCGACTACTTGAATTCAGTAGTTGGAAAGTCTACGCTGTCATCTCTCCTTCCGATATTCTCAGCGCCTCCTACACCTAGTTGGCTCACGTCATACCCATGCTCAAGCAGATATGCTTTGAATCTTTCGTCCTCCTTCTCAATCGTGTCCTGTTCGATATACGGCAACAAGAATAGCGCAAGCCCAGCGGTGACAATGCAAAGAGTACTTGCAATGAAGAATGGGTATTGGCCAGCTTTGACCGGATCCGAATCCGCGTACTGATTGTACAGCATAACTAGCGTCTTGGATCCGACAAAAGCTCCCACTCTCCCCCACGCAGCGGCAATGCCGTAGTACTTGCCTCTCACAGCAGTAGCACAGGTCTTCGAGGCTATGAGGCCGATGTTGTCTCCCGGCCCGAGCTCGCCAAGGGCGATGAAGATACCGTATACGACAACAAAGGCCGCTACCAGGCTTGGTCGATACAGATAACTATAGCAGCCCGCCATGATGAAGCCAGTGATCCCCTGGGCCAGGACCGAGTATCCGAGCGCATGCTTTGGTCCAATCCAATCGGACAGCCAACTTCCTGCAATGCATCCAGGCATGTAGAAAGATGTAAGCAAGGTATTCCATCCGAACGATACCCACAAGCTCTCGCTGTCCCCGAGCAGGTTGGCCAGGATCTGGGAAGAGAATATGTTGAAAGCGTAAGAGGAGAAGTTGTATAATAGCCAGATCGTGGACACAATGGTAAGCCGAAACCAGTAGAACTTGATGCATAAGAGCCATGGAGTCTTGGCTTTGACCATGCTGGCAGTGGTGAAAGCTTCCGGTTCGCGAAGTTTGAAGCGCAGGTAGAAGAGTGAGAGCGGTGGTATTACACCCAGGCCGAGAGAGACTCTCCTATAGATCACATCAGTCGTGACCATACATGTCCATCAAATCAACGTACCAAGCCACCCTCAGATGATCATCCCCGGTAATACGAGCTACGACCATGGGTACCAAGGCTGCGACAACGAATCCAGCATCAATCTGAACGTTGGTAAACAGGATGAACCAACGATGTCTGGTACCAGATTTCAGCTCGCCGGTACTCTCAGCACAGGACACAGATCCCGCAGGATATTCGCCGCCTACAGGGCAATCAGCAGATGGAATTGACTCAGTCCAGACGTCTTATACCAATTCCAATCCCCAGAAAGAACCGATAAGCTGCCAAAGCTGCAAACAATCCCTGAATGCTCCCTCCAGCCCCATAGCTCCCAGTTGAGAGTGCTGCAAACACAATGATGATCATAGTCGACACAAACAGACTCCATTTCCTGCTCCAGTGATCACTAGTCCAGCCGAAGAGGAGGTTGCCAAGAAGAGTTCCCGCAAAAGTGATGGAGGAAACGTTGCTCTGGGCTGTGCTTTCTGCGTACTCTTTCGGATATATCGTGGCCAGCATTGTCGAAACGCTCCCGATCACGCCGTTGAGGTAGCCGTCTGAGAAAAGACCTGCTCCGCAGGCAATGACCGGCCATAGGCGGTCCCATTTTGACTTGATCGGTGCTGCGTCTTCTCTGCTCTGGTCTTCAGCCTGTTCCTGTGAGACATTGTGAGCGTCCTTTGCCATGATCGTGTTGAACAGGACAAGGACGTACGACTTCAATTTCCACGCCAAATTGTGACATGCGATCATTTTGAAGGAGAGCACACGACCTCCACAGTGGCGTTCTGTTGAAGACCAACCTTATCGTCTAGTTCATGCACGTGGCGTTGCCCTGCATAACGGCTCTTTGATTGTCACATGACAGAGGTAAAGCTGCTTATTCTTTGCTTGTGCGGAGGTTCTCCTTTTTGATAACTCTATACCCGTGGAGACTTTACATGGACGCTGTTGAGATACAGGATCGACACAAGATCGATTCAAGATGAACACAAGACCCTCTCACAGCAAGCAGATATGCCATGATCGTGATATTACCCCCGACCAGCCTGCAAGCCGCGACCAGCGTCACGGGCTGCAGGTTGTCAAGCCGTGCAGAAAGCAGATCAAACCTCAAGCTGGCAGGCTGTGGTTCATAATCTGTCCCTCAGCGGCTGTTGCCAAACTTGTAGCCGCCCCAGATCTCGCTCAACCAAGCGAAGAAGCTGGCGTAGATTTGAGCCTCCGCACCAATCGATGTGTGCTCGCCGGCACCCAGAGACGTCAGAAACTCGTGGTACGTGAGGTTCTTCCCATTGGGACGACCTTCTTCCAGGAACTTCTTCGCCAGCTCCGGCTCGAAAAGAGTCGTGTTGTCGTCCTGCAAGCAAGTCAGCGGCAGTTTTGAAACAAAATTCTCCGGCGGTACTGACCCGTCCCTTCGCGACATAGACGGGGAGGTTTCCAATCTCAGCCGCCGTCGTCTCGTTCCACACAAAATCGCCCAGACGCTTCCACGCACTGTACGGCTCTGGATTTTTCAGTCCCCAGAAAGTGTATGCCCAGATGTAGAAGAAGCCCGTGCCGAATTCTGGGTTGTTAAGGTTTTGCAGTATGGCTTGGTTGAACTCGTCGACTTTGCTGTCGTTGTAGAGACCCGTGAGCTGCGGTGGGAACTGGGCGGCGACGGCTTGACGGAAGTTGGGTAGGCCGTCGAGGAGGAACATAGCTGAGAGGCGATGCTCTTTTGCAGCTGCGAGCGGGGCAAGGAGGCCGCCAAATGAATCCCCCAGCAGCACGATCCTTGTCGTGTCCACGTCTTTGCGTGTGTGCAGGTAGTCGACGATGGGCGTGACGACAGAGTTCCAGTCGGTGATGAAAGCGTGGCCTGCACGGCGTGGAGTTGGCTGCCCTGGACCCTCGTACGTAAGACAGTTAATGCTGCGCTTGAGGATGTTGGCACAAGGAAGATGGTACAGCTCCTCTTGTGGGCCATCGTAGCCAGTTCCGACAATAACCGTCGGCAGTCGATCATCGCAGTCAGAGCCCTTGTAGTAGTAGGTTGGGATGTCAAAGGGACCGATGCTCGAGTTTGGCGCCTTGAGGATCACACGCTCCCCTGGAACAGGAAGGAAAGAAATGGCTTTGGCGAAATCAGCCAGCTGCTGGTCCCAAACACTGTAGAGACGAGGATCACTGGCGTTGTTGACCAGCAGGTAGACCGAGTCGCGGTAGTATGTAGATGCGTGGAAGTACGCTTCACGAGCACCAGCTGGATCAACAGCGGGATCTATGCCCTCGGCGATGGCGTGGATCTTCTCTGCAAAGTTGTAGTAGGCGGGATAGTAACTGCTGATGTTGCCGGAGATGACTTTGGTCGCGACTCGGAGGACTTCGCCGGTGTTTGACCCTTCGTTCTCGGCTAGCGACAGTGTAGCCTCGAAAAGGAAGGCAAATTCCGGATCGGCAGACAGCTGGAAGATGGTCGAATTTTGTGGAGCGTAGGTCGGCGAAATGGCGCTAGATGCCTGGGCAGCCTAAAAAGAAGTCAATGCATAGTATCACGCAGGGGATGTCAGAGCCTTACACTCCAAGCAGCAAAGCCAATGATAGGCAAAGCAATGCGTGAAAACGACTTCATCGTATCTTCAAGTCTCCTTCTGATTGTTGACTGCAGGGACACTTCACGCAACGTCTGGCCAGGAACGATTGACTTAAATGTCAAACACATTATGCGCACGGGCAGTGCGTGCGAAGTTCTTTAACGGCAACATAGTTGCACTCAGCCTCAGCCAGCAACATGGCGGCGTCGCAACTAATGCCAAACATTAAGTCAAGGCGTTGGCGTTTGCTTACTGAAGTAGATGCCGTGATTGAGGCTTTCAGGAACATAACCATGTCTTTACTAAACAATGCGGCTGAAAGATGCAACAAAGATGACCACTGCCGTAGACGGATAGTCCAGGGGAAGTTGTCGTACTTTAGCCTATCGCCAGCCTCGCGTCTGCAGCATTCAGCAGCTTTGACAGGAATAACAGCAATCTGCCTTCAGTCTAAGCCCCAGCTAAGCGAATGGGCTACCATGCGAGTGTGCAGCGATACGGCCGGTATGCAAGGCATAGCCAATTCGTTGCTCCTGGGGCATGGGTTGCGAGCGCTTGTGTGGGCGAATTTCTCGATTCGACGGTGGTATGTACGACTACAGGCGCGTATTGCTCTGCGTGATCTGCAAACCCGAGCTAGTCAAAACTCATCGGCATACTGCACTACCACATGACAGTCCATGAGACTGTACAGCAGGAAACAAGCTCATGCTCATGCGGATGGAAGAGTGTCTCCACCGCATCTTGGCAAATGCTTCGCCGGTCTGACCATCCAAACATGCTCCTGCACGCCCTTCCCCTGCCACCTGGCTGGAGGCGGAAAGGAACACCGTTCCACAACTAGGAACTCCTTCTTTTCGTAGAACTTCTCAGCCCGAATCGAGGACTCAACACAGCACTCCAAACCCAACTCATCAGCTTGGGAGATGCCCCATTCTGAAACTAGATCCGACGCCGCTTTTCGGATGTTTCGGATGCACGGCTAGATGCAGTAGCACGAATAGCTGCCCATCTGCCTGTTGCAAAGCTTCCCGCCTCCGCTTCGAATAGAGATCGGAAAGGTACTCAGCCCATTCCCGGTCGTCCTCGTTGGGCCAACGGGGACCTTGCACACGAGGCGTACGAAGGAGTGCATTCAGCTCTTCCCCAGAGCATGGCAGGGACCAGCGGCCACTCGCGAGGATCTCGCCCGTCGTCGTATCAGTGACCTTGAGCACTTTCAGATGCTGCCTGGCTTGTAGCTTGTAATAGGACGACTGCCATCTCCGGATGACGTCTATCGATTTGGATACATTGCATCCTGCTCGTTCGGGAAGAAGGCGTCGCGGTCGAAACGGACAATTGCCGGGATGTCGTCATATTCGATTTCTGAGATGTGCATTGGCGGCATGGCTGCAGCACAGCAGAAAGTCTGGAGCGAGACAGTCAGACGTGTTCCGAGCGCCGAGTCAATCAACAGAACCGTTCGCAGTTGGGACTGTTTTCGGCAAGCTTTTCAGCCATTCGTCCATGAGAACGAGAGCGAGCTGTACTGAGAAGCAGCTTGAGTAATTATCGGCCTCAATTCACGCGAGTGCGAATGAGACGATTGCGAATGCGACCTCGGCCGAAAACAGTATAAATGAGTGATTTTGATGGATTCGTCCTTCAGCACGTGCTGAGTAGTAAGACAGATCCATATGCACGAGGCTGAAGCGATCACTACGCGAATAGGCAGAGATCGACAAACGGGCTGCGCTAGTTGAAGATGGTCTGCTAGGGTCATGGACGCTACGGTTTCAAGCATCTGATGAAACCCGAATGACTGGATGTTCATGATCACTACCGCATTTGGCACAATTGTTTGCTTCAGAATAGGGAACCAGTGGACGTGGTATTCGTTGCCAGGTCTTTGACGACTACTGCAACGAGGTTGGTATCAAACCACAACCTAGGAGAATCGACCATTCTTCGTTTCTTGCGTCCGATACACATATGTTCTTCGATTCTCGCCACCGCCGTCTTGGCCATCTCGATCGAATTCGCCACCAAAAATTCCTCTCCACTTGAATACATAACCACCATGACGCTGTCGCACGACTCCATCCTCTCCATCGTCGAACTGGTGCTCTACGCACCTCTCCTCCCACTAACAACCTACCTTCTCTTCCGCCACGGTCGCCATGGCATCCTCGGATACTACTACCTCAGCGCGGCCTGCACAGTGCGGGCAGTCTCAGATATCGTGCAACTGGCCACGTCCGTCAACGACAGCACGCCATCTCTCGGAGCCACGATTCTCAGCTCCGTCGGCCTCTCGCCCTTGATGCTCGCCCTGGCAGGTATGCTGCACGAAAATCACCACTATCGCCTCGAGATGTCGAACAATACCGCGGCCGTCAAAAGCAGAATCACCAAGCTCCTGTGGTTCGTCCAGATCAACATCCACTCCATCTGTGTGGTCGGCATGGTCCTCCCTCATCGTCGGCGGTGTCGATCTTCAGGAGGCTACAACTTCTGATCAAGCCAACTCTGCCATCAAGCTTCGTGAAGCGGGCTCCATCATCCTGCTCTTGCTTTGGATCGGCTTAGGACAGTACGCCGTATATCTGGCCTATCGATGCCGGGATTTGCCCAACAGGAACGGAATCGTCAGTCTCGCTTTCTGGAACCTGCTTGACTCGCCTTTCATCGGGATCAAAGTCATCTACAATGTCGTTTATGCTTTCGATCACGACGACGCGACACTCAATCCCAATACTGGATCTCTGGCTGTGAAGGTGGTTCTGGTTGTGCTTCCGTCCCTGGTCGTGGCCGTCTTGTTGACGATTGGAGGATGGAAGAGCCGGGATATTTCAAGACTACGTGGATATGACGCAGTCAATCCAGGCGAGCAGGTTTCGTATGAGGTGAAGCAGGAGAGGTACTGAACATAGTAAGAGGTTGATATGACGTCGAAGAAGTGAGAGTAGCCGCAGCACGAGTCGAGAACCTTTTGCGATGAAGAAGACGAGAAGCATGAACACGATGAGATCGGTATTTTTTGGAAACCGACAATTAGTCCGAGTTTTGATTTCCTCGATATCAACATACTAAGATAATGACAGACACCTGCAATCACAGTTCAATCTGAATCATCAGTGATGCCTTCACAGTCATCATCAGAAGACTCTTCAGAGACTCCCTCCGGCCGCCAATCCTCGTCCCAAAGCACCTGAACCGGCCTCCCTTTATACCTCATCTCGCGAACATAACCACAAGGAGCCTCAGTCGGCCTCGGCTTCCCATACGTGCGGTACGCCGCCATGATCCCCTGGCACGCATCATGAACCATGCTGGAGGTAATGCCCGGTCCGAACCAGGGCTCCCAGTCCGCTTCTGTCTCGATAAAGTCGAAGTATTCAGTCGTCGGGCCGACGACGGCGGAGTCCATGCGAATTGTCTGTTCGTGGCAGGACATGTCGGAAAAAGTGATTCTGTCTTTCGGTAGGTAGGCATGCAGTTCTCGCTCGCCCCATTCTCGGTTCTCGGCTTGTACGAGTAGGTCGATTATTATCCCTCGCAGCCAGTGGTCGAGTCCGTCGGGGGAGCCGGATTGGGCACGAAGCATCCTCATGGCTCTCTCTTTGTGCTTGGGACACCGGGAACACATGGCCATGCTGAAGAGTGGGCCGTTGACCACACGGTCTACGTACACAACCGGTCGGCCATCCTGATATGCAGCCATGACATCTTCTGCGAGGTCGAGTGCATGGTCGACAATGCTGGAGTATGCGTCGAAAGTCCTCTCTCGCGGGCTGATAATTTTGGAGAAGAACAGAACGTAGGCGTAATCGAGGCCGATTCGAAGGTGCTTTAGCTCAAGACGTTCAGCCTCTGCTCCTTCAGGGAGTTCGCTGTACATCTTCTCCCAGTAATATGCAAACATGGCCAGCTGCCGAATTGCTTCTTGTGCCACGGGACTATGCTGGGGAATGTATGCTCCTCTCGCAAGGTTTCTCATGAGCCGCGCCACCACCTGGATCATGATGTCTTTGTATGCCTTCAAAATCTGACCAGTACTGGTGAACGGACCCCGAACATGATCCGTCTCAATCGTCATGCACGATTGGCTCGCGGTCGACTTTTCGAACTGGTGAGAGATATCCGGCGTCCACAGTTTGAAGCCATGAGATTTCCCAAGTCGTGTGAGAATGGTTTTGTAACCTCCCCCTGCCTCTGCGCTTGCACAGCAGCTGTTCTTGCAAATGGCCTCGCAGAGGGGAATCTTCAATCCGTTCTCGACGCCCAAATCGGCGTGGGCGTAGTCGCATCTCAGCAGGCTGTACGCCACCATCAGAATGCAGCTGACGACTAAGTACGACGGCTGCCAGTCCGATCTCGCACGCAGTAGCTCCGTAGCCTTGTTACATTGCGTCAGTGCAAAGACGTCCAGCCTGATAGAATCCACGTGGAGCAGAAGCTCGTGCGTGGATGCAATCGCAACGACCAAGTGTCGAAAGGCTCCATGCTTGTCTTGCCAGTTTAGGAACATGCTCGGTCCAAAAGGCGAAATCTCGATGCAGGGTGACGATCTTCCGGACCGTGACTTGCTGGAAGAAGAGGAAGCTCCTCCGCTCGTCCTCGCTCCAGGCCGGGTATAGTGTTGGTGGCGGGCGGATTGGAGGACTTGGGGCGCGGGAGTCATCCTTATATACCGTCTCGCTGTCTTTTCGCTTCTTGGTCGATGTCGATAAGGGTTTTGATTTCCGCGGCTGACGAGGGCTCAGTCGGCTGGTCCTTTGGGCATGCGAGAGGAGCTGGATCCGCTCCACATGTTCAGAGTGAGACAAGGATTGTGACTTGGCGTCCTTATTCACCCACAAGAGACTAACTGGCTTGGACATCTGCCACGTGCTGGTGGTGGAGGAGAAAGTGCTCCAAGACTCGCCAGCCGAGACTCAGCACCGTCTGTCGCTTCCCTCTTGTACGAGTGCCCCCCGCGCGCGGAAGAGCAATACGCCGAAGCCAGACCTAATCGCCTCTCTAACTCACTACACCTCGATACGGGCGAACAGGTCCAATCACAGAGTCTATACTGCAGCTCCAACAGTTCGGAGACCTACACGACACTGCCCTGAGCTGAAAAGATGATAAGGATAGGCTTAGGATGGCTCCATTGTGCACCAAAACCTACGTCTAGCCCTGTGTCGTGACATAGCTGAATAACAAGACCCTCGGAGATAGAAGCCCGGAGCTCGGCGCGAATCCGATGGCCCAGAGGCGGTGGAAGCAGTCACACAATATCTATCATGCAGGAGGACGGCACTTGAGTAAGTAAAGCTTCTTACCAACTGATGACTGGCAGTCATAGCAGGGGTTGCGCTGAGGGGATACGAAGCAGGCTGCGTTGATCGAAGCCGGCAATTCCTGATATTGACATGAACTGCAGGCTGCAGGATTGGTTCCCCTGCAGGATTGGTTCCCCTGCAGGCCATGTGCTTGGTAATGACAAGGGCTTCGGGGTCGAACATAGTCGATGGGGGCCGACGAGTGGATGCTGTGGGTCAAAAATCCAACGAGGTCGTCTTTTCTTAGGGCAAAGGAGACATACGAGGAACAGACTCTGCATGACGACGCTTCTATTACAATCTGTAGGCTGTATCTGCCGAATAAGAGTCACTTCTCCACTTTCTCCTCGACCACGACCGGCGCTTCTTCGAGCTCCGTCTGCCGATTCGCCGCTGCAGCCTTATCCTCCTGCCTCTGCTTCTTCTCGGCCGCTTTCGCTCTCAACGTCTGACCCTTCGCCATCATCCAGAACACCGCTCCCAGCAGGATGACATATAGCAGAGCGATGAACGTGAATGCCCACCCGATTCCCATTGCCTGCGTCATAGGGATGATCGCGGCAGCTCCTCCGGCAGACATCAGACACCGGACGAAATTGACGGCTGCTGTCGCCGTAGCCGGCTGGTCCTTGTATAGGTCGATGAGGAGAGTGTTGGTGACGTTGAAGCTTGTGCTGACTCCGAACCCGATGAAGAACAGCGCTATCTCCGGCCCTGCGAGGGAGACTCCGGCATCGAGAGTCCAGCCAAACACGACGAATGCCATTGTTCCGATGAGATGACCCGGGAAGACGATTTCGAATCTGACTCGTTCGATTGGGAAGCTACTCAAGTCTTGTTGTCGACCTTTCTTGATGTCGAAGCCTAACCGTTTGGCATGGCGACGGAAATTCCAGTCTGCCGCATGGCCCATGGTCAACGTCGAGGTCAGTGATCCCATGCCCATCGATATGAAGCAAAGACCTATCTCGAGTGTATTGAGATTGTAGGTATGGGCGTAGAGGGTGGGTACGGAGCTGGTGACAACCATCATGCCGGTGAAAAAGAATCCATTGTACAACAAGATGGCACAGCTCTCCGGGTCAGCAAGAATCCGAAGTGTCCGCAGAGGGTTTGGGAAAGAAGCTCTCTTCCTGCCACGGTTCAGCTCTGTGGAGTCGTCTGCTGATGATGGTGTCCCGTTCTGCTCTGCCCATCTCTTCTGGCTGAGATGGCCGATGATCGATCGATTGACCCCTCTAGCTGGGATGCTGCCATTGCCAACGACATTTCGGCATGTTTCTGGAAAGAGCAGAATGAAGACGACCAACAGCACACCCGTGAAGATGACCAAGAACCAGAACGTCCATCTCCAGCCGAGGAACTGTGCGAAGAGACCGCCGATGGTAGGGCCGAATGCCGGACCGAAGAGCAAGCCTGCAGTGGCATAGCCCATGTATTTTCCACGTTCAGCAGAAGTAGCGATGTCCGCCACAACGGCGTTTGAGAGAGCAATTGCAGCACTGCAGCCAAATGCCTGAACCATTCGAAGAATGAGAAGAGCGGCGTAGTTGTGTTGCAGTGCAAGACCAATGTTAGCACAGCCGAAGATGATGAAGCAGACAATATACGACAGTCGACGACCGTTCTGGTCAGACATGCCTGCTATCAGCGCTGGGGCTATGGCTTGGGCGATCATGTAGGTCGTCAGGGAGAGATTGATCAGGGTCGGGGTGACGTGGTAGTCTGCGGCGATGGTGTCCAGTGCAGGATAGAATGTTGTGGCCCCGAATGGGGAGATCAGGGAGGAAACCGAGACGGCGATCACGATGAAGAGTTTCGTATTCGGTGAGAAGATGCTGTATGGCGGTCCTGAGATCGTTCTGGTGAGGGTGGGCCTGGCATCTTCCCTTTCAGAGCGTATTGAGGAAATGGAAGAAGGCTTTGGAGATGGTGTAGCATGTCGTTGCTCCGAGGCCTCGGCGGTCAAGCTCTTCCACTCGTCGTGCGAGAGCGTTGGAGTGAAGACTTCTTTCTCCTCTGCCGTCATATTGGTGCCTTTCTTGTCCTTGGACTCTCCGTTCCCTCCTGGATTCTCATGGCTTCTTATACTGCTCTCAGCAGCCCCTTCTGCCGATGCAGACGTAGATTTGCCATCGTCAACCATCACGCTTGCCGCACAAGATCGTCTACCATCGAAACAAACAATAAAATCGTAATTCGGAATTGAAGTTCCAAGGTATGCCCAATTAAGACTCTCGTCCCTGGATGTCGATGTTCGTACCGTGAACCTTACCCCAACATTCAAAGGCTTCGTCGGCAACGAGTTGCGGAAACTTTGGGACAAGAGATCAAACTCACCGACCAGTTGGGACATCGGAGTTTGTGTTGACGGGAGTCTTTTAAAAGAAACTGGTGGCTGCGCCTATCTCGGCGAAGCTACTGCATGCTGTGCTCCACTTCTCCATTCTGGAGCCGCGTTCGCGGTATAATGTGCCGTGTGCCGGGAGCCGACTTCGCAACAATGTCCGTCTGTTAATGCCGATGAGGTATATAAATCAAAGCAGTGAAGAACTTCAGCGGTGTTGTTGATGCCATATGCTTCTTTTCCTCAGCCTTACGGGAGCAGAAGGCGTCTAACTGGACCCGCGAAGCAAAGTTTCGCTGCATGCAGTGATCGACGACCACTCTCTTGGTTGGGCTAATTCTGCGACGAGGGGATGCTTTCCTCCTCTATCCAGAAGATACTCTGGGGGTTGCCGATGAGACTGCGCAGTGCTTGACTCAACAAGAACCGATACAGTCTGCAATCGCCTGTTTTGGTCAACTGACGCACATGAAGCAGGAGCCAAGGGTTCGCAGCCTTAACTTGGACAGGGACCTACTCACTTCTTGAGACAGGAACGATATGCTTATCGAACTTAAGGCTTTTGGGCATGCTAGGATGCTGACGACCGTGGAAATGACGTGGTCGACCTTGTTAATCTCAATCATCGAGTCAACCGGCGCAGCCTCGTGAGCGATCACAGAAATGAGAGGACATGGCCAAGAATGCGTGTCCTTGAGAACAGCTGATCACAACACGAAACTCACAAGATTCAGACTCGTCCTACATTGAACCCTACAATATATGATAAGGCCCCTGTCGACCTACTGGTGTGGCTGTGGCCACCCACCGCCCTGTCAGGACTCATCGCAGCCAAAATTCCACGCTGGGCATCACCTTCTTCTTCCGCAAATCGTATTCTTCATTATCTGTACTCGATTTGACAAATGGCCGAGTTCGAACGAGCATGTGATGGAATCTACAAGTAAATCACAAATCCATCTTCATCATCACGTCGCCATCTTCATCTGGAGGCTCAGTCTGCCGAAAGCCCAGCCTCTCGTAGAATAGGAACGGCGAGTCCTCGGCCTTGACAGTGTCTCTCCCTTCCTTTGGCGTAGACATTACCCCTATTCTCTTCGCAGACGGATATGTCTTCCTCACATGCTCAATCGCCATGCCCACCACAGTTTTTCCAAACCCCAAGTGTTGATAGCGATGGTCGATCATGAACCGCCAGATATCATAGCCGTCGGTCGGCGGCCACAAAGCCATCATCAGGAAGCCGACGATTGTTTCGTCCGGAAATACGGCCCGCATCCAGGAATCCTCCGAATAGTGGGCTTCGACCATTGACATTGGATTTGGTGCGAGGCTGCCTTGTTGTGTTGGCAGCACTATGAGGTTCGCCACAGGCCGCCAGTTGTCTTCTGTGATCTCGCGGAGAGTGATGGTTGATAGCCTGTGCGGCGATCCTGGTTCAACCATTTCGTTGAGGTCGCTGTTCGGGTATGAGAGTCCCGTGCCACGATGGTGATCGACTAGAGAGGTTTTAGCAGTTCAGTGCTTCTTTTTGTGCTCGGATACGTCTTATGTAGGGCCCATAAATACCAGGCGGCGAGCTGAATCCGCTCTTTCGAAGTGAGTCATTGTAACAAAAGCGTGGGGCTGAGACTCTTCAAGACTGCACAAATAGCATCGGAGAGTCACAGGACATGGTCGCAAACTGGAATAGTAGGTCTTCATCGATTGCCCGAGTAGACTGGTGATTCTGGCGCAACATCAGCTACATTGGGGGAAAGTTGCTCGTCAGGTTAGTTCGTGCTTGGTGTTTTGAAGTACACTTTCGACAATGCTCGTACTTTGACGTCAGCTTGGTGCTCGAATTCTCGGTGTGCTTCGGATTTGTCCTTGTATATTGCTAAAGGTGGAAGTGCAATGCTGTCTGCCTGTAGCTACTAGTCTGGTAGGAACACCGTTGTAGCCCGTCATTCGTGGAGAATTAGGATGTATCCCACGGGGCTAGGAGGTAGCTCACAGTAGATAGTATGCATCATGCAATAGCGAAAAACTCCCATTGGGCTGAAATCATTTCCACGCAGTAGATCTCGCTAAGCATTGTCTTGTTTGGGTAGTAGCCAAATGGTAGGCGACTACTTTCACTTCAATTTTCTTTAGCGGCTGCCCTCTAGCCTTGTGGGGTCCCTGGGGTGTGTGGAGGTAAGGGATGTGGAGGAGTGGAGATGGGCAAATCCGTGGCTTGTCAGCCTTATCATTCACCAGGCTCGTTGTCAAGTCCACACTGCAAACGGTCTCACTGAACTGCAACTGTAAGCAATGAGCATGCATTTCATGCATCGAATAAATATGACCACAATGTTCCTCAGCGGCTGCTTGTGTGACGGATCAAAGCTGAACGTGCTCCGTGATCTACACCAGGATGCACACTCAAACTGTAAACTCCAAACTCCCGACACTATCGGCATGGGGGTCATAATCAAGACAGCAGGTGCTTTATCTTTGCCGCCGGTCACTGCAACAAGCCGTGACGATTGGTGGATGATTGAGACATGTTCATTCCGGTCATTACGTTTTAGCCGTATTGGAATAGCAGTTCAGACAGATATCGGGTACTCTATAGTACAGCAGAAGGTATAAGAGCAGGCACGATGTCTTTGAAGCAACCGAAACAATTGTCATTCAGTCGGCCTGATCCTTGCAGCTCCTCGTCCAAGGTCAATCTTCGGAGATGTTCTCGAAGTACACCTGCCTACTTGGCAGCCTCGCTCTACCCTCCGTTGTTCTAGCAGACGGGGCCTTCCATACCGCATCCTACTTCGTCTCATACGTCACTCAGTTCAAGGGCACGCTCGTTGTCCCTCCAAGAGTACCCAGCGGTGGCACAACATATGTCTGGCCAGGCCTCCAGCCTCCAGACAACTCAGGTGTTTTGCAGAATGTTCTCGACGGACGGTGAGTGAACCGACCACTACTCAAGAAGTGGCTTCAACGGTCAAGATGCTGAACATGTTCTGATTAGGAACAATCACTGGTACTTTGGCAACACATACTACGGCACACCGAGTGAGCCCTACGGCGGTGGTGTCGATGCCTCGGTCAATCAACAACTTGGCTTCTCCATGATTGAAGTGAGCCAACAGCCCTATATCATCCTCAAGTGCCCAATGACACATCGACTAGGACCCCGTCGGCAGCGGAAATTGGACCATCAATTCCACCTCCGCCAGCGGACAATCAGTCAGCTACGACTTCGGGGTCCAAAAACGTCTCAATCAAGCCCTCTTCGCTGTCGAGCTCTACGACAACAACTGGGACTTCGGCAACGTAGTCTTCCAAAACGTTCAAGTAGTCGCCGAGACGAGCGAGACGAGTTGGTGTACTGCAAATCCACAGTATACAAATGTGACCATCGATTTCGAAGGGTGTCGTCGAGCTCGAGCGGTGGATTTGTGACTTGTTCGATTGAGCAGGTGACGCTGTCGCCTCCGTAGATAGATCATCGCAGCGGATGAGCAATAGACAAAGGGACCCCACTACCCTGACAGGGAGATAAGATGGTAAAACTCAAATCTGGATGGTTAAGACAGGCCTAGCAATGCTTTTGATCAGACAGAACAAGTAGTTCTTCCAAACAGCTGCAGCAGCCATTTCTGCAGCGGTCCGACTAGTAACTTGCACAGAGGATCGAGATTGACCTATCGTCATCTCATTAGGATGTTCTTCCAGAATCCGCTCGGAGAAAGGAATGCATTGACTTACGATCTCAAGACGTCGAATCTATGCCAGCAACAGACCGCAGCATCGTACAGAGCCAGTTCCCATCCCGCTTGCTAAAGTCCAGCGCCACCATGCACGGCCTGGTAACCCCTGGAGGGACCCCAGTCTCCTCAGCCTCGACCATGACCGTAGCATGCGCTGCGTCCGGATCCACCACCGTCATCTCAACATTGGCAATGCACACATGAAACTCTGGTGCTACGTGAGCAATGGTCTTCTCAAAGTCGACAAACTGATGCCCTGTTGGCTCCAGAGGCTCTAATTCCGGGCGGCATCGTTTTTGTTCCCGCATGGCGGAGATGAGATCGTTCCGCCATTGCAGGTCGTAGATGTGGTCTTCTGCGAAGTGGATCCAGGGGTCGGCTGTAGAGTCCCACTGGCGATTGTTGACGGCTTCGATAGCTCTGCGAGTGATGCCTTCCAGAGTTCTTGCGATCTGAGGGTATTTATCTCGCGGTGTGGCCATGTCGAGATTCAGCTCCAGCCTCTGCACAATGTACCTAGGTAGCTGAAAACGAGTTGTGACGTAAGTGACGATCGCACAGCAGCCGTGGATTACGGATTAGACTACGTCGGTACGTCACTCTACCAACATGAATCTACATTCTTTCCCACGCGTCCATGTAGTAGACCTCTGTTCCAACTCTTAGCCCTTACCAACTGGTAGTGTATAGCTTGGATCATTCATACTGCTTCAAACTCAACAGCAATCCCACATAACGGTGTACGACAGTCGCCTTTCAGAACAATTGCTAGTCGATGCCGGCTTGCTAAGGCTGAGGGGGCTAGGACGTAGATGTAATGGCCTGAATAGAACAAGAAGACCTCGCGACAATGCCCGCTACAATCGACTCAAAGCCTCAACACATTTCTTACTCCCAGCCGCCACCAACGCTGCATCTTGATCTCCCAGAATCAAACGCACACCCAGCTCCCTCACGGCCCATCTCTGATACTCCAGATGATTATACACACCAGCCAAGCCCATGATCTTCCCATTCGCATGACATGCTTTGCTCACTTTCCTCAAAGCATCTCGAAATCGCTCGTTCTCGAAATCCCCAGCGATGCCCATTTCGATGGAGAGGTCGTTTGCTCCTATGAGCAAGACATCAACGCCTGAGACTGCGGCGATGGCTTCGACGTTGTCGACGCTTGCTACTGTCTCGATTTGAAGGAGAATTGTTGAGCCATGTTCGTTCATTTCGTGCATTACTTTCGCCTGCGGTGTGGTCTTGAAGTCGAAAAGGGGCAACTGTCCTGTCATGGAACGGCTTCCCGTCGGAGGGTATTTGCAAATCCTGACGGCGGCTTTTGCGTCCCCTGTCCTGCTGTCAGTCTGTTGGCGCAGATACGAAAGTGCAGCTTGCCCTCATCGTAGATGTGAGGAAAGACGATCCCTCGAGCTCCATTGTCAAGCACCCGCTGTTTGAACCCATCACCGCACTGATAAGGCACTCGAACGAACGGTGTTAGGTTCAGAGACAGTGCTGATACGCAAAGACCAGCTGCATTCTCTAGAGAAAGTGTTGAATGCTCCAGATCAATGAAGAGGGCATCAAAGCCGGCGTTGGCAGCGAAGTAGACGACGGAAGGGTGCGTGATGAGCTTGATTCCGAACAGCTATGAGCTAGAGGTGAGTAGAGATCGTGAGCGTATGTAGAATTCAAGAGTCTTCTTACTTTGCAAAGACCACTTTTGCGGGCAACTTCGATGGCGTTTTGAGATACCGTCGTCATTCTACCTTGCTTGACCCATGAAAGTCTCGTTTCTCAAGTCAATATTTCGTTTGCCTGAGGTCGTTTATCTAATGAGAGCATGTGTGAGTGCGGAGAAGTGGGAGACGAACAGCGACATCGCAGCCATCCTTCGGCTTGGGTCCGAATTACTTTCGGGCGCGCACCGCAGCCTCTTTGTTCAAGGAGCTCACAGATAAGCGAGGCGAGACCCCATGCTCTCTCCTATATGTTAGCGAACGAAGCCTTTGTAGGATTCAGGGGAGCACAATACCTCGTACGATGAACAACTCTTCTAGAATCCAGGATGCGACCGTCAATGTACGAGATGATATTTCGGCAAAACGTCGTGGTAATATCAAATCATGGAGATCCTTACAATTGTCTTATCATTGAGAACACAGTAGACTATGCTATGATCTCAAGAACACACTCATAGCCTCGTGGCATGGCCAAAGCGCCAGCCTTGTTGACCACCAAGCCAAAAGGGGGCAGGCTTTTGAAGGACGGATACGCTACGCCGAGGATGTCAATCACTCGCTAAATGATGTGCTACCTCAAAGAGCCTGGCCAATAAGAGTGAGACCCCGTATCAAGCCTGAACATAGCAGGCAAGTTGATCGGCAGCATCTCACGAAAACGGCCTCTTCCTCACCCACCTCACAGGCCTCAAATCAAACCCAGTGTCCCGCCTGCGACGATACTTCTTGCCGCTTCTATCCGACAGAGAGGATGAACTGTCACGGGGAAGAGCAGGCTCATAATTCACGAGCATGCTGTCGAGGGACGATGAGCGACGGATGACTGTGGGAGGTGGGGATCCCTGTGTATTCGGGGGCCGTGTTTTGTCGGCGCTGTCGAAACGGCCGACACCTGCTGGTGGTGCATGCTGCTGTTGTCGCTCAGCTTGGTCAAGGGGTTGAGCAGCGCCTGTTCTGGCGGTCGATGCCGTTTCATTGACCTTTGGTTTCGGTGGTTCTTGTTGCTGAGATTTGGGATTAGCGACGATCCTTTTTAGGCGACCGGCAGCCGCCAAAGTGAAAGAATGCGTCTCTCCCAGGGCCTGTTCCAAACCCTCGATGCATTCTTTTCTAAGCTTCTTGGCCTGTTTGGCGTCGTTCCGATGCCAGTAGATCAGAGCAAGCTCGCCGACAGCATCGAGTGTCTGTGGATGCTTGTCTCCCAGCAGCGCCCGTCGTCCTCCCAATGCGTCTGTCATCAGCTTTTCAGCTTCTTCCAGACGCTCGAGGTGCCGATAGATTTGGGCCAGTCTGACCATAGCCAGGAGGGTCTGTCTCGGGTGACGAGCTTCCTGTTTCCGCCTCGATTCCAGAGCCTTAAGCTGCGTCTTGGCTGCGTCTTCGTAACGTCCTTGGTCCCGATAGGTCTGCGCAAGGCGCTCGACAGCTTCGATCGTGTAACGGTTCTCCGCGCCGAGAGCACGAGAAAATCCTTCTGCCACCTCCATTTGCAGGGATTCCGCTCGTTCCAGATCGCCCTTTCTTTTCTTCACCAAAGCCAGACGTTCCAGGGCTTGGAGCGTGCGGCAGTCATTGTCTCCACGACTCCCGGCAAGCTCCTTCCGTGCAATGGCGAACAGGTCTTCGGCGACGTCGTCCCTCTCGACTCGCTGCCAGATTCGCCCCACGTTGAGGCAGACCCAGCCCAACGTCGTGTCTGCCTCATCTCGATTCCAGCCCTGCAAAGCCGTGTGTGAAGACAAGTCAGGCAGGTGAGGAATGACATAAGGCTCAAAGTGCTTGACAGGCGTGTCGTGCAACTTCCAGCAAGCGGCGCCGATAAGGATGGAAAATGAGGCACAAACTTCCTCGCCATGGGCATCGCGCTGGATCTGCCACTGGATGATACGGTGCATGGTGACGCCGGGCCAGGGACCTGTCGTCTCTCGAAGGAATCTGTACTTCTTTAATGTATCGATGGCATGGCGGTAGAAGGAGTTATCCCAGCTTCCGTTTGGACGAACAGCTAGCAATTGTCGTAGCAGCGGTGGAGCATCAATCTTGAAGCTTCGAGCCGTCTTCTCGAAGCCGATGGCGGCCAGTCGCATCATCTCGTCTTGTATGTTATCTTTGTCAAATAATGCAAGCAGTTTCAGAAGTGGTATCAGCCGGCCTTCCGCAGGACCCATCCTCTTCAGCGCCGCTACGCCTGTTTCCCACGCCAGCCAGAATGCCTGAACGCAGGAACTGAACTGATTGTATTTCTCATCTGCCTTGAGTGCGTCTCGGTGCTGTGCCGAGTCCACCAGATATTGCCGCATACTCTTGCCAAAGTCGGTTTTGTGTTCTCCGTTTGCCGCGATCCAAGCGCCGGCGAGGTCAGTCGAAAACAGATCCTTGTTGAGACGCCGCACGATCCTCTCCGCGACCGGCTTGAGCTCATTGAGTACGTCACGTGCCTGCAATCCGGTATGCTTGCACAGAAGACTGACTCCTTCTTGCGTTGATATGGAGTCCGGGATGCAAATCGACGCAGCTTTCAGGCAGAGCTTCTGTACGGCGTCCAGGACCTGAGTGGTGACGAGCACTACGCCCCCTTGGCCACTCGGTATAGATTGATGCATATTCCACGACAGATCATCGGCGCCATCGACTACCACGAGCCACTTGTCTTGCTTTGGTCGTTCTCGAAGCCAGCGACGTAAGGCTTGCACTTCAGCAGCGTCTTGTATTGCATCCCAGCCCGACGATGGCCCAAACGAGATTGAAAGAGCACGACAGCATCGCACAAAGCTGCATCTCAATGTCGCCTTGGTCGATGCATCAATCCATAAGATGGTGTTATAGTCCTCTTGGTGCTTGTCGATGTAGTGTCTGACGAGCTGCGTTTTTCCGGAGCCGCTAGTGCCCGTGACAACAATGGTGGATTCTGCTGTCTCGAGGTCTGTAGCCCTGTGGACCTCGTCTTCAAGCCGTCTTGATAGCGCGTCCCTTTCGATGTATGTCGTAACCGTATCTATCGGCACACAGATGCATTGAGAAGCTGGGGCGTCCATGGTCAAATCCAGCTGCTCGCCGCTGGCTTGGACAGCATCCCGCAGCCGCTCTCGAGCACGTTGGCGGCCTTCACCGTAGATGACACTCATCGAAACTCCAAAGATGCCCAGCAGGCAATATGCCTTGTCTTCTTCCGCAGTAGTCTCCCGCCCTTGAGCCCATGCGAGTTTGGCATTGGCGCTGAAGTGCTGGTGGCTGTGCCAATCGTCGAGCACAGTCTGTGGGATCCGGGTGATTGACGAGACCTCGGGGGTAAGCCACTTACCAACATTGAGTGTCACAGGAGTTATGCTGCGGCTATAATGCCCTTTGGAGCCGATAACCTCCCAATTGCCAGTGAGGAATACGACCACCTTCGGCGCAAGCAGCTCTTGTAATGTCCTGCGATGGGGACGAAACTGTCAGCTGGGATGGGTGCGCGAGGAGTCTCTAACAGTCGATGGCATACCATCCTCTGGTGAACCAGGCACTTCTCTCAAAGGTATTGTTGTCCGATGTGCTCGGGACGTCTGCCAGGTAGGCCAAGCACACCTGCGCGTGGAGATACCACTTAAACATGGAGTTGATGGCCTCGGATAGCTCGTGCGAGTTGTCCTGGTTGATACAGCAAGTATCAATCCATATCCATTCGATACCCTCGACGTTCTTTCTCACATACTCGGCAAAGCCCTTCACCTTGCGATGTCCGCTCTTGCTCATATCCAGACCGTTCGGCAGGTCTCTCATCGACGCCTCCTGGTCCTCATACCAACGGTGCGATGTGATCGCATACTTCGGGAGGTTCGCAGCGTTGAATTGGCGGAGGGTCAGGTCGTGGACGTTGAGGAGTCGCATGGCTGGACTGAAAGATTACAGCGCAGCAATGGACAGACATAGAAGGGTCAACTCCCTTCACCTACATTCTGATCGCTACCATGGACGAGCTGAGCCGACTTCGCCTCTGCAGATGGCCCACGGTCCCACCGCAGCGTCGGCAGTGCGTTTTCGCACCCATGCAACAGCTGCAGCCAACATCAGCTGCCTCTCGCTTCAAGTGTCTTGTCGCGGCGGCCCCATCTTGGACCAATGGAGGACTGGTCTGTCATCTCGCAGAATACAGCGAAACGTCATGAGATGAAGCAACAGTGCATATGGAAAAGTGCGAAACAGATAATGGTATCAAGGAGAGAGACAGGATGAGGAACGCAGTGGAGGGAAGTTGAGGGCCAAGATTCACGTCATGTCTTGGCCGCATGAGACTCGGAAAAACAAATATCCGGTGCGAATCTACGGCAACATCTTCCTCTATCCACTTCTTCTTCCACTTCCGTGTCCAATCCCTTCTACAATCATCGCCAAGGTTCAACCTTCGTTCCATCTTTTTGAGACGGGAAAGAGAAGTGGGAAACATCATCGCAAATCGACCAGGCGGTTACTCGGCATCTCCAATAGTGAAGCCAGTGCGATGAGGATCACCAGCCATGCAGCTATTGCAGGCGTATACCCTCCGCGTGATGAGCACAAAGCTCGTTCTGAGACGTTCCCGGCAACAATAATGGTAACACTTGCCAAGTACGAGAACTGGTGGCTGCTTTAGCGCGAGACGTATAGCTAGAAAGGCCACTGCAAGCTTCGACTTGGCCGTCCACAGCCGCCAGATTTTCAGCCTAGGAAAAAACTGCTGCTGACTCTACGCAAGATAAAACAGTTTTCTCACTTCATTGGGTGCGCCTTTACTTCTCCTTGGCAAGATCATGAGGTGTCAACGAACTCGCTATACGCTTGCTTGGCGAGATTCTGAACGATGGAGTAACGCAGCGCGCATTGACCTTGCTTTCGACATTAAGTATCCGCTGCATCGCGACCTTGATGGCATGGGACAGGCAAGATGAGTTTGAGAAAATTGCTTACGTCCATCGCCTACGCTCTCGCCATCGCGAAAGCTACAGCCTCTCCAACAGCACTTCTTTCTGCTTCAGTCACGGGAGCATACACGCCTACGATAGAACCCCAATCAACACCGACGTACTATCCAGTCTCCGAACAACAAGCCGGTTCTCAACTCAACAATGACGAATACTACATGCAATCTCTCGGCAACGGCGGCTACTTCGTGACAGATGGTGGATACAATCACTTCTTCCTCGTTGCCTGCCACAGCGTCATTGTCGTCGACGCACCAGCAACCCTCGGCATCAACATCCTCAAGGCTATCCGTAGCGTTACGGATCTCCCAGTCTCCCACGTCGTTTACAGCCATCACCATGCCGACCACATCAGTGCCGCATATCTATTAGGCACGCTGGACAACGTCACATTCATCGCACAGAAAGAGACGGCCACGAAACTCGCCGCAATCGGCGACTACGGACACCGCCTCTATCCAACGATAACATTCGAGGACTCATACACTCTGAACGTCTGCAATCAGACCTTGCAGCTCGATTACCGAGGCAGCAATCACGAACCGGGGAACATCTTCATCTGGGCTCCCCACCAAAAGATCCTAATGCTCGTGGATGTCATCTATCCCGGCTGGGGAACATAATCCAAGCTCGGCGAAGCCGAAGACCTTCCGGGCTACATTAAAGCGCACGAGCAAGTCATGCTCTACGATTTCGAGTACTTCGTCGGCGGCCACGTGAACGTCCCCGGCAACAGAACGGACGTCCAAATCGCCAAAGAGTACGTCCTGGACCTGTTCGAGACGTGCAAGTATGCCTTGCTGGAAGCCGCGAAGCCTTACAATAATGGATCCAACGAGCTGTCGGCCGAGTTCTTGCTTGGTCTTGTGACAGCAGCGAATCCAAGCAATCCCTGGGCCCCACAGGCGTACTTTGAGAAGGTGATTACAGAGTGGGTGGCTAATGTGACGATTCCGCGATGGGACGACCGGCTAGCTGCCATCGACGTGTATGGACTATCAAATTCGGAGACTATGCTGGAGCCAGTCAAGATTGATTATGGTATACTGGGATCGTTCGGTGTGAAGTTGGACTGACGGTCAGTGTCGATATTACACCTGTGTTTACCAGCACATATGGGTAAAGGCAAAGGCCTAAACCAATTCAGAAGCTCAGAACCGGTCTCGTAATACGTCTGTTTGGACGAATGATGAAGAGCAACACGACACGCAATATCAATGGCAGACTTTTCATTCAGCGAAATTTTCTTCTACTTTCGTCGCGATACTTCCATGTCTTTCCTGGGACCGCCGCCGGGAGTGGACGATCTCACTTCCGCCTGTAGGTGTGGAAGACGTGCTAGAAGATCGGTTAGTGATAAGACTGCGGTATTCAGCTTCATATTATATTCTTACAGGATTGCAATAAGACTTGAGACCATCCTAGAGACTGTAATTAGCGTTCTCAGGCTCTAATACGAACATACCTCGATCGCTTACCTTTCCCTATTTACTACTAATACTACTCTGCTTATAGCCTCCGAAGATAACCTACGGACTAGGCTTTTCCCAAGAATTAATAAAGACAGAGCTAGCTTTAAGCCTCTTGCCGATTCTCTCTACTCGGGGAATATTATTACTCTAGATACACGCCCCTAGTCCGTCGAGCGTATCGTTAGTACGCTCGATAACTTACTCTTCGTCCGTCTACTTTAGTATAGGAACGATCTATAGAAGGGATATTAGTAAAGTAACGCTATAAAAGATTTAAGAGTAAACGTACTAGTCCGAAAGGTTCTTCTCGTATAATACGAGTATTATCTAGCGGGTTATCGATAATAGATAGCTAGATATAGAAGCCTTTACCGTCCGCTATATCTAGATAGCTAGAGGCGAATCTATAACCTTTCTACTTAGTATCCGTAAAGAATTCTTTAACCTTTTCGTACTATATTTTATTTTAGACCGGTCTAAGTAGAGTACCGGGATCCTTAGAGCTAGAGCCTAGAATACCCGCGTATAAGGTCTAGGTAACCTTAACTATTTCTTAGAGTATCTTAGCGTAGATATCCTCGTAAATATAAATACGCTTTATAGTAACGTAGATCTATCCGGAGTTCTAAAAGGCGCCTATAATAAGCTCCGGTATAACTTTATTTATATCTATATCCGGTAGGATAATAGATATATCGTTACTACTTAGCTCTAGGGTATAACGCTTAAGAGTCGCGGTATAGGCAGCTATAATCTTCTTCCCTATAGTAGTAGAGCTAGTAAACGATATTTTATACCTCGAAAACGCTCTTAGACCCTAGAGTTAGGCCTAGGTATTTCCGGGAAATAGGTACTATCACTAGGGATAGATAGAATTTTCTCGGTTTTCGGCGCTATCCCTAGGGATAGTTAAATTTTCTAGGTTTTTAGGGCTGTCCCTAGGGATAGTTAAGTATTCTAGGTTTTCGGCGCTATCCCTAGGGACAGTTAAATTTTCTAGGTTTTTAGGGCTGTCCCTAGGGATAGTTAAGTGTTCTAGGTTTTCGGCGCTATCCCTAGGGACAGTTAAATTTTCTAGGGTTTTAGCGCTATCCCTAGAGATAGTTAAGTATTCTATATTTTCGACGCTATCCCTAGGGACAGTTAAGTATTCTAGGTTTTCGACGCTGTCCCTAGGGATAGAGAATATTCCTATAAATCGAGATCGATATAAAATAGATTAACTAGTTATAAGGCGTTCCGGTCGTATTAATAATACTAGTAGATAATTTACTTATACTAGAAAAGTAAAAAGTAGAGCT